GGGGCCGGCGATTGGGGAGGGCCATTGTAAGTCTGCTGATCGTTGTTGAAGCAGGCAGTCTCGTGCTCGGAGGAGAGCTGATTCAAGGCAAAGCATATTCCCTTCCACCGTACGTGGAAATTTTGGTCACTCACACGCGATTATCAACGTATGGTGGTGTGATCAATCATCCCACAGCGCCACTTGAGGTAAAGCGTTTCTTTCGAGCGGCTGGCCTTTCCTCAGCACTGAATGTAATGAGGGCCGCCATTCAAGGAGAATCACGATTAAAATCGATGCCGAACAACACGGTCATTATGATTGCATTCGCCGCATGCTCTGCCCTCAGCCTCAGTGTGGTGCCAACGGATACCAGATCCAGCCTGGCCCCAAGTGTACGGAATTTGATCGAGGAAACTGCAGGCGTGCTGGAGCGTATTGGGGCGACCCCCAGTCATAGGAACGGCGCGTCTGTGCTTTACGGACGGTATCTACGAGAGCTAGTTCGACGAGGCTCTGAGAATCAAAACGAACCACGGATACCGGCCGAGGCGACTCTGAGATCACCATCAGCCTTTGGTGGGTTCGGTAATGTGCCCCCACTGTCGCAACCGTCATTCTCGCCTTTATTTTGGTCAGAGCCGCTGCAGTTCTCTGCTATGTCTGATGGCCAGATCATCGATGCTGTGAACCGAGCAGGCATCACCTTCGGGACGGGCGTGCCGGATGTCCCACTGGACGATTTAATGAGCTGGGACTGGCTGGACATTGGAAATGTAACTGACTTTGGCTTTTGACGACACTGAGGGGAAAAAGCAGCCGATCTCCATCCCGTCGGCGTCCAGAAGTAGCTCCGAGTGCCGATCCCGTTTCCTCGATCGATTCAAAAAACAAAGCTCTTGCACTTCTTACCTATCCATTACCCTGTCTTGTTTTCTTTTCTTTTCTTTTTCTTTCATCTTTCCTTATTTTCTGTTCTCCAAAGGCCTTGGGTGAAGGTTATTGGCATTATATTGAAGACGAAGACAATGGCGACATTGCGAGTCTCAGCGTTGCCCTTGTCGCGGAGAGCGCTCCCCGTCGCTCGGCCATGGTTTCAATTACAGACATCCTATAGATCAAGTGTGCCGCTGTTACTTCGGGCGAATAGCAGGAAAGCCGCTCAATACTCAACAGTTACGGCAGAGCAACCGGCGCGAATGCCGACAATCGACCGTGCTGCGTCGAAACTTTTCAGGAATGCGGATGAAGCTGTAGCTGACCTTAAAAGCGGATCTACCATCCTTAGCTCGGGATTTGGGCTTTGTGGTGTTGCAGGTGATAAGATTTGGTCTGTGTTTGAAAATAAGGTCTAGGGCTGATATGTGTCAACCATAGAAACCATTATATCTGCAATCCATCGACGTGGCCCTGAGGACCTACATTCCCTGACCGCGGTTTCGAACAATGCTGGCGCCCCAGGGAAAGGCGGCTTATCTACTCTAACCCAAGCTGGCCAGGTAAATCGATTGATATTGTCTTATCTCGGAAATAACAAAGCTTTGGAGAAGAAATACTTGACGGGGGATATTGCTATCGAGTTGTGCCCCCAGGGAACGTTAGCGGAGCGGCTACGTGCGGGGGGCGCCGGGATTCCTGCGTTTTTTACTCCTACAGGAGCTCGTAAGTGTCTTTTCTTCCTTTCTTTTCCCGTTTGTTTGTTTGTATTTGCCCATTCACCCTACGGTTGGATGTGAACAGGTTTTAATAATTGCCCACCAAATCTAGACACATTCCTCCAGGAGGGACAGATCCCGGTCCGTCTAGACGAATCCGGTAAAGTTCTGGAGCATGGCAAGCCACGCGAGACGAGGATTTTTAATGGGAAGACTTATTTAATGGAAAATTCTCTCACTGGTGACGTTGCAATCCTTCGAGCATGGAAGGTGGACGAGGCTGGAAATTGTGTTTTCCGGTAGGTACGATTTCGATTTAACATTACACATGCGATACTGATATTAAGTGTTTCTAGTTATACTACCAAGGCATTTAGTCCTCTCGTGGCAAAAGCAGCCACTCTTACAATTGTCGAGGCAGAGAACATTGTCCCTGTGGGCTCCATAGACCCAAATGACGTGGACTTGCCGGGAATATTTGTGGACAGGATTGTTCCCGCCACAGCTCCGAAGTCTATTGAAATCAAAAAGCTGCGGCCCGCTGACGACGCAGGTACTTTGCAACCGACCAAGGACGCTGCTATGGCGCAAAGGAGCAGAATTGCTAAGCGGGCAGCAAAAGAGCTCAAGCAGGGATATTATGTCAACCTAGGTGTTGGTTTGTGTGGACTACTAGGCTTTTATGGTGTGTCTACGGCTCATGGCTAGATAGGGATTCCTACACTCGCTCCGTCCTTTTTGCCAGAAGGTGTCAAGGTCTGGGTACAGTCCGAGAATGGGCTTCTGGGCATGGTGTGTTGGACCTTCTATCATGCATCCAAAACCAGCAAGGAAACTGACTGAAATAAGGGCTCATATCCCACAGAAGCTGAAGTTGATCCGTGAGTTTTTTCATCCCGATCATTATTCCCTCCTCGTCTAACACCCCTCCCTCAGAGACATCATAAATGCCGGGAAAGAAACCGTTACTCTGGTTCCCGGCGCTGCAACCTTTGATAGTAGCGAGTCATTTGGGATGATTCGGGGTGGGCATGTAGATGTTTCCATCTTAGGAGTTCGTGAAACCATTCTTCGCTTGTGGGCCTCTGTAGAGGCGAGGCTTGTCTAACTAGTCTACAGGCTCTGCAAGTCAGCGCAAAGGGCGACTTAGCGAATTACATGATTCCCGGGAAGGTCTTCAAGGGTATGGGAGGCGCCATGGATCTGATCTCTAACCCTGACCGAACGAAGATTGTGGTAGCCACTAGCCATACGTCCAAGGATGGATCGCCGAAAATCGTATCCGAGTGCGAGCTGCCTTTGACTGGTGCGAACTGCGTGAGCACAATTATAACGGATCTGGTAAGGAGAGATAAACAGGACGGGGATTCGAATAGATGGTCTGACTTTCGGCTATAGTGCGTTTTCCAGGTCGATCGGGAGAAGGGAGAGTTGTTGTTGACGGAGCTTGCTCCTGGTGTCGAGGTTGAGGAAGTCCAGAGCAAGACGGGGGCCAAGTTCACCGTGGCAAAGCAATTGGAGCTCATGGAGTGATAATGTGGACCTGGGAATCCGTGACACAGTTGAAAAGTGAACGGATATTTCACCTTTCCTTTTTGATATATGCTGTTCATAATTTTAGGAGAATATGTAAATATCGATTTTAGAGCTGTGACGTGGTGCGCATCAACCGTGATTTTATATGTGCAGTACAATATCGGATTGTTGAATTTACGAGCTCTCTGTATTTATAGTTTGGAGCTCCTAGATGGGGCGAAATTGGATCCTGTCCCTTCGCCGATTGACTCCACGATATCATCTACGCTCTTCAAGATCCAAGTATTGCCTTCGTCGCTTGCAAGCCATTTAGCCCCCTCCTCGCTTTCGACGTCGCTCGCCCAGGTCCCGTCCTCGAGGGCTTTGCGAAGCCCAAATACGTGCGATGTCACTTGCGGGCCAACGCCAGACTGAGCGCGCAGGCATGCAACGGCGACAATTGAAGTTGAGATTCTACCCGCAGTTGCATTAGTACGTCGATTGGCTGGGTCAGACAAGAGTGCTCCGTAATGACTGTTCAAGATATGGACAGGTAGGTCGGGATGGGAATCGGCTAATTTGCTATATAGCTTTAACTCAAACGGGCGATAAATCGAGTTCCACAAAGCGCGGCCACGGTGGGCAATCTCATCGATATTCTCCGGCGTAGGGGCTCGGGTAGGAGAGCGCGATAGTTTCGCAGTGACTGAATCCGGAAGGCTGGCCTTGAAGACGTTGAGGCAGTTAATGGTGCGAGGGATGCCATTGAAGCTAATGCACTTTAGGCCAACCTCCCGCATATATTCAGCGACGGATACGCCCTCATCGGTGGACTGGGAAGCCGTGGCTAGTTGGAAAAGAATGGCAAGGGACTCGGGGGAGTTCATCGTCATCGTGGCGGCTGTCTGGAAGGAAATGAGTTTCTTTCTGACATGAACGTGCCCTTTCCCCCTTTGGTGGTGTAGGAAACTGAGAGAGTGGTACCAACCGACAAAGCTAGCCAGGCCGGCTGCGAGACATTGTTCGATTGCGCCGTCTGCTGAATCTTCTGGTAGACGGATCGGATGTTGGGTGGAGCGGGAACCGTATTCGGGCGTGCTTTTGGGGCGTTGATCAGTGCCTTCAAACTGTTGGGTAACTTGGGCATGTTGTTTTGGTTTACTACTCGAAGCCGGAGAACTTGTGGTTGGAGAAAAGCTGAAGGAAAGGACGGGGGATGAACCTATTCATGTTTGGATTCTCGAATTGATGCCTCGGCACTAGAAATGGATACCGATAAGACTTCATCCCGAGTGGCGCCGATACCCGTGCAGCGTCTATAATGTGTAAGATACAGTACATGTACACACATAATACAGTTGTACCTTACGGTATGCATGGTACGAATACCCCACGCGAAGCTTTCTTGGTCTGGGGGGAAAAAAAAGCAAAGGAAAAGAAAATGCGGGGAAAGAAATCCACATTTGTTCTCAGTTTGCCTTTTTCATACTTCATAGGATCGGTTGTAAAAAGTGACCCCCGGGAATGATGATCCATGTCTGTTGCATTCCTTCCACACTCTCTATATATATCACGCGTTCGTCTCATCCTAACTCGCTCTTTGAGAACTTTAATGATATTCCTACCCCCGTCCCCGTATTATCATGGAGTCCATCAAGCAAAGTGCAAAGTTAGTTGAAGATGCGAAACCTACATCAGTTACGGGAGCAATTGCTGGCGATACTATCCACCAGAAAGTGATCCGGAGTATCCTATTCAAATTGGACACAAGGTAGCATACATAAAGTGTGGCACTAGACCTCCACAGAATTTCTGAGAAGTTATCTTGACAGAATCCTCCCAATCTTAGCCATGCTCTTCCTATGTTCCTTCCTGGATCGTACAAATGTCGGCAATGCGAAGATACTCGGCCTCGAGGACGACCTCAACATCACTGGTCATCAATATGATATAGGCTTGGCAGTTTTCTATCTGACCTACATATGCAGGTATGTGAGCCAAACAGACCCACAAACATCATGAAGCACCAACACCATCGCATATATATCCATGCACCTCAATTCGTGTGGGCTAATCGGAGTACTCCCAACGTAAGCGAACTCCCGAGTAACCTCGTCCTGAAGAAGGCATCACCAAAGATTTGGCTTCCATTGCTCACCATGGTTTGGGGTGTCGTTACTATGTGCCTTGGCTTTGTTCGCAATTTTGCGGGGTTTGTAGCTGTCCGTGCTATTCTGGGCGTTGCAGAGGGGGGATTGCTCCCTGGGATGGTAGGCATGCTCTTCTTTCCCCTTGGTTATTCGAGGCTGATACGATTTAGGTACTGTATCTATCATTCTTCTACAGACGAGGGGACCTAGCCTTACGCATTGGATTGTTTTACACTGCTGCATCATTGTCTGGTGCTTTTGGAGGTACAATTTTGCATAAAGTTGATTATTTCCCTATCTTCCTCATGCGACTCACGCATGGTGATACAATCTAGGACTCTTAGCTCGTGGGCTGGCTGAAATTGGCCCTCAGGGCGGACTGGAGGGCTGGCGTTGGATTTTGATTATCGAGGGGCTACTGGTAGGCATTGTTATACATGGGAAAGATGGCACTGGCCTATTTTGACATTGAGCAGACATTCTTATGCGGTTGCTTCAGTTATGTTGGCCTCCCAAATAGTTTAGAAACAGCGACGTTTTTGACCCCCGAAGAGCGGTCGGTTGCACAGGGAAGGATTTTGCTTGATAATCCATCCGTACCCCAGATGTATGTCTTCCTCCCTGTTCCGTATGACTTCCAGGGGTCAATTACCTTGTGTCGGACAGGGGAGGGGATTCCCCTTCCCGAGCCTTTCTGGACTTCATATCTTCTTTCGTTTTTCGTTTTCTTTTGCTTTTCCTAACAAAACGGTCATGCTAACAGGAACGAAGCTCTTCAGGAGATGAGTTGGAAACCTTGAGGTGGTCTGAAGTGCGAAGGGGATTGCTAGACCCCCAAATGTGGTTTTCTGCCGCGGCGTATTTTGCCATATTGTCCGGCTTGTACTCGTTCGGACTGTTTGTATGTTTGGTTGATTCACAAGCTTCTACAGGAGAAAACTGACCGGAGACCCTTGTCTTATCTAGCTACCTACTATAATCGACGAAAGTGGGTTTGCAACTGACCCAAACGCCGTGCAGTTGTGGACGGTGATTCCATATGCCGTCGCAGCTGTCTTAACAGGTAGGTCAAACAACCTATAGACCGTAGTGATGATGGTATTAACGGCTACCAGTATTCGTGGCTTTTATTTCGGACCGCTTGAAGCTGCGAGGTCCTATTATGCTTTTCACTCTGCCTATTGCCATTGCAGGGTACGCAGCGATTGCCAATATTCAGTCTGCCAAAATCAAGTATGCAATGACCTTCCTTATGGCTACTGGGATGTATAGTAGCGTCCCATGTATTCTGGTGTGGAATACAAATAACTCAGCTGGACACTATAAACGTGCCACAACGTCAGCGATGCAGCTGACTATCGCTAACTGCGGTGGTTTCGTTGCTAGTAAGTTGGCCTAGCTATGGGCGTTTCAGCAAGCTATGCGCTAACTAGTGAGTAGCGTTCAACTATCCTGACAAGGACAAACCCCAGTATCACCTTGGTCACACCATCATCCTAGGCCTCCTTGTTTTTGCGTGGTTCATGTAGGTACATGCTATGCGTGATCCAGATGACGACTGACTTCTCACCATAGGGTTTTGCTTAACATTCTCTATTGTACCAAGGTGAACAGGGACAAGAAAAAGGGTAAATACGCACAGTATGTGGGGTATAATGATGATAGAGATCCTGCGTTTGAGTTGATGTTGTGATATGGGTACTACTAGTAGCGTCGGACGAACTCCGAGAATTTGTACACTCAATACATAAATACATACATTTATAAAATTGCACTAAACTGTAAACGACAAGCTCGGCTGCACCGGACAAATCTCCGGGGCAGGAATTCGCACCAATTAATGAATGTAGCTCGAGTATTAACAAGATCAATGTAACTAGTTGGCTGGAATCTACCATTCCTACCCCGCAAACAAAGGGAGGGAACAGCGTGTTTTGGAAAGCACTTTTTCCACAGTCTGATAGAACTAACATCCTGACCCACCTGACGTGGAAATGGACACACACATTTATAACTTGGCCCAGATGCCCCCATCTGGTGGCAGTGTCTCCAACATCCCTTGCGCGCGTTTGACCCAAAAATAGTGATGTTGTTGAATGTGAGATCGATCGTTTGCCGAGTCCTAGCACTTGTAGCATGTGCCACGACTGTGTTTGGTAGCTGGTGCTCTGAATCATGGTCCAAAGATGCATGCCAGCTCTTTTCAGAGTCGATGGATTATTTAGATCGAATGTACGACCCGAACGCTGCGTATGTCGTCAACCCTAGTGCGGCTACAGCTCTGCGCCACGACACAAGGACGTCCGTCTGGTATGCAGTGGGCTTGTTGGCTCGGAACCAGAATGATGATGTGGCGCAGGCGATGGCAATCATCCAGAATGTAATCGAAGTGCAGTTCAAGGACCCTGCAGATCAATGGTGGGTCTGTGTTTGAACGTAAAGTGTCGGGTGCCTGCTCACCTATATAGGTATGGAGATTACCCCGTGTACCCCGAGGAACCCACCGTGGGTACTTCGGCATATCAATCGAGCCTCTATGACACTTGGGATCCCAACTGGAGAGGCTTTATTGGGACGGCCTTTATCATCGCCTTGGAGGAGTTTCCCCATCTGGTCAACCCGGACATGACAGTACTTATGCTGGAATCCCTTTACAATTGCACCATTGGAGATGCGTATCGAGTTGGAGGAGTTGACGGGGACAATCTGTATCCCTCGTATACTAACCCGGTAAGGGATAACTTGACTTCGTGTAGTGCAAGGATTTAGCTTGTCTGATTGATAGTCTTGAAGGCATTAATGAGAGCCATTGTAAGTGGTTGGACCGGCGATAAATACGCAGATGCCAACATGACGCTGGCGGGTGAGAATTATGCGAATGAGGTTATTGGTCTTTTTGATCGAGCCGAGACCCTATCAGAGTTCAACAGTGCAACGTATACTGGCGTCTCTTTGATTGCGCTGACGATGTGGACAAAGTACGCCGCCGAGAGCTCTGTGATGAAAGCAAAAGGAAAGGAAATCCTACAAGCTACATGGAATAACATCGGCCAATTATATCACGCAGAGCTCAAGAATCTTGCGGGTCCATGGGACCGCTCCTATGGATTCGACATGCAGAAATATTTCGGAATTATGTCTGCACATATTTGGACCCTTGTTGGGAAGGAAACCTCACCCGTTATTGACAAGGTATAAGATGCTTGTTGTTCACCAGTCTTCCCGGGGCTAACCGACTAGGTCTACATGATGTCTCATAACGCTGACTTTGCCATTTCTCCGCTTGTGGCTATACTCTCGAGCTTTCATAACTCCTTGGTCCCGGCTACGGCAGTAGATGCTCTAAGGACCTTCCCTGGAGAGCACATGGTCAGCACATCAGCACAGTCAATCCCGTATGATTATTTCCCCCGGAACATCAGTGCGTGGCTAGGAGAAAAGATAAGTATCGGAGCAGAAAGTTTCAATGAGACTGTTATAGGGGGCCCGGCTATGAATCCGTCTACATTTAACTCGGCGGTGGTCCAGTGGGATACTGGAGCTGGAATTGGCTGGATTACAGTATGCGCCCACTCCCTACTTAGGTGGTACCAAAGGACTACCTAACATCTTATAGTTATACGCAACAGAGCAAGCTCTCGACGCAGTCGTTGGACCGGGTTATCTTAACCTAACCTATCCTCAGGGAACGTCAGACTCTCAGTTCCAATTCTTAGTCTCCCCGTTTACCCAGAAGAAAGATGTTGCTGGCTGGGAAGATCTTGTAGGATTGAATGTCAGGTTGTCCGGCACTTTCGACCCAAAGCTGAGTGTATCATATAGTGCAAGCGATGCTACCATAAAGTATGTTTCCTGACGACTTGAGCTTGTCCCCCAGAGACTTACATACTCCTAGTGACTTCATGTACTGGAACCTCACCTACTCAATGCCAGTGAATAGTACTGCAGTTCCAAATATATTGCTGGAGGTGAATTTGGCGTGACCGATTACTCGCAATCAATAAACGAACTGAGAAAGCTGGTTCAGAAGATCACATTGAGACGTTGCAACTGGAGTCTGTCTGGAGGGATGCGCAAGGGGCCAACTTTTTTTAAGCAAGACATTAGTGACATATATACAGCCGTGATTCTGGGTTTGCTGTTGTAATGCTGGTCTGAGTAAGCTCCCCCGGCAAAACACGGCGGCAATGAAAAAAAAAAATAAAATAAAGAGCACTGTCTAAACTCTACTTTCGTCTTCTAACTTTTTACTGCGGATATAAGCTATCACACTTATCGAGATGTCTAATTGCATTTATACGCCCACCGATGGGAGGGCTTTGGCTCAAGTGCAACTCAAACACTTTCGTCATCCTGACCAGATCTCTGGCTCCGGACCGGCTCCGTGCCAGCGAAACTGAGTAGCATGCCGATATCATAGATGGCCTTCAAAATGCCCGCAATGGTAAAGGAAAGACCAAAAAGACCATGATTCGATAGCACCCCGGTGATGAGTGGCCCTAGACTCTGACTGCTAGTCTTCACCACATTGATGGCACCCATGATGGCGGTGCGCTTGTCAGAGGGAAGCGCCGCAGCGAGGAAAGCCGAACGCGGTGCCACATCCATGTTCTGGGAACAGGCCCGGAGCACCAAAAAGGTCAGGGCTAGTGGTAATATATTCGGAATCGGAATAAGAGCTAGACAAATGGCAGAAGGGAGATGAGTGAAGACCATCGTCTGTGTCCTATAATCAGCTTTGATTCCTTCCCCATGATATATTACAGTACGATATCCCTACCTTGACATTACCAATGCGCTTGGCAATGGAAGAGGCTACCAACATGGACGCAGCGGCGATAATGCTTGTAGTAAAGAAGATAGAACCGAGTTCACCCTCCGGCAGGGAGAATTTGCGTTTGAAGAAATAAGTCATCCATGACCTGCAACTGTTAGTCTGGCGTTCTGCAGCAATTATAAAGAACTGGCACTGCAATCCGTGAAAGTACATACAAAGATGCCAAGCCCGACGCAAATGAGTCGAGAGCAAATAGAATGAAGAGTCTGACGACCAACGCGACGAGGTCTCTGTCACCGAGGAAAGAAAAGAAGCTGGTTTTCTTTGGAGGCTGCTCGCCGCTGGCCCCCTCGCCTAGAAGAGGCTGGGTTTCACCATTCTCGCCTTGCTGATGCTGCCGCTGAGCAGGCTTTTGTTTCTCTGCCTCCACGTCATGACTCAGAATAGCGGCGAGAATGAATTTGAGAGCACCAATAGCTGCGTACGCAAAAAAGATCATCTGACAAGCAGCGATAAACCGCCATCCCCGATTAACTTGCAGTAGATTGATGGCCCACCCGCAGGCCATCATGCCTAGAGCCGTGCCTGCGGTGCCGACTAGAGAATACCAGGCAAAAATATCACTTAGCGATTCATGAGGCGTGAGGTGAGCCAGAGTGGACTCTTCAACAGCTCGGAAGGGTCCGATTTCATTTCCACTATTGGGCGATGTAAGGATGTGGATACAGAACTCGAACAAATTCCGACGGCTTACCTTGGACTGATCACCCCGAGAACAGCTGCCGCCAGAAGAATCCAGAAGTTATCGAATAAGGCGAAAATGACACCACTACCTACCATCAAAGCCGAACCCAGCAGGAGAACAGCTTTGCGGCCCATCGCATCGGCAAAAAGGGTCAGGAAGAAGCTAATGACCACATCCCCAACCAGAGTTAGGGTCATAAAGAGGCCAATATGGGCATCGGAAATGCCTAATGAGGATAGATACGAGGCTAAAATAAGCGTCGAGCCACCATAAGCAAACAGCCGAACAAACCGCTGGGCGCAAAGCAATTTCACATCTAGCGAGGATTTCCAGAGGGAGAGCAGGCCCAATTCACGAAGGATTTTCGTGGGCAGTCGAACCCAATTCTCCGATGAATCTCTGGCCATGGTGGAGGAAAGAAATCGATTGATGATCCTGTCTCTCTCACTCACTCAGGCAAGCACGAAAAGATGGAAAAACTAGGCTGCTTAGAAAGAGATATCCGTTGAGTAGTTAGGTAGTTAGTTAACCTAACTAACCTAGTTCGTAATTAAAAGGTCCTTACCTAAGTTTTGACTAACTAACTAGTTGGTTAGTAGGTTGGTTAGTTATTTCTTGGCGCGATAGTTATGATATGATATGACATAACATAGCATAGCATAAAGACCATGACTAAGCTTTTATTTTCATGCACCAACAGAGTAACCTACTACTACTAGTAGTACTACGTCGTTCAGTAGAGCTGATTACTACCGCCAGAAGTGTCCGGGGGTGACGGCGAGATGCGTATTGGAAAAAACGGTCAGGTGATTTATGGGTGACTCCGAGAACGATAATTTAATCACGATGACTGCGCCATCCTCTTCTTCCCTCCCTCGCCCTCCAAGCCGTACGATAAGAAATACATTCTAGAAGTGAAGACAAAGAAAAATCAGAGAAAAGGGGGTTTGTGTTACCGAAAAGCCTTGGTCAATTATGAAATATGACAAAAAAGCATCAACCCCTGAGCGCGAACCTCGGAAACTGTTGAGGTCAAAACCCCATTTAATCATGACCCCAAGTGACGAAATCTAAGGTAATCTATCCTTCTCTACTAGACCTTAATCATTTCTCACCAAACATTTCAACTCTTAGGCTCATTTCTATCTTATCTTACTCGCGTACTTTATACCTGCTCCTGACTTCAACTGATATCAGCGTACGCACTGTACTAAAACGATGGCGTTGAAGAGCGCCTCGAGTCTCTTAACTTTCTACTATCTTACACTCGGTAGCTTCTGCCTGGGTAACACAGCCGATATGTCGGCTTTTAATAGCCCTGGTCATGGACCGCCGGCCACAGATTTTGCTGCAGCAGACTCACTGCCGATCTCAGTCCTTCGGGCAGCAGCAACAGCCGCTAGCGTAGTTCCGGAGGACGCAACATATCCCTTTAGCCTGGGTAGCTCCGAAACATCCACCATACACAGCGACTGGGTCTCCTTTAAAGAAGTGCGTTGAATCTAAGAGCCCCGCCTCAATAGGCGCACTGCTAACCTCCTAGACTTTAGGGCGCTGCTCTGTCATGGGTGGCTGATATGGATGTGGATTGCGATGGGGTAAACCATAAATGTGAGGTAACTGGCCTTCAAGTCGTTTGTGACATAGATACCTTCTCTGATATGCTTATTCCAGGGAAATGGAGATGGCCAACCGCAGACAAATTGGGGGGCTCTGTCTGCATATGCAGTGCCTTACATTGTGATTCCCGATAGGTTCCTGATTGCAAATAAGGATATTCTACCAGGAAATAATATCGCAGCCGTGATTTGGTATGTTTCCTTTCCTTTGTGCCAATACCCCTCTAATCGGCGATTCTCAGTAATGGCAAGATGTATTATGGGATCCTCGGCGACTCTAATGGGGATGACCCCCAAATTACCGGTGAAGCGTCGTGGCTGATGGCGAGGACATGCTTCCCCGAGGAGAATCTACAGGGAAATAATGCCCATTCGTCTAAAGATGTCATCTGTAAGTGTTCTTACTGGCTTAACTTCCCAAAGAAGGAGCGGCTCACGACCTATGAAGATATTCTTTTCACTGGCAAAGGTGCTGTTCTCCCTTATAACGCCATGGATAAAACCTATATCACGGATTTCGGCACCCTGAGGTCTATGGGCGACAAGCTTGTCAGAGCACTTGCCTCGAACGTGGATACATCAACTTCATCCGAATCTGCAGCTACAAGCCTGTGGGCAGGGCGGGAAGGTACGTATCATTCTTTAAAAAAGGAACCTTGAGGAGCACTGTCTGACTTCTGCCAGGTCTAGTGAGGATGATTGTTGTGCTATTCTGCGTTGTACTGGTCACGTTGGCTTTGTGATACATCTGATTATGGTCATATATCTTTGGGTTTTAGTCTGGGACAAGTCATAGACGGTGATGCATGTTACAAAAATGAAAGCTACTTGGAGGATTTTGTCGTATGCTTGGGGGTTGGGTCATTAGACAATTACTTTACATGAAGACAAGGGAAAGAGATAAACAGTCAATACTTATGAAAATCTACAAACCGATGTTTGCTATTACTTAAATGGTATACCTGATCGATATCTTATCAGATTCAATGGCGTTTATGTAAGTAAATCTTGGGAAAGTGGATCCTCGTCTCCCCCGCTTTTCGATGCTTAAAAAAGGCAAGTCATTCCGTAACCCATACTCCATCGGTCTCCCATGCTCAGTACCTCTGGTATATCTTTCCAGAATTAATGATCACAATTCTAGGCGACTGATAGGGGTAACTTGCCTCCACCTTGCATATCCACAATGACCGGTGCGACAGCTTCCCGAGGGACCAAAGCATCTTCTGCCATGTCAACTACCCGACCTAGGTCCCTAGGAGGCTGTGCCACATGTCGTAGCCGTCATGTGAAATGTGACGAAAGTCGTCCCACATGCTTGGTGTGTCGAAATTTGGGCCTGACCTGTGACAGGTACGAGATTAGACTCGTGTTTGATGCAATTGACACGCAAGGTTCACGATGCCGTCGACCTTTGTTCACCGAAGATATGCGGCAGAGGATGAGTGAACAGCTAGTGGACAGCGTGAACCCAGATGACGCAGCCACTTTGTTGCTTCAGATTGATGACCAGTGCGAAGAACAGGAGCAGCACCCCGATAGCTATTTCAATACTTGCCTAGGGCCATTTGGCGCCTTCCGCGCACCTCGACAAGAGCTCGAGCTTCATGAAGCGCTGACATGCCCTTCCATGGAGTCTCCACCATATCAACATGTTCCTATTGCAGATGACTTCAACACGGCGCTTGAGGCTGCCTTGATTAATGATCCTCTCATGGAATGTCTTTTTGGGGGGATAGATGTAAATACCACAGGGGACTTCCAAACGGAAAGCTTCTTCAACATTACTGGGACAGAAAATTACGAACATTCATCACAGCAGTCTGTAACCGAGAGCTCCGGAATGTTGATGGGACTCCCATCATTGTCCCAACATATCCAGTACACACCGACTATTCCCAATCTGGCTCCTCCAGATGCGCCTTTCCTGTTATCAATATATAAAAGCAAGGTGATCAGGTTGTTCTCCCCCGTCCAATCCAGAAAGTCTCCTTGGCAGATTCTTCACGTGCCGAGTGCCATGGGAACTTTTGCTCAATTAGCCATGGGAGAGCAACCAGGTAATGCACAGTCGTGTATCTTCTATGCGATCCTAGCTACTGGTGCTTACATGCAGCGCGCAATCTCAACATCCCAAGGGCATCGTGAATACTGGCAAAAGCAATCAGAGTCATATGCTGTTTCCGCGCAGAATTATCTCAAGATGGCGCTTCAAGATATGTCAGCCACCCTGAAAAAGAGTAAATACAAAGACATCCTCATTGCCTTAATGTGTATGAACACCGTCTTCGTAAGTGGCCGGATATTTCATCAGCGTCCCTTCTGATATAGAAATAAATATAGGAAAACATTGTGGGCCAATACTAACCAACTACTTGGGAATAATCAGGCATATCAGGGTAATGAAGATCGCATTAGGAGATGTCTCCTGGACTGTGAAAATTGGATTCGCTTCCGTGGTATACCCAAGACCCGTAAATCACGGAAGGTGCGACTGCTACATCACTGCTATGTGTATCTCCGCATCTTCCACGAAAGCACATCAGTGTCGCATGTAAGGGGCTCCAGTTTACAACAAGAAATGAGTGCATCGCCAGATACCGTTACGTCCGTGGCTTCGAATCCCTCTTTTCGTCTTCGACAATGGGACGGCCGACTCGACCAGAGAATGGATGAACTGAAAGAACAGCATTTGGGTGAGAATGACATTCACCTCGAGATTCCAGGTCGATGGGACTCTACAATGTACCCTCATGTGTTTGCTATGCCGGAGACTCTTCTATTCTTGTTGTCCCAAGTGACGCGCCTCGGGAATGAGCGAGACATGTCCGATCTAGACGGTGGGTCAAGTATCCTGGACTTTAGGCAGTTTTCCTCACGAGCGCGTAGCCTTGAGCGGTATATTTGTACATGGAGACCTTCATCCTCTCCTTCCCACGGTGAAGACAATGAAGACGACTTAAATGACAACGGTGCTTTTCAGATTAACACTACACTGGGCAATCATATGGTCCTTGCTCTGCACAAAGCACTGCTGGTCTTCTTCTACCGGCGAATATACGATGTGGATCCAACTATACTGCAAGATAGGGTCTGGCAGATTCAAGACTCTTTATCGCAATGTGATTGTGGCGATATCCCTACCGCCCCTTTGTTGTGGGCTGCATTTGTGGCAGCCTGTGAAGCGCTTGACCCAGCCCTACGAGACTGGTTCACAAACTGGTTTAATAGGTCATTCAAGGCAAGCGGATTACACAACTTCGAGTTTGCACTTAAAATAGCCAAGCAAGTGTGGGAAAAGCAAGGGCAATCTTTGAATAGTGATAATAGTACTAGCTGGCCGCAGGTTATGCGGGACCACGGCATGAGTATGTTTTATGTCTGAAGAAGGAAGAAGGAAGAAAAAAAAAAAAAAGAAGGAAGGAGATATAATCAGAATGCTCGTTTTCTAGAAAGCGTCAACCTTAACGGAAATGGAGCTTATCAAACCCCGACATGCCTTCGAGGTTAGATACTTTACGATTCTTGACTGGCTTATTGCAGGAACCTCGCATTTGAAAGCTCGAGCTCCATTTTGTATCCAGGTTGAAAGTCATGGTACAATGCCTCCTGTTTCTTTGTTAGTCGCGCTGGGGTACTAAACGGCTGACCTCCGCTGAGATACGTACTGGATCACTGGTCATCTTAAGACCACTGAGTCGTCGGGCTCAATCAACCTCTCCATTCCCTGTGCTGCCGCGGCGTCGACTTGAATTGGATCTCACAACTACGATCTGCTAAAGTGAAGAGGTATGCTGCTTCATTCAGAGTGTTACCAACGGTTGATAGACCATGATTTCGCAAAATCAACAACTTTCCATTTTCTCCTTGAAAGCTTCTAAGACGCCTACTTTCCCCCTTCTCTAAAACAACCCCACTAAACTCAGGATAGACGGCTTGGGCCTCGCCGCAGAACATTCTCACCCTCTGTATCAATCATACCTAGTGGCTTGGTGCTTGTAGATCAGGCTTTGCCATATTTAGAATGGGGATGGCATCCAACATTGACATGGGGATACCTCATGTGCAGAGCTCTATGAATATGGGAGCCAGAAGCATTCGCAGGCCGAGACATCTGGCCTCTTATAGGCTTTCCATCATGGTTGAGAAGAATCAAGATTCAAGTCTGAGACTTTTGACTTGACCAAAATGGTGACCGTGCCTGCGTGTATTGTAGTGGGATTAGCTATTCGTATTGGTTCCCCCCTTGTTTTTGGGATACTCGAATTACCAGGGTTAGTGTTCACGGATTTGTCTAGAAGCAGTCCAAGCGCTCTGGCTCTCGCAAGGAGATATCCCCACTTATGCCTTTCGTAAAACTCCTCCAAGCAAATACGCATTGCACTTTCTAGACTACTTGCAAATCGGGCGGAGACATGCTTTAAATACTATTAGATAGAAAGAACGGGCCCTAGTACCTTCAGATTTGACAGGGAGCCCAGACCTTTGCTAAAACGACTGCTGCAGCGTTGCCATTGGGCACGAATTCAACTGCAGCAACGTGTCTTTGCTTTGCAGCAACCCGAGAAACGTTATGTGCTTGTCAAATCCAATAGGGAAATGATCAAGACACGCAAAGTTACTGACAACAAATGGGTGCCCATTTCCTTAATAGCTGGAGACAGTGGAAGGAGTGGTTTGCTTTAACAGCCGCTCAAGGACGGCAAGATGCGCTCTTGAAGCAATTAGGGGATCTGTACTGGAATGCTGATTTGACCAGGAGACAGCTCAAGCACTAGGTGGGACATGAATGCATTAGTGACATGTCCAGATGGGACTGTCCGTCCCCTTCTCTACCATCAGGCGTCCTGACTGTGACTGGTGATGTTTTGGGTGAGCCTTTCAGTAACGCCTGCCATGTGGGTACCGAAACAGTGGTGAGAGAGGAAGCTCAGAGGTAATTGGTAGCCTCAGCGAGTCCTGAGCAATGCCACTTATAGTGGAAGAAACGATAAATATAGCGTCGAATGGCATCGTAGAAAGATTTTGAATTCGAGTGGACTCAGGAAGTTGGTCTGAATCAGGTGATTCTGGCAACCCTTGTCCTAGTAGGTCGGACCTACCACATAGGTCTAAATGTGCAAGCCATATAACGTTGAAACAATAAATAATCTACTCTTCCCCCATGAAACCACAACTGCTTCGATATTATTTTTGCTACGAGTTAGCATACAGCTACTCATGATCTGCTACCACCCTGACTCATCAGTGAAAGGAGTAACGAATGCGGCATAGTTGTACCACCCAACGTCGGTTCGGGATATAACGAGATGACTCCCACAGGAAACACGACAGGGAGTCAAACTTGGCTAGGATCTGCCTCACAACTATATTGAAATATTACCATACTTCTTATACTATAGAGGTCTGTATCGTTGCTATAACGGAGACCTAACCGAGCGTCTAGGACATTCCGGCCAATGCTTTCAGCGGTTACATGTACTAAAGTGAACGATGTGATAACGAATGTACCACATTGATTTAACAGGTGGTGATAAAGTGACACCAGGTATGTGAGAAGGGGTAGGAGAGAGAGCTGCTTGGGACTACTCGGAGGAATTCTGTGCAGAATTGGAAGAGCTGCATCCGATATGGAAACGTATGTAATTGAAGACTTATCCTTTGCTGGCCGAGACCACTGATATTCTTATTAGCTTACCTTTGCTGTGATGTGCACGACGATGGCGAAAGTTGGATTGTTGCCGAATTGGCGACATGGAAAGTACAGCAGACAGAAGAGGACGTACTCCCTTCGCCACAGGGAACTGAAGAGCAACAGCCATTGAAGCAAGAGGAGGATGCTCAGAGTAATATAAACAAAAGTATATCAACTTGTGCACTATAGACATCGCTGCCAGCTTCCCAAATGCCTTGTCATGAAGTTTACCACATCAGAATTTGGCATGCTGCATAGGCCACCAAGGGTGACTGACCTGTTGGTCTCAAATAAAAGATTCCATAGTTCAATTCCAAAATGTTGGTGATCAGGTAGCTCCACATTCTCGGTACGCCAGACTGACTCTAATTTCCGTACATACATTCCCATATTTATATACATATACTTTGATACATTTGATTTTAACTCAGGAGCCATCGAGGTAAGTTTACAAACAACATGTGTCCGAACTTCGACAATGCAAAATGAATGCTCTTATTTCTTGAAGGCCATCCCGCCAAGACTGGAAGTTTATGAATATGGCACCCCATCGCCTACCTGTTTCCCAGTAGGGTATTCACCAAAACAAGCCTCCTGGTACTTGGCATTCTCCTTCAGAGTCGGGACACCACTTAAGAACCCATCGACCGCGCAGAAGCCATTCTGAGAATCCTCACATCCGACAAGCCCATCCAGAGGTAGCGGGGCATTGTTAAGCACAAAGCGGATGTATTTCTTTGTGTCACGCATGGACTCTAGGCGGGGGTTGACGTAGAGGATTGGATCCAATGTGCCAAAAGAAACATTGCTGGGGCAAGTCCAAATCTCAGACATGAATCGTGCACCGAACGGAGTCAGGTCATTAAGGGCAAATGTCCGGTTGGAGGGTGCGTGGTCTACATTGATTGGAAGACCATGGGGGCCGTACTTGAAGTGCTCAAGTCCGAGAGCGGAGATGACTGAGAGAATGATATCATCGTGGGACATGTCCATATAGAATGGCTGGTCCATGGGGAACTGGGCAGTGTTGTCGTCGTAGGTAGAGTTGATGCTGGTGTCACTAGAGTGGATCAATTTCCCCTCAAGCCTGGCTGCAAGTTCTAAGACGTAGCCGATGCCTTGGGCACGGCCAGTTGGGGAGCCGAATCCGAAGTTGCCATAGTACTGGATGTCGACATTATAGGCAAAGTCCTTCCACTCTTGTTCAGTGAACAGGGAGCAGAAGAACGAGCCCCCAAGGCTTGTGTTCTCATAAACACAAAGGTTTTGCATTGCAAGCACATCGTAGGCTGTCAGGTTGAAGTCTTCGGGAAGGTAACTGGCCAGTCTATAGAGAGCATTCTTGGTGTATCGAGGAATGAATACCTGTGCAGATTCATCGCTGGTTCGGAGCAAGTCAGTTAGCCTGTCTATAGTTGCGCCCTACGGAGACAATGGACTCTGAGAGTTCCTCACCCGGCAGTCTTGTCACCAAGACAAGAAACATAAGAAGCCAGAGTATTATTGAAGAAACCTGTTGTCTCTGGAATAACAACTAAATCATACTGATCATAAGAGCTGTTGGCACCACTGTTGCCAAAGAAACCACCTGTTTGAAATCATTAGTTTGAATAACTTCTATCCAGGGGATGACTGGAAAACTTACTGAGCCACCAGCGGGCGCTTTCCAGAATTCGGCCCTGGGAAGTGGTACGAAATACGGGCTTTGGTCGTGCTGTACCATTGGGATAGACATTCAGGGACTCATTCCAGGCCGCCACATCATCACGACCAGGGCGGTACAGCAGCCTGCCGTATTTAATCCAAAAATCGGCCCCGGATGCATCTTCAGTAGCAGCACCGTTTTCCATCAATGTATTTTCTCCAACCACATACTCCCAGTCGTTTAGGAACTTCAGAGGGCCTTTAGCCACCATCTTTCCCGGCTTGGCTCTGGTATAATTGACCAACTTGGAGGCAAAATCTCCCATACCTCTCCCATCTAGGAGATTGCTGGTAGGAAACCGCTCGGCATGGCGATGGAGCACATGGACTTGTGACAGCTCACAGCCCTGCGGCATACCCTTGGGGACACCGAAGCCATCCGCATTCTTATAGGGACTCAAGTTGGCCCAGCTTTTGGTCATGTCAAATCCCGATGTATACGTAGCACCTGTTGGTGCAGATGCAGGGCTCGACGAGCTGGGCGAAACATGGGGTGCAGCAGAACCCACGCCCGCTAGAGCAGTGAGGCAAACGCTAAAGGCAAAGTTCTTCATGGCGAATGTGCTACTACAGATCGCCAATCCGAAAAAGGGTGATGGTGATTATTGTTTGTATGACTTGGAAAAAAAGCCTGCGAGGCAAGAACACCTTTTATAACCTTTTCTCACATTACATGTGACGGCTGCTTCGCTCGGGATATTCTTTCGTACAAGTCCGGCCAACGGTCCAAAGGCACCTTTGCCGATCAATAGATTTAGATGCCCCGAATATCCCGCATTTTGGTCTCCACCGGTATAACTGTGACTAATATGAATGGGGTGCCGGGTGGACCGAGTGCGAAGCTTCGTGAGGAAACTCTTTGTATACCATCACGACAAAAGCCATCGACGCCATATTTGCCCCGGCAGATAAATGCGACGCACTCAGTGATATGCAGCATGCTGATCTGTTTGAAATGCAGCAGGTAGATACGTTCTCTGAAGCGAACGTATCGGGATTCTTTTGTCTACGCCTTGTTGCCCGGAGAGAGCCCGCCAAGGAGTCTCCACATAAATGGGGTAAACGGCCATTTATTTAATCGGAATTTTGTCTCCGTTCTCCACACTTCTCGTAAGGCAAGGTAAGTAGGGTTACATTCGGAGAGGAAATGAGGAAAGAAAAAGCAAGCCCCAAACCAAAGGTCCTGCTTACCTGGGTGGTTGAACCCGGATCGCTCAAGCTTTGCAGTCGATGTCAATGGCTTGACGCTATTTCGCATGAATAACTCTTTAACATTACTAATTCGCCACTGTAGAGGGAAATATTGCCGAGCAATCTCTTTGCAGGACTCCATGAAAGCACAAGTCGTTTGCTGGGTCACGCTCTCTTCTATTTCCTCGGCCAACCGGCAGAATGGAAGGTTCGATCCGTCTTAAGTAGTATGCCTGACATGACGCTTGATTATGCGTCTCGTATCATCTACCGGAATATTTAGTTTCATTGAGGGAGTGGGCTTATACTCCTTTGTGTAGAACGCTCTCTACAATCTAGGAGAGGAAGGTCCTGAGGGAAAAGGCAGGACATGAGCAAAACTGCAGAACTTGCAGGCGACGCCAATTACTTACTAGGATACAATTCATATCGACCAGTCAATGTGTCGATAGCGGATCTTACTGTAGTATTTCTAGAATGAATGTATTATTCCCTAATAAAAGTTAGTATAAATACTATTTGTATCGATATACTCAAAAAAAAGAAGGGTAGTAGCAAGACATTAATATAACTGGGAACTTGATATGTAGGAAATTATATACAATATATTTAGATAGTAATTAGTAGAAATTCACTCTTAAGCTCGATACTCTATAAATTGTAAGGATACTGTGTGTATAGAGTTTCGTGTAAAGGAGAAAAAAAATGCTTTCATTGTAAATGACCGACCATCATTGAGGTTGCTCCTAGATGATGAATATATCAAGGTGCTGTCGGACTATAGCCGAAGAGTGAGTATCAGATAAGTTCAAACTTCCTTGTATTATCTAGTTTCAGTTCCAACACGCACAACTTTAGGTAGATCCAGCTGCTTATTATCACCATCTATCCTGAGCTAATTAAGATGACCTCAGGTACTAACTAGATTTAAATTTCTCTTTAAATAGTGGGTCGTGATGCACAACCTTGAGAATAGACCCGTGCTTATAGCAGTTAAAAATCTAGTGTTTTGTTTCTATTCTTCTGCTCTCTTGCTTGCTAGAGGCCTCCTCCTCCAGGGCAAGTTCTGGGATAACTTCAGCCAATACTTGTACGGCTGGCATCCTGTATTCATGGTACTAGAAGCCACCACTGCCCTATCATATACCTTCTAGAAATGAGGCCTGACTGACTAAGAACTCTGGTAAAGCCTACCATACAAAAGGTTACAGAGCGTCATGTATAATCTAAAGGGCTCCGTAGAACATTTGCCTGTCTACAGTAACCCGGTAACGCTTTCAAACACTTGCCACGGTCTTGATTGTAAAATCCTAGTTCTCATAGTTTAGTAGCTCGTTATCTTAAGTATGTCTGACTTAATTCGCCCGAGTCAAACGTGATATCCATGCTGAACATACATCCTTGATGTCTGACAATGTGGCCCTGCCAGAGCTGACAATTTGCTGGCCTCTTCAACTTCAATGGATGGAATCTTGTCAGACTGCAAGCGGGAATCAATGTTTCATGCTAAGCGTCATGATGGCTTTCAGTAGCGACGATTCTTTATAACCACCACCATTCTATACAAAAGCTGTGAATCCCTTCGTTACACATGCTCTTCGTGTCATTAAAAAACCGAAGAGGTTGGCCCTTCCACATTAAAGAGGGCTAAGCCTCGTCCGGTCCTCCTCATTACACTGATCAATTCATTTCCATGATTCTCTTGGTTTCTGGGATGAACAGCTGCTGTGAAATTAGAGAGAAAAACTTCATGAACACGCCGTTTCCCGGAGATGCTGAGCCCTAAACCTTATGCAAGGGACAGCAAATCTCTAATCTTCCTTCCTGGACAAACATTGAATCGCTATGGGAATCAAACCATTTATTTCGTCTTTTCTTTCTCAAATGTGAAATAGCAGAAAGTATACCAAGCTTTGCTGAGTAAGTCCACGGTTCAAACAAGTGCGAGTAAATTTCTCTGTATGTTCATATTGTTTCAAAAGTCGCCATGGGATTGAGCATGTTGGTACTCGCCGAGGGTACCAGAAAAGAAAATGAAATTGCATCACATGGTGCTTTATTCTATTCAGCAATTAAACTCGTATAATGCCTGGTCATTTCTAATCTGTATTGTATCATTCAAAGGGATATACTTATGCTTATGAAGCGATACGTCATTCATTCTTGGTGGATTCCGAAAACTGCGTAAATTGGTTTTGCTGGTTGGAATCAGCCTGAATGTTGAAAGCTTGCGACATTTCCACCCTTTGCTGCATGACGAGGCTGAACCTTGGGCTAAGAGAAGACACATACCATCAATTTCAAGGAATAGACTGTTTTGTCGGCTTTGTGTCGACTCCAGCCTTGTGGTATTGCAATTCCATCTCCACGGTCCGTGTGATAACCATAGACCTCGAGGGATCCGAGCCGTTCTGAATAAGCTCGATGTCATCGTCGAAATAGCGGCTCCTACCATGTTGCCTCGTATTGCGTGTGCCACTAGTTGGCACTCCGGAGGGTTCAGACCCCGTGAAACAGCCTCCAGGGCAATGACGGCGCAGGAAGGGACGGAGCGAGGGAAGGCAGTCGCAGATAATGACAAGGACGGTTTCCGCATTCCTATCAAAATGTTAGAGGTGAACCACTACATGGACCCCCTAGAGGAAACCTTACGCCCATAGGACCGGAACTGCCATATGATAAGGATGGTCCCCTTCATAAAGCAAGTTGTCGACCGTGATTGCGCGAAAGATACTGGTAATAATGGTGCTGCTATACTCAGCTTTCTGCCTCATCCGAAATTAGTAGCAATGGACAAGGAAGTACTCACATGCCACCCAAGAAAAACATCAGAGACACTCCTAGCTTTTGCCATACCCGCATATTCAGTTTCCAGATCAGAGGGATCGGGGCGATTATCATTAAGAAATCCGTAATAACGTTTAGCACGGAACTTGCTAACATGATACTGAGGCGGCCTACACAGTGCCCTTCAGTTATTGTCGGGTCCCATGCCTTAGCAACCGGCTGGCAGCCGAACAAATAGAGGAAAACCAGTATAGGTGTGGGTATGGTGATGAGGGTCGCGATTCCGTATATGCAGAATCTCCATAGCTTCACATGGGGACTTAGGCGATAGTATAGCATGATCAGGCTCAGCTTTGCGACACAAACTAATGGAATGAACGTCACGACGATTGCTAAAATTAACTTGACTGTGTTAGTCTAAAAAATCTCGTATCTTTATGGCGGGGGGGAGTGAGGTGCATTCTTACCACCGTGAACCTAGTAAACTCACTCTCCGAGAGAGTAGCTTCGTGCTTCCCAATACCTCCATCACCGAAACCATCTAGTCTATCATGTTAGCCGACATTCCCGGGAGTTATCGTTAGAGTTGTAGAGAGGTGAAAGGACTTACACAGGGTTAAACCCTGCATGGCAACTGCTAACATCTATATCTGCCGTTAGTTTCTAGCTTATTTCGTGGTACCTCAACAGTCTTTAAAATGCTCACCCATGCAATAATCGTGAAAACTAAAAGCTGTCAGTATATTCCCGTCCCTCATCAGCGGCTAGTCATAGGCTCACCATTATGAACGCCAAACTGTCGGGTGATGAATACACTCGTATAGGTATGCACAACGAGTGACAAGGCGCCCGTAATAAGCCCGAAAATTACCAACGCTTCATTAATTGACCCGTACGCTTCATGTGAGAGACTGTTCCGGGGTTGGAGTCGAGTCCATCCCTCCATTGCAAGCGTCCAAGCCATATATTGCGGTGGTGCATCAATCCTCTAGCCCTTGACCTGGTTCGTGTGAGAACTGTAAGTGTTTGGCACTTAGGTCTCACCAAACCCGTCTAAAGGATTGCACATGCAGAATGATGAGCGTTTATAGAAGTAATTTTCAGATTGCCATGTACCTTAATTGATTGGGGTAACAGCCCATTCTAAGAAGAGAATTGGCACTAAAACGGCTCCCTTCTCCAAAAACAAATCCTGTGAGCCGCTAGAAGACCGCTATCAGTAAGCTAGTGTTCAACTTCAGGTCATTCAAGCTTAATTAATGCTCGCTTGGCCACGTGGGGGGGTTACCCTCATGACAGCACGCCTGTTGGATTTGCCGAGATTTCCCCGTGTGCTGTTTCGATATCCAGCTCAGCCTATGCTAGATGTCAATCTGGCAGATAGGCCGTGAACAGTGGATCGCACTACCACTAGGAGCCGATTCTTGTTATGCTGATCTTAATTTTCTACATTCAACCTTGGAGAGAAAGAGATAGAGAGAAACAGAAGCGTGAACGGAAGGATTCGATGACGGAATTTTAGTATCATCATAGGAATCCTTCGTGGCCCCATATGCGACGCATTACTAACGTTATGCAAGGGTGTTTCAAATTAGAGCATCTACCGGGATATCCTTTATGCCGACCTAGCCTATTAGAGAAATAAGTGCTTACCTTATCTTCATGAAGATCTCGCCTCACCTTATTATCTGGGGTTACTCTTGTGCCGCGAAACGAATCAAAGAACGGATTTTTGAGATTGCCGCTGTACAACACCAAGGCACATTATAGCCCGTCCAACAAATAGATCGAGTCTCTAACCTACAAAAAATGTTAATTGATTTGAGTTGCTCTGAAATCCCGCCGATCATGTCAGGTTGTGGTTAGATGTGTCTAACTCAAGGTGGGGATGTGATTGATAGCGGACGGACCACGGCAAGGCGCTGCTTTCCGTCTCCCCCGGCTAGGCAAATGGGATGCATTCTGCTATGTCCATTCCGGGATTGATTTTCCTGGCTTGCGTGCTCAAACCAGTTTGGCTGCCGACGTAGTTGACCACCTTAAAGGACGTTTGTATCCATCGTCCTCTGAGCGTTGCCCGATGAACTAGAAGGGGGATGACCTTCTCAAGACGGGGGGATTGCACGCATCCTCGAAGTCCACAGTAGGAGACCATGCTCTGAAGAATTCAACTCAAGGGAAGGGGTTCTGTCACCTGTGTTGGCAGATAAATCATTATAATGTTGTTCATCATTAGACTATTGTGCAATTGGGTATGATCTTCCTGGTGGATATATCCTCGGGGAGCAGATATGGGCATCTTCTTGCCACCCTTTGGGGTAGAGACACAGTGCGTGAAACAAAGACGCAGAGGATGGCCCTGGGAGTGCAGAGCTGGATCGATCAAAGATGACTCTGAGGTAAAAGAAGTGTAAGACCAGGGCAGCAGGTCGGTATATAGACGACAAGTCATCCTCACGGGATACCGTTACGCCAGCTGGTTGCAACAAGGTTAAAGGTCATATCAGTGGTTTGAAGCGTAACTGTATACAGATAGCATACAAACTCTAAAAGTGCTTTCGTTTTTCTCTTTCTCTTTTTTTTTAATTTCCTTTTTTTTTTTTTTTTTTTTTTTTTTTTTTTTTTTTTTTTTTTTTTTTTTTTTTTTTTTTTTTGTAACTGATTTGAGTTTTATGTGGCAATGGATATCCGTGGCTGCATACGCATAAGACGCATAAGACCCATAGATCACCCAAGTGAACCTAAATTGATGAATGATCACGACGCCAATGATTCATGTGAACCGAATAACCTCCTTTGGGATTCGGAAACATGATCATGAATTGGTCAAGATGTATTTCCACCTCGAGCTTTCTATCAAAGTCTATTGGGTCACTGGTCTGCTGCGTAACAACGAAGATAGCATAAGGACAGCTAAAGCCTGGAAATCCCCAAAAGGGGAGGAGGTAAATGAATATAAATATCCCCCCACTCAGTATACCACTCGAACACCTCCGTCACCTTTGTGGCTAATGCAGATAGTAATCGTTTGCTGAGTTCCAGCCAATCATGATTTCACAAGTCCGCAAAAGATTTTTGGACCCCTGAATGACTACAGAGTACGGAGTAGACACACTGCATCTCCAGAATACCGGCTGCGTGGATAGTTTGGAGCAGCTTGCTTGGACGGTCGATCTTCTCGGCGGAAACGGTCAGCTTAGCCAAGTGGGTCACTTCACGGCCTTGTTCCGTGATTCCAAGACGGTTGGCTGGTGACGCCTACATGAGTAGATAGTGTCTAGTATCTACTAATCATAAATACAAGACGGGCGCGGTGACCACTTTCCTAAAAGGAGTGATTTCAACGCAACCAACATTTTTGTACCCCGTAGTTCTCCCGTCGTGGATGTCGCGCTATTAGGGTTATTGAACGGGAACCCTTGAATCACTTTTTGTTCTCTCTAGGTGGATTTTCTCCTTTGTCACGCTACATGCGCCAAAAAAAAAAAAAAAAAAAAAAAAGAAATTATTTTATTTTATTTTTTTTGGTTGAAAAATAGAACTTTGAAAAGGGACGGGCGGGTACATGTTTCAGTTGCAAGAAAATTTTCCCGCAGGATTCACCTTGGCTAGTCTGCCCTAAACTCTAATATATTTGGCAAGCTCCTGATCCACTGTTAACTGCCCGAGCTAATCGCGTCCAAAGAGGTTAACCTCGATACACATTCCTTTTTGAATTCGGAATTCCCTGTTTTCTTGTTGTTTCTGTGATCGGGCTTGCTGGCCCGATAGAGTACCTTGGTTTTGTGATCTTCGTAGCATCCATCACCTTTCACACGGGCTAGATGTTCTTGGTGACTGCGTAAGCGTTGGAGTTTGGCCATCGGATCCACTGAAAGGTTGGGTATAACCATAGGCATTATCGGTGCCTAAGCCGAATGTCGGTGCCGAGTTCAATAGAGATCCGAGTTGATTCGGGTTGAGCCCATCAACTCCGGTCCGGCCAGCGATATATCATATGAATGGCACGATGTCTCATAAGACAGGGGTGTTCTATCATATGCATGCAGAATTTAGACTTTCCTACAAAGACGACGGTGTGATGCATCCTATATTTGCTCACCCCACGATGCTTGGTGAGCATTCGCCCCTAATTATCCTAGACTCCACATCTCGCTAGTTTACCTGGAAATCGACCCTCACTGCCAAGATGGGGTTCCCCCTGCGTCGTGCCAAGACTACTGAAGCATCGGAAATTCACATCTTGGTTGAAGGTGACGCCGTTGTAGGACATGAGTAATAGTTCAATTTCTCTTTGAACGTTCTGTATGGTATAAAAAAAAAGCACTATGGAGACCTATTGTTTTAAAATTTGCTTTCGAATAACGGACAAGTCCTGACAACAGTCAATCTTTAGGAAAAAAAAAATGTCAATATGCGTAAGGCTATCTATCTATCACGTTGTCCATCTATTCAGCTTCTCCACCAGACGAGCTATGTCCCCTAACAGATATCGCAGTCATTGGTGCCCAGGAAACTGTGAAATCATCACTCAGCTCTTTTAGAGGCTTTTGTTCTCAGCTTCATGAACAGATACACCAAACCATATGAACTGAAAATGAAGATCACAAAAATGCCCACGTCTCTCCAGCCAAAGTAGTAGTCGTTCAAGTTTATGGTCTTCAAATAACCGCCTCCGCTCGTATAGGGACAGACACGGCATTCGGAGCGTGCCTCGGGATTGACCAGGTTTGCGTCAGACTCTTCTAGATACGAAGACAGGTACTCCAGACATGTCATGTTGGAAGGTGGATTAAATGTGGCGAACTCCGAGTCAGCACACTTCACATCGACATCGAATATGTTGAACACCAACAGGCTCCCGACTAGATAAGTGAGAGGGTTCATGTAATACATCCAGTATCTCCAGAATGGAATAATTTGATCGTATGGGACCAATATGCCACAGAAAGAAACCATGATTCCGACAAGGAGAGGATTGACCAGTGCGGCAAAAACAGCATTTGGCGAGTAAGCTGCGACAAATTGACCGATTCCTGTGTATGAGAACTCATACAGGACTACAACAAATAAAGCGGCCCCAGCCTTTTCTGAGGCTGCTGGGAAACCGACAGTATAGTACCAACAGAGGAAGTACAGCACGCCGCAGACACAGAGATATGGGAACTCGGACACAATAAGAGCCGTGACGAATGCTTTCCAGGAGTACATCCTTGATTTCTTTTCCCGTGCATCGTAAATATCCCGTCTTTCAATAAAGAGGGGCTGGAGCTGATTTACCACGCCCGGGGCAACAAACATGAACACGAAAATAGTGAACATGCGAAGCTGCATGTCATTTACAGTATCCCCGATCATCCAGTATGAAAATCCATTGAACAGGGCTAGTCCAATATGCAGGTATATCTTATTGTTCACATAGTTCGTATTCCGAAAGAGTGCGAGATTCATGCGGCGCAGGACAATTTTAGTTTGGTACCAGAGTGGTGTCGCATACTCGTTGTTATCAGCACTTGAGTTATTCACTGGGTCTCTTGAAGCGGTGTCTCGAATAAGCCTGTCGAGCTCAACCATTGACTGCTGATACTCTGGCGACTCCACCCATACACGGTGCCAGTCGATACTCGAAGCTCGACCTGAAACGACGTCGATCATATGGTCTGCAGGGTTCATTTGACTAGGACAGGGCGATCCATGGCGGTTGAAGTATTCTTTGAGCGTGCTGGCATTTCCTCCGATCTCTCCAAAGTAGACAGTTTTGCCACCTGGGGCCAACAATAAGAGGGTGTCAAATTGGTAGAACAACTGGGCCGATGGCTGATGGATGGTAACTAAGATGGCTTGGCCCTGGTTTGCAAGCTTTCTTAGGAATCGCATAGTGTTAAAGGCAGATTGCCCATCAAGGCCCGAGGTTGGCTCATCTAGAAAGATCAGAATACTAGGCTTGGCGACTAATTCGACGCCTATAGTAACACGCTTCCGCTGCTCAATGTTTAAACCGCCTGCGTTAGGCTTTCCTATGAGAGTATCCGCAATGTCTCCAAGTTCAAGAAGGTCAATAATGACATCAACGTATCCGAGCTTTTCCTTTTCAGAGGTGTTGGGAGGCTGCCTTAAAAGAGCAGAGAATTCTAATGCCTCTCTAACGGTTGCATAGGGCTCATGAACATCAAGTTGTTCACAATACCCAGCCGAGCGCTGGAACGAAACTGATAGAGGCCGGCCGTCCACCATGATTGACCCTTCAATTTTACCTTCTGTTTTCCTCTGGGCAAGGACGTCCAATAATGTAGTCTTCCCTGCTCCAGAAGCGCCCATTAGAGCACCTAGCATACCAGGCTTTACCCATCCATGAACGTTATCCAATAGCACACGGGGGCCAGACGGAGTCTTTACAGTATATGTTAGGTTCTTCCAGGTGAAGACGGAGGTATTTTTAGCCAATTGGGCCTCAAGAGCAGGTGTCGAAAAGGGTGGTGAACCATCCATTTTCTCTTGACTATGGTGACCATGGCAATACTTTTCTAGCGCTTGGGACTCCTCATCATCATTAAGACTCAGCTGCAGATGATGAGCCAGTCTTTCCCTGGGAATGAGAAGCTGTGCTCCGGACTCAGAAGGACTTTTCCACATCATGGTTGCACCGATCGTAACCACTACATAGAAGACCCACCAAGCCCAGAGAATACCAAAGTTCCGCCATAAGTGCGTATAACTGTATGATAAAGCACCCAGATATTGTTCCCCAGTTAGCGAGGCGAACCCTGGGGTTGAACCTCTCACCCCAGCGCACGACCGATATGACATACTCACATTAGCGTAGCTTTCGCCATGAGGGATCAGGTTGCCACCGGTGCAGTCGATCTCTCGATCACGGAACTCGTTACTCATCAAGCCATCGAAAGCGTACGCAACAGGGTTAAGCCAATATAACCACCCAAACCACGGCCGCATTTGGGTATATTGAATCTGAAAGCCTGCGTACATGGCCATAATTGTCACCACGTATCCTGAAACTTTGGAGGCACCATCAAACGTTCGGAAAACCGCACCGACGGCACGGAATAGAGCAGTAGAGCACATCGCACATGCGAAGAGGACCACGAAATACGTAAAGAACGCACTGGCAGACAATTTCAGGCCAACCATAAAATACAGGATTACAGACCAAAGGCTGATCTGAAAAATTGTGATTGGAATATCCGCAGCTATCTGTCCGATGCAGAACGCGGCCGGTTTGCAATATGCAAAGGCGTCGTGTTTCACTACCATGGGTCTGCCTGAGAAGGAATCGACAACCTCTGACATGGCGCTCATACTGTTGTAAAGGATGGACCAAAACAGGGCGCCGGCTTTGAGAAAAAGCCCAGAAGTGTCAGGTTTCACCTGGTAATACATCGAACCAGCTACTAAAGCCTGTATCAAAGTCGAGCCTTGCTTCATGGCAAATGTTTTCTTATCGCCGAGTAGCACCTGATATTGTCGAATAATACAAGCATGTACTTGCGTCGCAAAGTGGACAGTGTTTGCGCTTCTTGGATGGTACTTCTCGAGAGCGACAGATTCTTTAAAATCTTTGGTGCGTTGCTGCGACAGCTCACTGGTAGGATAATCATATTCAGAGGTCATTTGAGCTTTTATGCTAGAGTTGCGGTAGGATGTGGCAATGGCTTCCGCGTTCCGGGGAAATATGGCTTCATACCCAGGACGAATTCGACGTTCCAAAGGAACTGTAACACTGGTCAGATAATCTCCAATATTAGCACCCTCGCTGCATTCGAATCCGAGGCTCTCCATGAATTGTTGTGCTTGGTTAGCAGGTCCATAATAGATTTGCTTCCCCTCATCTAAAACAAGCACTTTGTCAAAAAGGCGGAAAATATCATTTCCAGCCTGGTATAGTGTTGCAACGATCGAGCTGCCATGTACATCCGCCATCGCACGCATCATCTTTGCCCAGTCCAATGCACTTGCCGCATCCAGACCTCTAGTACTGTTGTCCCAACAGTAGACAGACGCGCCAGATGCTAGGCATTCCAGAATTGAGACCCGTTTTCGTTCCCCCCCAGAAACACCACGAACATATTCATTGCCCACTTTCGTTTCTGCCGTATGAGATATACGGAGACTCTCTAAGAGGAATTCCTTCATCTCTGCACGGTACGCCTCTGCATGGACAGCATCCCCAGGGAGACGAGCGGGTACCTTCAGACGAGTAGCAAAATCCAGGGTTTGTCCCACAGTCAACGAGGGGAAGAATATCTCTTCCTCTGTATTCATAATGATCTGGCCTGCATAATTCTCCGCAGCCTCCTCATGGCCCATACTACCATACCACACGTCACCTTCTATTTCTTCATAGCCCGTCCTTCGATTGGCAAGCATCTTCAAGAGTGTTGTACATCCGGATCCAGGGCGGCCGAGAACCAGCAACATCTCTCCTGGTTTAACACATCCATGGCTCTGATGAAGTATTGTTTTCAATGGTATGCCTTGTCGGTGTTTCTGCAGACGACTAAGGATGTTAAACTGCGAAAAGACATTCTCATTGATTGTTGCTTCGGCACTTTTCGCTTTCACAGTCAATTCATTCCAGGTGACTCCAAGTCGTCGGGGTTTGTAGCCGGATTTTAAACTTCGGTGCAAAATATCTTCGAATTTAGAAGCCAAAGGACTAGCCTCGGCCTCGGTCATAGTAGACTTGTGCTCCTCTAGAGTCCAGTTTGTGGTTGATGGTGGAGCGGTCGAGGTTTCCATGGTTAAAGGTGGCCCAATGATACTCGAGGATACTCAACATAGACCGTGCATTACTGAGGAGAGAGAAGCTGGAAGATACAAGAATAAAATACTCAATGAACGCGAAAAGAAAGCGAGAAAAGAACAAGGCACCGTAGTAGCCTGTTTAAATGTTGGCTGGTATTGGCGCCTGGCCCACATCCTTACAAATAATCAGTAAAAGATAGTCACCAAACTCCGATAAATGGGTCTAATAGGTAAAGAAAAACGCTATATCGCACCAAAATGCCTAACAATCAACGTGGGATAGGCCATATTGGTTGCTCGGATTGTGAGTCGGACCCTCGGACAGTCGCATTCGGATCCACAAGCAGCAGCCAAGGAATTTGGCGAGTGATTAGTGAAATGGTACCGATGTACTCGGACAGAATCTGCATGGTTATATATGTAGCTTGCCATTTCAATAGCAGCTCTCGTAGTATATGGCCTGTTTTTATTTTGTCTTATTTTCCTTGAGGCATGTATGATAGAAGACCAAGGATATGTTAAGTATCGCAAGTTAAGTTGTTGATAGAGAATGAAGATGGCTAAACCTATATGGGAAGGCGGTCCTTCAGGCCAGGAACAACCCTCGGAACAAGCCTTTTTTAGGACTAGTACTGCATTGAAAATGTTCCGAATTTCCGACCACTTTTCTCGAAAACTAATTTCCGAGATTCCCGAAATGCCGACAACATTGGAGACAGTAAACTGAGAATCCTTCCTTATGAAATTATGCTCCTTCAGGTAGTAGAACCATAAAAAGTCAGCTGACACCTGATGGCCGAAACGTCCGGTATCTCGCCCTTGGCATCACTCCGCAGACTCCCAGCTGTAAGCATCGCTATATATCACTGCCAGTTTTTGTACCCACACCAATGGTGATATGCCATCCCGAGGTGCTTCAGAGGAATTGACGCACTAACGAATGTGTTTGTTCTTTCTCTCATACTTTTAGTGTGACCTATGCCACGCAAGGAAGGTAACTAGCATCCTCAACAACTACCGGTAGTCAATTGCAGTAGCTGTGGTCATTACTGTCACTGAGTATATATACAAACTGTGTCTGACGCCGGTTTCTGGAGACAGGTTAAGTGCGACCGGCAGCCACAGTGCCATGGCTGTTCGAGTGCGCAAGTCCCATGCATTCGTGCGAGACCCAAGCAGACTCGCCGCACTCGAGTCTCACGGTACGTGTGGCAGCGCACTTATTACAGAAACATTTCTTATACATTGTGCTGTACAGTTTTCGAAGACCTGGGGATTCTAACCCAAGAAGCAGAAATAGGGGCGTTGGTGATCTATCCCGTAGAAGCCCACCTAATCCGGGGATCAGTCTCGGTGGACATGGTGCTTCTCGAGGACTATCTTCAAGCACCTTAGAAGGAACCAGACAAGTGAGACACAAAACGACTCTGCCCGCTGAAGCCATCCGCTCTACTGCGTATGTATATCCAGCAAACGAAGTCAATATAATCCGACGTGAACTAGACTCGAACTCGTCCCTTTCCACAAGCCGCAGGCATGTGTTGGAGTCTGCCCTATCTTTGATTGGTGACTTCAGCAATCCCTCACATTCAGTCGAAAGCTCAAGCTATGATCAAGAGTCAGATGATGATACACCAGATAATGTGGGACTTCCAGAATTGTTCTTCATGATGATGAATCGTAAGTACCCTTCTTCAGTCCCTTTTTAGCCATGAGACTTATGTCTATCCAGCTTGTCCCGATTATTCTACGCCATGGAAACTTCACTGGCCCGATCACATATCTCTTGAGAGGTTTGAGACCATGTGTCTGGCGGTTGTGAATGGTCAGGCGACCGGTCAGATAGCATCTCAGTATAAAGTCTGTATATTTGCAAGAGCAGTTACCTACATTAACAGATGGCTGCGTATATGTACGTCCAGCGAACTGGCTCAAGCCCTAGAAGCTTCGAAGAAGAAGTATATAACGGCTGCGCTCCGGTCAATTCGAGAACTTGATATTCTGCACAAACCGAGCCTATTGATGCTCCAGTCTTTGCTTTCGGCAGTGAGTATAACCTAAGATACAAACTCCTGTGCATCAATGTATCTATGATTACACATCTAACAACTTAGTATTGGGTACTAGGTCAACCTGATGCAAACTTTGGGTGATACTACTCAAGCTTGGACTTTAACGGCTTTCGCATCGAGGCTCCTGGTGGCACTGGGTTATCATAACGTGGACTCAAGGATGCTTGAAGAGTGTGACAGGTCTCATGAAATACGTCGCTGTATACGATGGTGCTACTACTTTGATAAGGTTCTGAGTATGCTTCTAGTGCGACCACCATCCTTGCCAGCGCTGAGTGTTGAGCCAGCCTCGTTGCTTCTGTCAAGACAAGCAGACCCTTTAGATATGAAAGGCAATATTTTAATTAAGCTGGCGCATGTGCTGGATGGTGCCCTTTCTGTACTGATGCCTGGTGATGGAATTCCTGATAACCAGACTCTGGAAACTATCACTCGCTTAGAAGTCGAATTGCAAGACATATGGGAAGAGCTGTGTGAGGTATGCATCCCCCTTCTTCTTCCAACCAGCCATCCTAATACCGTCTAGGCAAGAGCGAAATCGAGTGACACAATAGAACTGCGCTTGGAATGGGATGCAGTGGACTTCACCTATCATTCTATCATAACAACAGTCTTGCGACTCAATTCGGTTTCCTTACATGACCATCGTGTGCGTGAACGCTGTTTATCTCATGCCCGCAGAGCATTACGTTCAATGAATGTGCTGCAACATCATATCTTGCGGGGTGAACAAATATACCACGATTTTGTGTTCTGGTATGTATGCCTCCTTTACTCGTCAACAGAGACTATGGGAGATCGACGGCTAACTTATCCCACACACAGGACCGTACTTCTCTACCCACTTACGCCTTTTTTCATTATCTTTTGCAATGTCATTGCAACATCCAATCGCGAGGACTATAATCTTCTAACCCAAATAACAGCGGCCTTATCCCGCATCAAGGAATGTAACCCTTCAATATTCCGATTGCATGGGTTATTTTCACAGTTCACAGCTTTGTGCGATCAGCTTTATGAGACCATTGCTCAGGATGTTTCACAGCAGCATGAACAACCCATGGAGGCAATCAGAAGCCAGCCCACTGCAGTTGCCAACTCTAATGATGTTAACGTATCGGTATATCCTCAACTCCATGAATCGCTTACCGCAAGGGCACACAGCAGTGATAGCACTCAACTAGGAAGCTCGGAGCAACAGGTGCTGTATTCGCATGCACTCGATCCTGGATCTAGTGCGGAAGGGATATCTCAGCAACCTTCGTCAATGTGGGATGACGGGCTTATGTGGGAACTTTTCAATATCCAGCCAACTGTTGAATGGTTCGATGCGGGTTATAAAGATAGTGCGACTGGGCTATGATACGGTATTACAATGATATGCACAAATATGACCATATGTATCAAACCAAGACAAAATGAACGTCAAGATGGATATATGTTCGAACCAGCTGTTTGCATGAATAGTGTTGCCAGGCGTACAAGCATACCTTGCCTGGAGCGAACCGTAGTCCACGATTATATCCAAAAGAAGTTCCATCACATTATAGAAGTACTGCACTGTCGTATAATTGATAGTAGATTGCATGGAATAGACGTGGGTACGGGAAACACATATATGGCATACACAGAGATATACACAGATAGTTTCATGGGTTTGTACGTGACCAAGGGTTCTGGCACCCATTCTTCCCGTCATCAACGACCGGGAGGAGCCCGAAAGGAGTGGTATGCAGGTATAATACATTCATCCCTGTGTGCGGCGGCTAGTAGTGATATCTCGGTAAGTTGCTTCTATCAATCATTTTAAACAGCTGATACATCTAGGCGGCATCTACATAATACCTTCACTTTGGCCATGTGGCGCTCTTTCACCCAGTACGATATCCTCACGGGTTACTGAGATGCGGACGCTCTTGACGATAGTATTACCAGTACCCCGCGCTCCTGAGGTGCTGGGCTCCTTCGTTTGCCGAGACCACCTCCACGACCTGGTTTTCGACTGCCGACTGTTATCGTTCTCACTAATACCTAGTGATTTTGAGGCATCTTCGGTATATGCGAGGCCCTGGTCATCTTCGTAGACTGCTACGAACATCTTTAGAGATGAAGCGGTAAGCACGAGAACACTAACACCGAGATGGATTAGGCGACTGTATCTGCTTCTGGATAAAGTATAAATGGATGGCAGAGAGAGGAATGAGACTAAAAACGTTTAGAATCTGGGTCAGCTGTTAGTAATGGAAGGAATAGAGGTTAAACATACATAATGCGGCAGCTGAGAATGGTGAAGATGATGAATTTCTTGAATAGAGAAATTTGAACGTTATAGATAATTCCCACGGGATAGGCTAGGATAAATGCTTCAAGGACGATATCTAGGGCGCAGATAACCTTCCGACGCAGTAGCTATAAGTCACAAGATAGGTCGATGATAGTCGAGGTGGTTTCCAAAGCAATACGAAGTAGAACTATAATTACTCACGAGACCAGCGCAGTGATTATCAGTATCTTTCCACGGGCTCTCACTGCAACGAGCCCCTAGAATGGCTATCGCGAGAATAGCCCAGACCGAACAAGCAGCGAGGATGGCACTATTCGTCCGCATAGAGCGACAGATGGAGAGGTTCCGATAGAAGATCATCGAGCAAATTTTTGACAGACCGACGACAAGTATATAGAACAGGTCAGCTACATAAACCGTCTGGCTTTGGTGAGCATCAATTCCATAACTTTCTCTAGATTGACACACCTTCAGCATCGGCGTGGAGTTCTTGTCCGAAACCATACCTCGCATTTTACCCCACCCATAGTGAACGGAGGCTAGAATAAGAGAGACTTGCACGCATGCACATACCTGATAGGAAATGTCAGAGCGACCTAGCCTATCTGATGTAGGGCAAACAGGGGCCGAGAGAAGGGATACCTTTTTACGACGCATACCACTGCTGTGAGAAGTATGTAATCATCCTTCAGCACGGATCTTTTTGAGGCAGCAAATGCGCGGATTGAAACAGAGGCCAGGGTTAGAAACAAAGCGAGCGAAGTGATCACCACGAGTAAGCCACTATGATCATAGTCAGCGTCCGCTGCTAGAGGAGGCGAAATCTCGGATTGCAGTGGACTAGATCGAGCTGGCATTGTACTTGGCCAAGTTGAATGGGATTTATATCAAAAGATTAAGGTCGGTATGGTATCTCCATATATTCAGGTTGAGGTTGGCCCTCCTACAACCCCGCTAGAAGACAAAATGGTACGGAAAGATGAGACTTTATCCGCTGACACGTTTAAAATCCGTTTCTTTTTCTATCTTACAGCAGAGTCTGACATCCAAGGGCTCCGAGCTTCCACCGCATATTGTCCCTGTCACATCGACATCGACAGCGCACAGACGGTGGTTCAAGTCTATTCGTGCACACATGTGTGCCAATAATTTAAAAAAAATTTTTTTTTTGCACGATTGGTAGAAGGGTGTCATCGCATATAGTAGGCCGTTTTAGCCCTGGTGATGAAGCTGTGAAGGATTTGACCCGCAGTCGATCATCTCCAACCACGGCCTAAATCTCAAGCTACTGGGCACCTACGTAGGACAAACGTCTTTGGACTAGGATTCAATGCGGTTAGTCCTTCGTAATGAGTACGAAGCGGTTCATTAAGTTATCTTATTTGCTTTTCTTTTTTCTTTTTTATTGGCAGCGCCAATATTTATGCCGCATGTTGTCTTGGCGAGGGTATGTAAGAAACGACGGAGAGGAACGGTCCGAATGGAGGATAGTTTAGGATATCGCTCTTTGGGATTGTCCTTCTCGAGTACTCCGTATTGAACACTTATCTGGACCTATTGATGGTCAAAGGCCGGATAAGTCCTTTCTACCCAGTGAAACTTGGGTTGGTTGCGAACATGGTGGCTTTATCGTTGACTCGGGAGAAAAATTAGGGTTTGGTCCGGTCAGCCACCAATTGTCTTACTATATTTACCATGACTCCCGTTTCTTGAATTTCACTCGTGACCGGAAGATAGAAGAAGTCCATGCAAGTATAACCTCGTCAGTTAGATCCCTCGTATTATGGTTCGGTATGTCGTACATAGTGGGCAAGCATGCAGATCGAGTGGCCGGGTTGACCCTACTTCTGTCCTTCTGTCTCGAATTATCTCTTCTCGTCTCTGGAACAATGAACAAAGTCCTTCGTCGGAACTTGAACATGTCAGGAGCATAAGGGAAAAGGGGTAGCTCAACGTGGGCTCTTTGTTCCAGCATAGTTGGTTGTATTGCCAGGATTGATACAGTATTCATCGAAGCATTCGTCCGTGAGGTTGGACAATCCATGAGGTGTGACAGCAAACATACAAAACATGCTGATTGCACTCTTACTGTCCCGATATCACTGACCGTGACAGATAGCATGCTACAACATCCCACCCTTCAGTGGGTATTTGATTTCTTTCTGCTTGACTTATCCTGATTTAGTTACTATTTCAGTGTTTGAGGATGCAACTACCACTGAATATGCTCCTAATACACAAAAGCCGGGAGATCTTATCTCGACTACTGCGTCTCGGAATATTGACATGGAAAACAATAATAAGGATGGCGAAGAAATGGGGACCCGGTTTGACCAGACCGACATGACGCGCATGGGTAAAATCCAGGAACTCAAGGTATGCTGATAGCACTCGTTGATAGCCGGGTATCATGGACTAAAACATTGGCGATGAATGCTACTGCAGGGAAATCTTCGCCCCCTAACTGCTCTAAGCTTTGCATCGGTACTCCAGGCGACCTGGAAATTTCTCCTGATGTGCGGGATTCATTTTGGGTCTCCCAATTGATGGAGGCCAGCTGACGCTCAAAGCGTCGATTAGAGGAAACACTGAAGCGCTCGTGAACGGCGGCAGGGCCGGTTTATTCTGGACGTACATGTGGACCTTTGCTGGATTCGGGCTGATTATTCTAACAATGTCCGAAATGGCCTCAATGCAAGTGAAACTCTGAACTTACTTGATATCTCAATCGGGTCTGGACTGACAAATGTGGAAAATGCAGGTCCCCTACTTCTGGTGGTCAGTACCACTGGGTTTCCGAACTTGCATCTTCCCACTATCAACGTGTTTTGAGCTATATCACAGGCTGGATGTCGGTGCTGGCATGGCAGGCTGGCGCAGCGTCGGGCTCATTCCTGACCGGCACGATTATACAAGGGTTAATCAGTGTGAAAGACTCAAGTTATAAGCCTGAGAATTGGCAGGGCACGCTGTTCGTTTTTGCAATGATCCTAGTTATCTACTTTTCAACGTCTACATAGCTAGTTGGATGCCCCGTATTCAAAACCTGCTATTGGCATTACACATTCTTTGCTTTGTGATAGTCATAACCGTCCTGTGGGCAATGGCTCCACAGCAACCTGCGCACGCCTTATTCCTAGAATTCAGCAATACCGGTGGGTGGTCCAGTATGGGATTGGCCCTAATGGTTGGTCAGACCTCTGCCATTTATGCCGGACTCAGCTCCGATGCCACGGCCCATATGGCCGAGGAAGTTCGCGACGCCGGTAGATATGTGCCGATCGCTATCATCTGGGGCTTCTTTACCAATGGCGCCATGGCTATTGTCCTGGTAATTACCTATCTGTTCGCCATGCCATCCCTGGAAGATGCCCTAGACGACCCAACCGGCTTCCCTTTTATCTATGTTTTCAAGAATGCAGTTGGGACTGCGGGAGTGAATGACCTCACGGCCATCATCCTCATTCCTGTCATTTTTAGCAACATCCTCTTCAATGCGTCAACAGCGCGCCAAACCTATGCGTTCGCTCGTGACAAAGGCCTGCCGTTTGCCAAATGGATCTGCAAAGTCAATCCGAAGCAGAAGCTCCCTGTGAACGCTATCGGACTATCCTGTGTCATCAGTGGCCTCTTAGCCTTGATTAACATCGGCTCCGACACGGCTTTCCACGCCATTATCACCCTTAACGTGGCAGCACTCATGTGGACATATGTGGTATCAGTCGGTTGTTTACTATATCGCAGACTGTCCTGCCCAGAAACACTACCTCCACAACGGTGGAGCATGGGGAAATATGGAATCTGGGTGAACGCAGCAGCCCTGGTGTATGTAGTATTTGCTTTCTTCTCGCTTTGGCCCACCAGTACTCCAGTCACCCTCACCACTTTCAACTGGAGCGTGGTCATTTTTTTAACCGTTTTTTTCATCAGTGGGGTGATGTACATTATCAAGGGACAAAAGGAATATGCCGAGCCGGTGATATCTGTCAGACGCGACGCAATGCCACAGGCTCTGGTCAACCGACATGGTATTCGCCGAGAGATTTAACTTTGGGAAACAAGTCAGCCACGTCTATTTGTTCGTTTCTTTCGTTGTATTTCTTATATCTTTACGCCAACGGCCTACTTCGGAGGCTTTCTTCATGTTGCCGGTCAACTATGAAAAATAATGCCTCGATTAACTATGTATCGCAAAGCAAGACCTAATAGAGGACACATGAACTACATAATTATCAATCTTGATTGCGTATATATTCTTGTTACATTATCGTGTCACATCGTCACCGTGAGTCATTGGTCTTCATAGTGACTTCCCCATCAGATCAGCCCTTCGCCCGGTGCCTTGCTTGAAGTGCTGTGTACTTTGGCGAGTTACATCTTGGTCCAATACACGGCTTTCCCTTCCTTTCTTCCTGGAGGTTTACTCCTGCGTAATAATTACCTCGTGATGTAGAAGATCGGTTCCATCATAGATTGCACTGTACGGAGTAGTGATAAAGTGGAAACGGGAATAGAGGTTGTATTTGATGAATAGAATGCAAAGCAAAAGAGTTAATTTGATCTTGCAATAGCGTAATGGTCGCACCTCGAGGAATGACCCATGTGCCCAGAGGGCTAGACTACACAATATCAACATGATATCCCTAGGCAGGTGGTCAATTTCAAATGGTCACATTACCTCATACTTTGAATAGCCATGGTTGAGCGACAGCTCTATGAGGTAACCGTAGCGACATAGAAGACCTAAGTCATCGAGATGGAGAGGCTATTTAAAAAGCCCTGTCTCCCTCTTTTATACAGCTCTCTCCTCTTACATCTCCATCATACCAGCCACAATGTCCTTGATATTCGTGGCCATGCTTTTGGGCGTGGGACTCAGTTCCCGACTGGCCATTCGCCAATCCTGCCATGTTCAGGATGTAGCCCACACCTTCTACGGATTTCCCGACAATGATCCTCCCGGCTGTGCGATCGCGTACGACTGCGGCCGAGGTCTGACGGCTGGGGGAGTTGGAACCTTCAACGACCCGTTAACCTTCGCCTCAGCCCCGGGCGAGTTTCAGATCTGCGAAGTCATCTACGACCCCTATCTGCGCAAGTATCTTCGCATGGAGGATTTCTGTGACTCCTGCAATCGGAACTGGGCCAACAAGGTCTGGCATATCGATATCTGGACAGGTTCCAGTGCTGTCAATGGAGGAAACGACCAGATTAATTGTGAAAACCGGTTGACCCCGACGCCACAGCACAAACCTATCATTAGAGGACCGGGCCCAAATCTACCTATAGACGGTAGGCGCTTCTTTCTTTGTTACGACAGTTCCTTTTGTTGCAGGTGTTATTGTATATTGACTGACAATAGCTACACCTCTCTACGTTACGTCCGTTTGCAACGCTGGGGGCGTATTTCCTGGTTATGATGCTCAGAGCTTTTGCTAAACATTATCGCATTGGAAGAAGCCCCAACGCTGTGAAAGATTTATAAACAGAACTGTCTTTACTATATATTCGCCTGAGAAGCTCATGTTTCTTGCTCTCATGGGTATTGTTAGCCTTTTCCTGCCAATGCTTTGCTATGGTGTCTGAACAAAATCCTATATGAATGAAAAATTTGAAACTAGTATGACCTCATTTTGTAGTAGTCTTAAGGTCATCACCTTTTTGAACCATCAGCACTCAGATGACCTTCACTACTGATGGGCCAAATTCCTTGGTTCGTACAGCAACACACCCATATGGCTTTTATAATTGTCATGGCATGATCACTATGTCGAAACTACCTGTTTGCTATGTGAATAATGACATATAATGTGATCACTATTGACCATTGACCATTTGTTTTGCGTGGGTAATTAGAAAGTTTTGAGGGATATATCCACAGTTCTTTATTGAAATTTCATATCCGGTATAGCTGCAGCTTCTTATTTTAGTGCGTTCCTTCGACTGAATGAATGAGTGCTTTGCCTTCCCGATGGGGCGCCGGGCAATAAAAGCCCCCTATCTCATGATCCTCAATAAGCATGACCCGCAATTGAATGCTCCATCGACATTCACCACGAATAGATGCTCAAGAGTATACTTCTATAATGTTCGGCTCACTATTCACGTCATTGATACCCAATAAGGGTAAATGATGGTTGGTTGGAATAAGTCAACCCTATATAAATCCTGCCGCTCTTGTCCCACCGAGCATTCCTGTATGAATTAATTCTCACATGAACCAGTACGACATCGTTTCACAAGAGAAGAAAGAAAAATGCTGATCCACCAGCTAGTCCTCTTCTCCCTTGCTGCACTTGCTGCTTCTGCGCCTGTCTCAGAAGAAAAGCGCAGTGGCATTCTAGATGGTATTTGAAAAATTCGTCCTCATCTTGAGCTGCATTGTCATCGATCCTAACCACTAGAAACGCAGGCTACGAGTCAGCCGGCGATATGGACTTCCCCAACGCCCCCGAGAACGAGCCCACCAAAGAGGCAGACAGGATGTTTAACGGAATTTGGATACCCCATACCATAGAGTGGAAAATCCCACCTCATATACGCTCTGACTCTGAAACGGACTTGTCAGCCGGAGGCGCCGAGGAAACTGGGGACGATGTCGAGGACCAGTGAGACTGGATCTGGGTTACCAGGAGAGCGCCGAGGAAACTCTCCCGCGCAAGATATAACGCACCTCCGAAGAGGGGACTAATACACAATGTCGATTAGGATGTAATGTGGCTTGCATAAGCATTGTTGCAAGTACGAAAGAGCTAAACCCCGTCCAGATGAATGGTGGCAATCCTTTCATTGACTGCTTCTCATCCTCATAAACTGTACCCTGGTCAGGATGCTGATATGGAGCTAAGCTCATAGCGTAAGGGGATATATTCATCTCAAATTGCTCCCCTGATGCTTGTAATGCATAGATAATGCCATGAGCTATAACCTTTTTGTGTTTATTTTTAACTGGAGGTTCAAGAGACAGTGGCTTTACTTTTGTTGGTAAACCTAGAAGCTGTCTAGATATCTTCAAACGGACTTCCCGGCAAACCTTTGCCAATTTACCTCAAGGGTCAGAGTCCATGCGTAGTCCATTGCATAAGGAGTATGTCTCGCAGATCTGTACCACATAGCCCATGAGTACTAGGGAAAGACTTGGCTTGAAAAAGCTTCTGATAACCTTCAGGGTCAAACCACCAGACAAAAGGTCGTACTGACCTCCTGAGACGACGCTCGACAACCAACCACACTGGCGCATCTCCTTGTGCAACTGTGCCACATAGTCTCACAGCAAGCGCCCGCCACACATGAGCTATCAAATACTTCAGGTCTAGAGTCGCCGTCGGTTGCTCGATACCAATTGACTTTGATTTAAAACAACGATGATATTACGCCTCAGCGATCAATACGAAAAGGGGCGTGTTTCAGACAGATTTCTTTATACTTTACCTTACAGCCACTTAATTCAAGTTATGTGTATAAATATCGGCGAAGTTCTCACCGACTTCACTACCAGAAACAAATTCAAACATCCAAGTCCTCAAGTTCTTAAGCACGTCAGCCAAACATTCTTCTTTTACCAAAGAACTTCAACTCCAAAATGAGATTTCAACAGTTAGCTCTCTTCGGCTTAATTGCTCTGGCAGCTGCGGTTCCTCTTTCTGCGAAGGACAACCGCGCCAAGCTTGCATCGGGTATATACTCACTTCCATGCACCTCTGCTAAATCTATCATGTTCCAATCAACGCTAACTATTTATTTGATGCAGAAGCCCCCCTTTCTCGTAAGAATGAGTATAGAGATATCTCCGCTCGTGCCACTATTCCTGGTCTCAGGGGCGAAACAGTCAACTTGATTCTTCGCGGTGAAACAGCTACAAACGGTACTAGGCATGGCAAAGGTGGCGAGGGTGGCAAGGAGGGCGGAGAAGATGGAGATGGCGAAGACAATGAAGAAAGTGAGGATGAGGGTGACGATGGTGAGGAAGGCAAGAACAAGGAGGGCGAGGAGGGTGGTGAGAGTGGTGAGAGTGGTGATGGTGAGGAAGGTGAGGAGGGTCATAAGGGTCCGCACGGAGGCAAGCATGGCCAGGAAAGCCAACACGGTCAGGGAGGCCAACACGGTCAGGGAGGCCAACACAGTCAGGGAGGCCAACACGGTCAGGAAGGACATGATAGCAATGGCCAAGCCGCTAAATGAGGACTGCACAATGGGAACAGATCCACTGAAGAACCGTTTTGGACAAGCTGCTTTGACCGACGGAGGTATCTTGAAGCATGAGAAGGTCAATAATTTGCAGGGACTGGTCCTTGCCATTTTTCAAATGCTTGCGTTGGCTTCTCTTTTGTGTTTTGACTGTTCTATTAATTCCTCGTAGCCAAGTGCTGAATCACCTTTTCTCTATATCCAGATATCTAAGGATGGTCTATTTACAGTAACGCTTCATAAGCCCAAATTCCAATAAAACCAGATAGCCCGATTTGCCAAAGACTCAATCAACAACAAGAATTCCACGAATTAAAGTGAAGCGCTTGTAGTAGCAGACTCCGACTTGGGAGGCCATTTAACACGCCGTTCGGCGCGCACGTACAAATTATTAGGCCGGATCAGTTGGAACATAGGGTCGTACTCAATCGGCCCATCGTTCTCCTTTATGAACTTGTACCGGTATACTAGCTTCGGCAAAAATACCTTGACTTCTTGGAGCGCAAAGTTGAAGCCAATGCACATACGTGGACCAGTAGCAAAGGGGATATAGGCGGCTTTGTGTCGGTTCTTGACCTCTTCTGTGTCCCATCGGTCAGGGTCGAATCTGGTTGGGTTGCTCCAGACTTCTGGATTATTGTGAAGGTGATGAAGAGCACCAATTACCACGGATTCTTCAGGTAACTTGTAACCCCCAGGTAAGATCATGTCAACCTTGGCGGTCCGTGCGGGCTGATAAGATGGGTTATGGCGACGCTGAGTTTCTTTGATCAGTTTATCCATGAATGTTAACCGGTCGGTCAAGTCTGCTGTTATCTGGGTATCTTCGGTGATATCGTTGTCGATCAGCTCTTGCAGTAAGCGATCCTGAACACCTGGGTACGTAACAAGACTGTATATCAGCCAAGACAATAGTGAGCTAGTTGTAGTAAAACCAGCTCCGGTCGCGACAACTAAGGACTGGATCAGGCTTGTTTTGGGCAGCTTTTCACCCTTGTTGTCGGTGGCTCGAATGGCATAGTCTACTTCAATCAGTAACTATTCAGACACAAGCCATTGCCACACTCACCGATCATGTTAGAGGCCTTCAGGGCAGCGTCTTGAAGTGGAAGATCTTCGACTCCACCACGACTGGCATTCTGGATCGACTGGTCCACGATATCGAAAATACGATAGCGCATGTTTCTCAACCGCTGTGGATCACCAAACGGCAGCTTCGCATACCAATCACCCCTTGCAGTTACCTTCTTATTCAAAGACAGTGACTCCGCGATGATCTGAATGAGTTCATGAGGAGGTGCATCGGGAGAGGAGAAATGATTGAAATCAATGCCGAGCACAAGCTTTCCAACAGCTTGAGATCCAAGTTTAAGCATATATTGGTAGACGTTCCAAGCCTCACCGTTCTCATCAAAATGATCGAATACTTTGAAAGCATCTTCAACTGTCTGTTGCATTGTAGGGGCATAATGTCGAACAGCCTTGGGGCCCAATGCTGGCGGGAGGAACTTATGTGCCGCTCTCCACTCCGGAGTGTCAGTATCCCCTAGGAACACACCGGCTTGTTGGTTCTTGATCGCATGAAGCGGGTGAGCTTCGTTGATCTTCTTGGTGAAGAAATCGGTTTCTGAGAATATGAGAGATGACAACTGTGGATCGTTGGTTTGGTAGACCGTACGTCCCATGTTCGTTGTCTTGATTATAGGCCCATACTGTTCAAACAAGCGTTGATGGTTTCCTAGGTGGTCGGGATAGATTTCGAAGAAATTGCCAACGATTGGAAGTCCTTTAGGACCGGGAATTTCTCGCACGGGTTTACCATCAATCGTAATGCTAATGGGATCCTCATTTGCAAGGACCTCCGCGACATCGGATAAGGTCGCATCCTGAGACTGGAATCCGATTCCTGTAACGATTAGCTAAAGCCCAAATGCAAGCGTTCCTGTTCCCCTTTCTGTTCTCCTTTCTCCCTTGGGTATACATGATAAACGTACCGTTCGGTTCCACTATAGCGAAGTGTGCAGCAATGAGGTGCCTGAGCCCATCGTAGTCTAGTGTGGCTTCCAGTTCAATTTCTCTCGCAGTAGAGCTAGGCTCCCCTGAAAGGTAGAAGAGCTTGATAGGCATTTTGTCCGAGCCTAGGCAAATTTCTCATAGGGTTAATTGGTCGATAGGAATCAATCTCGACCTCTATTGCTAAGGGTTGAGGTACTAATTTATAGTACCATGAATGGCCAAACCTAGGGCAAGAGGCCGCCTCAGCGCGAATCCACATTGTCCGATTCCACATTACGTTGGACTGATATGAATCGGTTCACAGTAATGAAATGCGCATTAAGATTTGTGCTCCCTGCGACGTAAAAATGCCTCGATGCCTGCCTCGGCAAAAGCTTCGATATTGCGGTCGGCATCGCAATCTCAGAGCCAAACCTAACCAGCGAGAGACAGAGATCGTCGCCCTAGACCCACTGATACCCATTTAAAGCACTAAATTTTAACATAAAGGGGAAAGCGTTGCATTGGCAATGTCGGCCGCGACCTCCACGTATGTTACAGAATTCGGCCATGTCGTGCCGAATACCCATCGGGCCGTTTTTAATTTATGTCAATCTCGGAGGAGAAGATGCCGACTTCAGTGAGACGTCCCGACTGAATAATGTATTTACAATATGCCTGTGGGTACTATACTTATGTTGACTTTTTATGTCTCACGCTACTGGCTGAATTCCGTGGCGGTTCCAACATAATAATAAACCACGAGCTCGCCTATCCAGTCCAAATATCCAGTCCTACTTCCCTTCTATGCTACAACTAATTATCGTTCCCATACAACATAACGATCAGTCGAAATGATGGAAGCAAAGGCCGAAAATCCTGTGGAGGTTCAACTTCCTGAGTACACAGCCGCAGAGGTCGCATCGCATAACCGCAAAGATGATATCTGGATCATTGTTCATGGCAAAGGTAAGATTGCAACTATTAGGTTAGACACAACAAGACTAAGGCAGAATAGTTTTCGATATCACAAACTATCTCCAAGATCATCCTGGTGGCGCAGAGATCCTCATTGAAACTGCGGGCACAGATGCCACGGAAGCATTTGAAGACGTTGGCCATTCTGAGGACTCAGTAGAGATCATGCAGGAGTTCCTAATCGGCAATCTAAAAGGTGCTAAAGAATACGTCCCTCCCAAGAAGGTCCAACTAGTTGCTCAGAAGCCGGAGACGGTGCCTCAATCATCTAGGAGCCGCCCGGTGGGAACAATTGCTGGTGTGCTGGGAGCATTGGCATCCGTACTTTATGTCTATCAACGGAGTACTTTTGGTTCCCTGGTTCCGAAGAATGAGATTAGCCAACTGATTCCTCAGTATTTCAACGGAATCAGAATGCCTCGCGGAGGGTTCACCAATGGTTTTCTTACGGCTGCAGCCATCTCTGCAATAGTTGGCACAGCCGTGGCCCGTCAAGCAGCCAAATTTACCAAGATAGACTCGGGCTTCTTGCGCTACCCTCCACATATCAAATCCCGAAAGGTAATGAAAACTGACCCGCACTTGGCTAAAGGATTTCTGGATGCCAAAGAATTCAAGAGCTTGCCTTTGGTTGAAAAGGATCAACTATCTCCCAACGTTTATCGATTCGTGTTCGCTTTGCCCAATTCCAAGGGAGTCATTGGACTTCCTATCGGACAACATGTAGCTATCCGCGCACTTGTTGATGGTGCGACGGTATCTCGGTCATACACTCCGGTGTCAAACAACTTGGACCTCGGTCGCTTGGAGCTAGTCGTCAAGTGTTACCCTGAAGGTCTGCTCACTGGTCGGTACCTCGCCAACTTAAACGTGGGAGATGAAGTTGAATTCCGGGGTCCCAAGGGAGCGATGCGTTACAACAAGGGGCTCTGCACCAAGCTCGGCATGGTCGCTGGAGGAACAGGTATCACACCTATGTATCAACTCATCCGTGCCATCTGTGAGGATGAGAGGGATACGACTGAGATCAGTTTGATCTACGCCAACCGGACGGAGGCAGACATCTTGTTGAGAGAGGAGCTAGAGACTTTTGCGCGCAAATATCCCAAGAACTTCAAGCTTTGGTATATGCTGGATAGTGCTCCAGATGGTTGGGCCTATGGAACTGGCTTTGTGAACCAGGAAGTCCTTAGCCAACAATTACCGGGTCCATCCGAGGATACTAAAGTCCTCTTGTGTGGGCCTCCTGGTATGGTCAACGCGACCAAGAAGACGTTGGCGGCCATGGGATTCCAAAAGGCAGGAGCGGTGTCAAAGACGAGCGACCAGATTTTCTGTTTCTAATTCTTATCCTTATCTTTGACTTTCTCTTTAAATTCTCTCTCTCTCTCTCTCTCCCCGTCCCTTCCTGTGGACTTGGGTTTCTATAGGCAGCTTCAATGTATATAGACTGTAATATTCATCAATATATTGCTTGAGAGGTATTTATCTTTCTCTGCGCGACATCCGGACGTCAACGAAAAAGGAAATGTCAGCCCGAAATCTTGAGCCATGTCTCATTGCTTAGATATGCGGTACCCACCAGAAGGCTTTCGAGTTGACAGGACCAGCGTATCATGGCCCCTAATTTTTCTCAGGCCATGTTGTGGTGGAGAACTCGTAGTGAAAAGCTTGACAGCAAATGACAGGAATTATGGAGTCTTTACTTGAATAGGGCTAGTTAAAGCACGGGATGAGTGGTTTGGACCAATCATCGGGTTGTCAATTCCGTACGTTGAGAGCAAACCGAATCATATCGACTCCTGGAGGTCTATGAACTGACTGAAATTCTCATACAAGTTGGTAGTTGATATGTGCCTCGGTCAGTGTATAGACTATAAGCCTCTCAGGCTCAAGGGAAGTACCTTTTCACCCAGTTCTTGAGCGTTTTCAAGTTCCAACCAACTACCCTAGTGCTAGAGTCTAAGAATCCCTAGCTTCTAGCTTCTAACCTCTACAAATTACCTGGAAATTACAGGAGCAGGTGTTATAATAGGCCAGAAACAGACTAGACAATTGAATCAGGATTAGTGATCGCTGATTTCATTATGTGTGGAAAATATAATCCCAACCAAGTATAACTTCATCCACAGTACTATTCGCACTTTCGGGGTGTGTCCGAACAGTAAATCTGCCTCGGCTGATCAAAATTTACATGCACAATTTTATACATTGACATGTCTGATTCTCATCGAAAGGGGGTTGAAAAGTTGGAACTTGACGTTGTTGGGCGCCAGAAAAAGTCCAACAACAAAATAGCCGAGGTATGTTTTCCTACTTTGGTTAGGCTGGCCGGCCATTCTATCAGTTGCTTCGAGAGATCATGAAACATCCTCACTGTTTCGTGATAAGTGTTCATCCACATTCCTGTACAGCAGCACAAAAATTCATAACTATGTATATTGTATCACTATAACAAGGGAGAAAGGGGGGAAAGTAAGATAAAATGAAAAAAACACCGGAACACGAAAGTGGGACTGTATTATATTGCTATCTCTAGCTACCATTATATATTTTTCTTAATGCATATTGATAATACAAAAAGAGAAATCTCCTCGGCACAGCGTATTGCCGTAGTTACTCTCAGGCACGCTCGATGTAATTTCACTCCACCAAAAAGCTCATTTCTCCCGATCATGCGCAGCTTAGTTCTTGGGATATTGGTGTTTCCTCACTGTCATCGGCGATACAATGCCTAGAAAGGTTTTAGGGCATATTAGAGACTACTGTCGCTGCTGGTGTGAAGTCATGGACTCTAGATGGTAGACAGCTTCGACTATGAAATCACATACTAGGCCTATGGCCTCGCTGATAGGCAAAGTCCTGCGGCAGGTTTGGGCAAGCCTCATCCAGCATTTGTTTAGCCACAGCCATACGGAAAGGGAGGACGCTGAGCCATCCAACGATACAAAATTACTAGTTTTGATTGCCTAAGGCATTGTTATACTACTAAATGTATAGGAATTTGGATTAAACTAACAAGTACAAGGGAAAGAAGAAGGCAAGCAATGCTAAACTATTATCATATGTTAAGCTAATTTCCGTGAGGGCCTGTGTTTAGGTTAGGCTAAGTTTTATTATTGGAGAGTAAGAGGGGAAGTATGAATATAGTCATCCCCGTGTGGCCTTTCCCAATTTCACTATGGCTTAACCATAGAAGACAAGGATCGAACCTACAGTTGGCATTTTCATGTTAGCATTGACGGCAGGACAGAGGCACTGCCACTGATGATACTGGCTGTCAGCAAGTAGATGAGATTGGATCCTTGGCAAAATACTGTGGAGGTATAGATTGACTGACGATCAGCCTGGACTAACACGAGCCTTGCATGTCTTGATGCGGCATTGGCAAGGCTGTATCTGCCAACACAATCCTATCTAAAATTTACCAACTGTTACTGCGCGAGGCCGATAATACCTCACGCAAAACTCATCTTTGCCCTGTCCATCATGACTTGGAATTTTACCCTCAACCATGAGTAAATTGAGCTTCTCAACCGCAGTTGGGATGCGATTGCCAAAACAGACGCAGCGGATAAGTTTTAAGAAAATAACATATGGTCTATGGTCTTGGATCCTTGAGAAATTTGCATACCACAAGCTAAAACGCCGCACTGACCATGGATTTGAGCTAGTCAGTTTACCTGAACGGTCATCTACCTCAAAGAGAAACCTCAATGGACCGGACGGGTGCGTATAGTGATAGGGACAACTTTATGCATATTGGTTGTGAATTTCGCTCTTACTATCGCCGGTGCTGCAACTGCATACACCAAATTTGGTGACCATGGATTCAGTTAGGCAACCCTCTATGAAGGGTCTTGCACGGCATCAAAGAACTGAACGGTTGGGCTACGCTTGCTTACGAACTTTCTCAGTACGATCGTTCTCGCCACCAGCAGCTACTGTATGCAGTGGCTCACAGCCCCGGCCCGTAAAGGCATTGACCGCGCCCATTCGCAGCGTATCTGGCTTAGTATAGATTTGCGCAGTATCAGGAACTTGCCGTACATCTCCACATGGCGGCATGTTCTCTGGTGGTCCTGCTGCTGACATCTGCCCCACTTCACACCTTGTGTATACTTCACGTTATCTTGTCATCTTCGATTTTTGTTTCCTATTTAGAGGTTATTCTTGGCCGAATCTCAGAAGTTCGAAGGACGCTTCGAGAAGAACCTTGACGAAAGCATAGCCAGCTTTCATTCCGCCGCGATGGATGGCAGACTAGAGCATATTGAGGTAGAGATATGCATGAACATTATGAGTATGTCTAAACATGCGATTACGGGTCTTTACAAAGTCGAGGGATAATTATCCTGTTCTCGAAAGACCTCTAAGCAGCTAACCAGTCTATCCTATATGGCGGTACGGGGCCAGTTCTCGATTCCTCCTTGAGGCTTTCCCCAAGTGGCACGATTGGTAATTGGACAGCTAGTGCTCTTCTTGGGGATACCAATTTGGAACGTGAACGCTACAAAAGCGGATAATACTTTAACGGTCAATGGGTATGAAGTCTTTGTCCAGATTGTTACATCTAACAGACCTGCAGGAGTGCTTCGCCCATATAGTCTGGTAGGAATGACCAGTCCTCAAATGCATGTCGGGAAATACCGTATCTTGTAAACCCAGAAATCTCAACCTGAGAATACAGTATAGTTGAGTTTCATACATTACATTCTGCGTATATAGAGGCTCTTTCCCCCTAGTGACTTTCCATCACTCAAGCACTAACATCATCGTCATCCCTTCTTCTCCGCATGACCTTCAACTTCAAAACGATGAACGACCAAGTAGCCCCCAACCCGTCAAAGACCCACTCAACTGGTTCATCCGGTACGAGTCTAATAACGAAGCCGACCAAGATGGATAGAGCCCCCAAAACAAGCGAGTAAGCCCACTGCGTACCGGTAAGTCTGACGACGGAGAAGACACGGCCTCCGACAAAAATGATTAGGATTTGGCAGCCCATCATGAGGAGAGTGACACATATGAATAGCCAGTTTCGGGATACGCCCTCGAGAAGGTTAATGCTGTTTTCGAGTTGGCGGTTGCTGTGGTTGATCAGTTTGGAACCAGTATTCTTTGCTCTAGGGCTTCAAGATAAAGCTGGGGGTGTGGAGTTGGATACAACACTGATGGAGTATGGTGTAACGTACTTATACATATTAAAAATCTGCATCCAAACGTATGTATTAAATACCGCTGTCTGGAGCCCATCCTTGTCGTCAGGTGTATAGGAGAAGATACTGCTTCCTGCAAAGTGAAGGACAAGAGTCACCGCTAGTTGGTAGATTGATTGCCCTATGATCATCTTCCACATTGGGATTGTGATTAAAGGAGCCGATCTCGGTTCCGGCTTCCGATCTAATACTTTGCGCGATGGAGGGTCGGTGGCCAGTGCCAGGGCTGCTAACGTGTCTTGGAACAGATTTACCCACATGAGCTGTACAGCAGTAAGAACCGACTGTTCATTGGAACTAGCGACGGATGAGACGAAAGCGAGTCCGACAGAGGTGAATGTGATGGTTATTTGGAACTGCGGTCATGAAATGGTTAGCATCACAGTCGTTTCTTAATGAAGAGATTGGGTTTATGATTTTACCTGCAGAAATTTCTTGACGGCATCTGAGACAGCTCGACCCCACATGATTGCTCTCACAATCGAGCTGAAGTTATCATCCATGAGGACAATTGACGAGGCTTCGCGCGCGACTTCAGTTCCGGAGACGCCCATGGAAAATCCAACATCGGCTGCAGTCAGAGCAGGGGCATCGTTCGTTCCATCACCGGTGACAGCAACAGTTCTTCCCATTTCTTTCAATCTACGAACCAATGTCCTTTTGTCTTCCGGGCTAGATCTCGCTAGGACTTTGAGACGTGGAATGACCTCTAGCTGTTGTGAGTCACCAAGCTGACGAAACTCTCGGCCTTCCATCGCAACATCTTCCGGGTTTGTGAGGATACCACATTCCTCGGCAATAGCTTTGGCTGTCAAAAGGTTATCACCCGTCACGATACGAACGGCCACACCAGCTTTATGGCAAGACTGCACGGCGTCCCGAGCACCGTTTCGGAGAGGGTCTCGAATACCCATGACGCTGAGGAAAGTTAGATCTTGGAGAATGTTTTCTATCCTTAATTCTTCAACCTGCTCATCCAGTTGACCAAGGGGAGGCCATACGTCGAAGTCACGGAACAACACGATTATTGTTCTCAAGGACCGGCCGGCATAATCGGCGATTATCTGGCGTAGGCCCTGGGCCATGTCTGCGTTGATCGGTCGTGTGGAAAGCCCCTTGCTTGGGTCTTCAATTGCTTCGGTACACTTGTCAAGCAGCACCTCTGGGGCGCCTTTCACGTATGCACGATACCTGCCATTCTCCAGTTGAGCGACTGTGACCATACATTGGCGAGCATTTTCGAACGGAAACACTTCTACAATTTTCGCATTTGAGCGCTCAACATCAAGTTGGCTCATTCCTAGATGATCTCGAGCGAATATTAAGAGGGCAGCTTCTGTTTTAGACCCCACATATGACTTGATACCTGCTTCGGCACTTTCAAATGCGGTGGAGTTGAGTGAAATGGATTGCCTGAGAAGTGACCTCGTGTCAGGCGCGAGACACCGAGTGTAGTCGCTGGTAGTTGGACTGGTGGACGGATCCGTAGTGTCGTTGTCTACCTGCTGTGGATCAACGAACTTGCCGGTAGTGCCAATCACCCCAGCGACGACTGTCATCTTGTTCTGGGTCAGAGTCCCGGTCTTGTCCGAGCATATGTCTGTCGCATTCCCCATGGTTTCGCAGGCCCTCAACATGCGGACTAGGTTATGGTCTTTGAGCATCCTTGTGGTTGCAAAAGCCAGTGCAAGAGTCACTGTCAGCGGAAGTCCCTCCGGAACTGCGATCACCACGACAGTGAGTGAAATGATGAAGAGATCCAGAAATTGTTGTCCCTTTTCCGCTGGTGTTAGACTACTGTGAGGAAGGCTGGCGAGGAATTTGATAAAGAGGATGATAAATAGCACAAGGGCTGCAAGCCCACCGAAATTGGCAATGTACTTCGCCAACACATTGAGCCGTGTTTGCAAAGGTGTAAAGCCAGGATCGTCATTTAGTGTGAGGAGAATCTTGCCATAACTAGAATTGGTTCCAGTCGCAACCACCAAGTACGACCCGACCCCTTCAGCTACACTTGATCCGGATATTATGAAGGGGTCCAAGCTTCGAGTATCATTGTTCCTTCGAATCGCATCGATAACTTCATCTCCAGAGTGTTTACGTAGGAGATCGGATTCGCCGGTAGCGGACGCCTCATCACATCTGACATGGTAACCCTGGATTAGAACCCCATCCGCTGGGATTACATCCCCAGGCTCCACATGCACAACATCTCCCACAACTAGGTTAGAGATCGGGACTTCACGAGCATGACCGGATCGAACGACCGTCACGTTGCGATCTAACTTCTTCTTGTTCAATTTTTGAAACTTGATTTGCTTCTGAAAATCATTCGCGGCGCCGACAAGAACAATGACAATGATGGCAACGAGGATCGAGACCCCTTCCACCCATTCAACTGGCGGATTGCGGGCTGAGTGCTTAGTCGCAAGTGTCTGGTATAAACCGAGCGCTAAAGAGACAATTGCCGCTCCAGTTAAAAAGAACAGAACATGGTCATTGTATGCCATCCACACGAGCTGGACAATGCTCGGCTGTTTCTTCACCGGAAGATGATTATTCCCGAAGGCCTTTGTCCTGTCCGTGAAGCAGGCATTATGTTGTCCTGTCGCAATTTCCGTTGTTTCGACAGAGTCCGCAATCGTTGATTCATCGACACTCAGTCCACTGTTTCGATCAGTTCGTAGCCCTTTCTCCAACCCGGCAAGACCTCCTAACGCATGGAAGGTCTCTAGGCTTCTAGACTCTATGAGTTCACTGAGTTGCTCTGCCGTGATATCGAAGGTGCCTCTGGGGCAGTCGAAGATCTTAGGGTCGTCTGTATTGGCATCTGGTTTGTCATTCAAGTGTTTCTGACTCCGTTGATGTTAATCCCCTAATCCGCATTCACCAAGGAAGGTATTGCGCGTACCATGATGGTTGACTGCGTGGAATGCCCGCGCGGATTCCGAGATTGTTATCGATATGGTAGTAACCATTCCTAACTTATCGTGAGGGAATGTGTCTAGACCTCGACTGGAGAGACCATGGTCGGTTTGGGGAGATATTATGGTAAGGTTCCTGAAGGTTTTCGGGGTTATTCCATGACGGGGGAAAGAAAAGCTAGAATAAGGAGAATATAAATTGAGGAGCGAAAGACATAGCGTTCACTGTCGCAGTGGAATCTTGCCAACGGGGAAGGCAGCCAAGGAATCCCAGTGAACTCCACTTCATCTCATTACCTTTTTTTTTACGTATTGTACGGCGTACGTATTCCAGTACTGAGTTTTACCCCCACCCCACTTGGAGACGGAGGCCTAATAAGGCTGAGTAAACCACGGGTCTATTGTTTACTCGCTGTATATATCTATCTATCTACTACATACCAGGTAAACGCAAGCCGAAGATTAATGATCATTCCGTTATATACTTTCAGTATAATCCTATCACGCCTTTCAGGCAATTGCAAGGTGATCGGTCGTCACATCCGGATGTACGTAAAATGCGATCGCGATGATCAAATACCTAGGCAACAACGGTCGGGTTAGACAGACGATCATCCCCGAAAGAAGCAAAGAGGAAAAACACTTACGTCCCAATCAGTAACAATCCTTCGAAGTAATTCGACTTTCCCTCTCGAGTCAAGCAGTTCATCACCACCACAGCAAGGGAGAAGCAAGCGGTTTCGAAAGTATTGAACTGCAGAGACATCGGCTGCCCAAGAACCCATCCACACATCACCAGGAACGGGGTCACAAAGAGTGCAATCTGAAGCGTGCTTCCCACAATGACTCCAATGGCGAGATCTAACTTGCCGCCCATGGCAGCATTCACCGTGATAGCAAATTCGCCCGCATTGCCGACAATGGGGACGACAATCATCCCCAAGAAAGCCCGACTGACCCCGTATACCTCCACAAACCCGTCTACGCCTTCTACCAAGTAATCGGAACAGACGGTGACTCCAAGTGTTGCAAGGATCAGAATTATACTAGCGGGAAGGGGTTCTAATTCGCGCTTTTCGTCCGATTCCTCCTCGGTGCTAGCGAAGAGATGGGCGTGGCTCTTCAGCTGGAAATAAAGATAGACCAAGTAAAAAATGAGTAAGACAATCGAAGTGATATGGGATAGGGTGAGAATATAATCGTCTCCCTCGGGTAGTTCGGCGAGAGTAGTCGAGTATAAAGCGGAGGGGATTATGAGCGAGGTGGAAGCAACGATCATCAAAGACGACATGATTTGAGTGACATCGATGTTAAAAGATAGCGTCTCTTTGCCATATCCTCCACCTAGGAAGCAGCATCCTAGAACCTGTAAGAGAATCAGAGTAAGTGGATCAAGTAAATCCTCAGTCCGACTTTGCATCCCTTACCAGAAGAGTTCCAGAAAGAATACTGCCGACCATACTCGATTGAACAATGTTGATCTCCCCCTGAGTTACGGCAGTGATTCCCACCTGAAGAATTGACCGGCATGGTTAGCGACCGTGGCCAAATGTTGAGTAACGGGAAAGAAACGTGAGCTCACGATCATCTCTACCGCATTTCCGAAGGTCGCATTGATCAATCCTCCCACCGTCTGTCCCACACTTTTAGACAACTCTTCGGTTGCAAAGGAAAGCAAAGAAGCCAGAGGGAAAATGGCTAAGAAGTTCAGCATAAACACAGCTGATGGATCCCATCCTCGAGCGCCGGAGAGAATGCCCAGGAAGACAAAAACCAGCATCACATTCGCGTAGCTCGAGAAAAGAGTAACCCGGATGGCGTGCCAGGCATTTTTCTGGACAGCACCAGCCATGATAAGGATGCAGTTGAGGAGGGAGAATATCCACAGGGGGAGGATGGGATTAATTGACTTTCAGTTAATAGGAAGACATTCCATATCGGATGCTCCTCTCTGCCCCCTCAAAGACACAATAATACCCGGAGGGGGTGTGTTCCATACCTTACTTGGTACGTTCTTGTCAATACCGTATATTACCCATGTGGGGAATTTTGATTGGTAGAAATGTGGGTGCCTAGCGATGAAGCTTCATGCTCAGGCCCTGGAGGGTGGAGACGGGACGGACAAGGCAACCAGTGATGAAATGACACTTTGGCCCTGTAGGGCTGAACGGCCCGTAAACTTTCCAAACAGGAACCGTACCAACCTTTCTATTGAGGCTCACCGTATTTCTTGTTACCCTCTTGCCGACATTCGTTGTGTCGGGTCCTGATGACCACCACCACACGTTCAACAGACAATTAAAAAAAAAAAAAAAGAAAAAAGAAAAAAGTAACACTCACGGTTATCGAGAATCCATTTACTGTCAGCGAAGGCGACAACATGCAATCGGTCAGGCACAGACACCAACAGCTACCCCCTTTAGACAGTATGCCTGCTGCCTCGCCGAATAATTCTCTTCTCTCTCCTATTCCCAGTACACCCATGAGAGTTTCCCGCCAACAATGGCGTCCTTTCCACCGAGCAATCGTCAGCATTGGTAGTCACCAGTATGTGAAAGCAATGCTGGCTACAGCCCCTACTGGAATCATCACTGCGATCCTAGGCGGACCACCTCAAGCGGTGCTTTTCCTGAATCTTACGGCATTGATACCACTTATCACTCTGCTCACGATCTCCATTGCCGATTTATCTATAGCGACTGGGCGCGTAGTCGATGAATTGCTCAAAGCGACCGTTGGTAATGCAATTGAACTGATCCTTGGAATTGTGGCCATTAGCAGGGGCCACATGCACATGATTCACTCAACCCTGATAGGAAGCATGCTCTGTTACATGCTTTTGGTAAGTGTTGTATCGCTCTTATCACAGCAAAGATCAGATTCATATCGGTACTAAGATGCTCTAGGTTCCGGGGAGCTGCTTCTGTCTCACTGGTTACGATAAAGAGCATCTCTACTTTGATCGCACCCTAATAAGCATTATGTCTTCCCTCATGGTAGTGGTATGCATGTCTCTTTTGATTCCAACGATTATGGTTACGTTTCCCTCCTTGGATACCACTTCTCCCCAAGCTTCGGTGACTCGACTGGAAATTGTCTTTGTTTCACGTGGGGCAGCCATTGTGCTTCTCATTTTGCTTGGGGTGTTCCTTCTCTTCCAACTGAAGAGTCATGCGTCAATCTTTCATCTTGCCGAAGCGTCCAGTGAGGGCTCTCCAGACAGTCACAGTCCGAACGATCGTGGCGTCGCACTGGACCGTCCAGCGAGAATTTTCGCACCACGAAGCGCTATGATCGCTCTTGCGGTTGGAATATCCTGCTTGACCATGTGCATTATATGCATCGTTGAGAGCTCCGATAGAGTTGCACAAGAGCTTGGCCTTAGCGCGGCATTTCCCACCCTTGTACTGGTTCCGCTTATTGGAAACTCCACCAGATATGTTTCAATAGTCATGGTCTCATGCCAGGGGCATGTGGAATCTGCAGTGCGGGCCATCATCAACAGCATACTGCGTATTGCTCTTCTTGTTACTCCCGTTCTGATTATCTTGGGGTGGGTATTAAACCTACCCATGACACTGCAGATGGATACGTTTGAGGCAACCATGTTGTTCTTGGCTACAATGGTGTTGATTCATGTGATACAGGATGGGAGGAGCAATTACTTCGAAGGACTAATGCTTGTCGGAACGTAAGTCAGCCTGTAACCTATCTATTTTACGATTCGCTAACCAGAGCTTCTCTCGCATAGGTATATCATATCTGTTGCTGCTTTCTATATGCGGCCTGGAATAACCGACACCACGAAGCCCATGCCTTAGTTGAAAATTTGCCATACAGAACACAGGAATGGGAAGGTGCCTTGTGGTGTATATTGCTCATGTCTTCACATTCACCAATGAATCAACACGGTATAGCGATGCTTTGATCAAGTAGTAAAACTAGCCCCTCAGCGGACCCAAAATGCAAGCGAGAGTATCACGTACCTAAGCCAATATGTCAGTCACAAAATCACAGATAAAACCACGAAACACAAAATGGGAAAGAACGTACAGCCCAATCAGCATACTCCCATGAAGATAAGTATACTTAGCGTCCTTCAGAACCTGGTTAACTACTAGAATAGCGAAGAACAGGACCAACGTTTGGAATGTCTCAAAAAAGAGCGTCATGGGCACCCCAATCAGCCACCCGAGCATGACCAGGAACGGGATGGCAAAGAGTCCGATCTGCAAGATACTGCTGACAATGACGCTGATGGCAAAGTTCACATCGCCACCCCCGAACGAAGCGGCAATCACTGCTACACCTTCGGGGCAATTGCTGGTGATGGGGATGAGAATGGTTGCAATGAAAGTCTTGGAAATCCCAGTCGTGGCCGATGTAGCGGGAACACTGGCAAGGAAGAAGTGGGCACAGATGACGATTGAAATACCTGAAGCGACAAGAGTGAGGACAGTTTTTGATAGATCCGGCTTCTCCTTATTTTCATCATTACCACTTTGGTCTTCTAGAGGACTATTCGGTTCTTGTTGAAATAGATGTCTGTGCGTTCCCAGTTGGAAGTAGAGATATCCGGCATATAGCACCAGCAGTACGGCGGATGTTCCACGGGAGAAGCTAAGAACTTGATCGCCCAAGTCCACCGAGGTAAAGGTTGCATATAAAACGGAGGGTAGGATCAACCCCACGGCTGTGACAACCATCAATGAGGATAAGGAACCCGTCTGGGCCATATTGAAATATAAGATGTGCTTGCTATAGGAGGCTGATATGAGACAGCCGCCCATAATCTATACCATGTTTGTCAGTCACAATAAACCTTCTAAATGACCCCAAAATAGACAAAGAAAAGAGAAGAAAAGAAAAAGCACCAACCAAAAGAATATCTGACAAGATACTCCCGATCATAACCGACTGAGCAAAATAAGTATCTCCACTGGCTACGGCCAGAATTCCAGTCTATAAGTAAGGGTAATTAACATGTGGCCCATTCGCGTTGCTGTAACAGATCCAAAATATAACATCGGGAAACATACGCTCAACTCGACCGCATTTCCAAAGGTCGCATTAATCAATCCCCCGACCAAATCGCCAAAATAGTCCGATAATGTGTCTGAAGCGTCCGACACAATAGCGGAAAGCGGTAGAATCGCCAAAAAGTTAAAGACGGAAACAAGCACCGAGTTCCAGTTGAGAAGCGCTGCAATAACCCCGAGGGGAAGAAATAACAGCAGGCTGTTAACTGTGATCATAGCGTATCTCACCGTTGTGAGTGGCATGCGAATAGAGTTGCGGCGAGGATCTTTATATCTTTGCTGAGTAAGTGATGACGGATGTTCAAGGGGATCTTCCTTCGACAATTAATCGAACTGCGGCAATTCATAGGTTGCAATTCCGGGGCCAGGTGGTGGTGTGTTCGATAACATCAAAAACGATGATATCTGGGGGGCGCAGAGTAGGCCGTGAGAAATAAATACCTTGGAGCTGTTCGATACGGTAATTACAATACCATACCGGGTCAGTTGTTGGGTATTGAAATGATCAACAAGTCGACCCTCATCCATGATACTATTTTTGTACATATTGTCATATCCATTGTTTAGGCTGGGTTCCCTGTTGGAGAGGCTGTCAGTATCATACATCTAAGTTAAGCAATCCGTCACACCCATCGCTATTCTCTATAAAATATCATACGAAAGCTAAGTATGCTGTTCCTCAATACAGTCAACCATAAGTTGAACCGTCGTATCTATATATATCTACCATTATTTGGGTGGACTATAACTTGGCCTTTCGCTGGAGCACCGTTGGCATCTGAATAGCCTCAAACCAATCTTCGCCATACACAAGATGATCACGCTGGGTCATTGACGATCGTTTCTTGTTCCACATAAGCTCCGACGCCCTATACTCTTCCATCCCCTGAGCCAGCCAGGCTGCACAATAAGTGGCTGTCTGATTCACGTCCTCAAATGGGAAAAGATGGCCGCGTTCGGGTAGGATAACTTCCTTGACCTGACCATGGGAGATGCCACCACTCCCCCCGACCCCGACACCGCACACCTTGATGGCGTCGCGAAGGTTGTCGATGCCAAGAAATGTCTTCTCTCCCAGGATCCATAGCACAGGGGGCCTCAAGTTGTGAATCTTTGAGAATGTGTTGCGAGCCTCAGGGCGATAGACAATTCTGTTGGCATGGATAGGATCCATATCCGGATGAGCAGAGCGATCAACCTGAGGGTTCCCGCCACACGTGCGAGCCGAGAAATTAGAACGGTAGAGGCCTGCGACTTCCTGATACTTGGTTGTGGTGAGAGTCACCGGCGGCTCGGAACGATTCGTGCCCTCTGGGACCGTGGGATACAGTGCGGTGGGGAGGTCACGGAAACCGAACTTGACCATCAAGTCGAAGCAACGAGGGTCCCAGTGCCGCCATGCCTTTGCATGAGCCGATGCCGCAGCGTTTCTGTTTGGCCAAATGTCGGGTCGCCAAAGAGCATAGTTAACTGCGCCGGGCGGGTCAATTCCGACACCCCGGCCGACCGCTCTCGGAAAGATGGAGGGATCGAGAAAGACAAGGGTCGTAAATAGGCGCGGGTGCATGAGTGCAAGGTTGGCGCTGAGTAGCGACGCTGACTTTCAGCTATTGTGATCATGATAAGATGACAAAGAGAGGAGTCCATACAGGATGTTCCCACCAAAACTATGACCGATTCCAACAAGAGGCCGTGGCATCTGGTCGCGGAAGTGATTGATCATCAGAAGTAAATCTCGGGCAGAATCTATCCACGAACCTAGGTATGGGATTTAGTACGGCTGTGGGTGCTTTCTAGCGACGAATGACTTACAGTCAAGGCTGATCTTGTCTTCATTCAGGACACCACTCATGCCCATGTTTGGGGCATCCGCTATCCATATGCTTCGGATATGAACACCATTTTGTTTTAACCGACGATAGATTTCATCCCAGAGGGGCTCATAAAGTTCCTACCCGTGACTTTAGTATTAGTAAACATGCTCTCAGCCCGTGCGGTTACCAATACTTAAGCTGATCCAAGGCCACGGGGCTCGCATTCCTCCATTACTATCATTCGATGTGGTTAGGCTTACCTTGGGGTACCCACAAGCATGAGCCGCGATCACAGTGATGGCATCGGAAGGGATGCTATGCTTTTGGTCCAGCGGCGTGTATTGCTTGACATGCAATGACAGGACCTCTTCCTGACTTCTAGCAGTGCTTCCAGGATATTCCCGGATATGGCCTGCCGGTGCAGTATGTTCCGTGACTTTGAAGATATCCGTGGACATTGCGAAGCTTTGTGGTTCTGTGAATGTTTGCTGAGGTGCAATCAGGGATTATACAGAAGGATCTGAGCATGTTCCCAACAGCTGCTTTGACTCCGGACTTGCTGCGACAGTGACATGACATATCACATTAAAGATTAGATCAGGAATGAAAAGATCTACATCGCCGCGCACACCGCTATGTTTGAATCATGCTGTGATAAGCAATTGGTTGGATACTCTACGCCATATTGAGTGGTGATATCTCAAAATTTGTCGCATGGTTAGAACCTTTGTTCGGTTTTTCGATGGAAATTTGATCTACATTGTACATACTGTAGAATATTTCCATATGAAGAGCGTTTTGCAAACCTGAGTTCAAAATAAATCTGGGAGATCGGTGACTGGAAGAGTTTATCCCGGACTTATTCTATTACAGCTATGCAAGGGGTACAATTGCGTGGCTCTGGCTTCCGTCGAGATTCCGTGAGACCCAAATCACGATAAAAGATGGAAGCCGCTGTATACCGTGTTTAAATTCCAGGAGAGTGATATTAAGAAGAGAACACCTAAAAAATAACAAACTGCTACCCTATTCAAGAAGACAGGAGACGCTAGTGATCAGATAGATGTTATTCCTGTCAAGGAGTCTGAGATGCCGTAAAAGATGCCCAGGAGGAGTGGAGGTCCCGTGATCAACGCCCGCCTTCCTCTGTTGGCTTAGCTGATGTTCATCCAATTAGGACTAGTCGCTTCTTGCAACATGATCAATAGGTCCCCTCGGCCTGGCTCCGCTCCTTTAATTGCCTTCAGAAATGCTTGGATGATGGTGCCAAATGTCAAACTTTTTCACCTGCATACGGCAAAACGCTTGGGCTCCCAATTGCATCACCGGAATGCTTTTAAACATATTAACTTTGGCAGAGTCGCCAAATTTCCAATATTCCCATGCACCCAGTGGAGTAAAGGGACCGCTACTACTCCAGCCCTGGAGGGACAGGCAGACGCATCGGCTGGAGATAGCCACTAACACCAGAGTATCCTTCAATCTTCTTTTGTTCTGATGGATTCTAGAACTATATTCCATGATATATTATGCAATGGCTAACAAGTCCGGTAGTGTAACATTAGAATGGCACTGTGGTACACTAAGGGACAGGTCCTCGCCCTTGGTTAATCTCCCGGCAATGCAATTAAAATTAATCACCACTGCCAAGCACAACTAAAACCCCCAACAATACTATTGTATGACCTAATGGCTACTTGGAGCTAATACGATGCATCCATTCATTGGTCCGGAGACCAGTCAATTCTGCAGGACCCCGCGAATTGCCGATATCTGGCCATTGTTAAACTTTCTCTTCTCACAAGCCGGATTGGTTCTGTACGGAGCGCTTCGCTGCATTGTCCATCACAAGTCGAAGTATATATCGGCGGCAATGGCCATGAGAGGGCATATCACTACTTTTCTTAGATGGCTTCAAATTACTGAACTGTTACCGTTACTTCGTATCATGTACCCTTCATGGGTTTGAAGAATGCATAAACTGAGAGTTTCACGCTGTGCACCGTCGGAGGATGGCAGCTAGGTAATGAAACGCTCCAACCAAAACAGTTAAGATCGCCGACAAAATATGTCCGTCATTGCTACTCTATAGCAATGTTATTTCATTCACCGTAGACCCATATCGGCGCTAAGTGGGGGATATGTGGCATGAGTATGATTCAAGGGCGATCAGACCCCGGCTGATTATGTGACAGTATACTGCACATCCACTTGAATCCTCCGATAACTTAGATCACAGCAGTGAATGCACTCTCTTCGAAGGAAATAGCGAAACCGAAGAATGTAACTCGAGTTGAATGCAACATGACAGGTCCATATGGCGCCGTTGACACTTCACGATAAATTCAGCTGAGCAAAGTCTCACCGTGGAAGGAAAGGTATAAATATGGCCTGCAGGACGGTCATCGACTCAAAGACGGCAACACCATCATCACAACACCATATATGCAGCTGCTGCCGTCGTGTATAGAAAACCCGCAAGAACAACCATGCACTTCAACTCTATCTTTAGTGTCCTTCTGTCCTGTGGCCTCGCAGCAGCGCACATGCAGATGAGCTGGCCTTATCCCATGCGCAGTCCACTTGACCCTGAGAATAAAGGGTCCGACAAGGACTATGACATGAGCAATCCTCTTGACCAGTCCGGTATGGCGTTCTCCTAATTTCGATATGCATAAGAATGGAATATTTACATGACTTAGGCTCCAATTTCCCTTGCAAGGGCTATCACAAGAACACCCCCTGGCGCGCAACCGCGGAATACAAGGCTGGCGAGTCATATAACATGACGGTGGCCGGCGCTGCCACACACAGCGGAGGATCCTGCCAGCTGTCTCTGAGTTACGACAAAGGAAAAACCTTCAAAGTCATCAAGTCCATGGTGGGTGGATGCCCGCTTGATTTCAAGTATGACTTTACGATGCCGAGCGATGTGGTCAACGGCGATGCTCTGTTTGCTTGGTCCTGGTTTAACCTGGTGGGCAATCGTGAGATGTACATGAATTGTGCGAATGTTGAGATCAGCGGGGGAAGCGGCAGCAAGGAATCGTTTGGAAACGATTATCCGGATATGTTCGTGGCCAATGTTGGAAATGGCTGTTCTACGGTAGAAGGGAAGCACACAGTGTTTGCCCATCCGGGAAAGCAGGTTACCTATGCGGGTGGTCTTGATGCGTCCTCGCCTCCATTCCCCAAATGCTCTTGAAATCACAACCAATGGATGTTACACATTTTTGTACGTGATACACATTGTGAGTATCAGCAAGGTGGGACCATACTGGACTATGGCTATGAAGTGAAATAAGGACCAGTTGATCTGAACATACATGGTACAACCATGTTCACATCAACTCCGATTTTCGTATTGCTACACATCGGAGTGGAGTAGTAGTAGTATATTATTGAGAGCCTGTAGATCCCGTGAGTGACAGAACAGTGGATGTAGTTATAATTGGCCAGGCACTCAAAAGATCCGAGAGCTACGCGTCGTCTCAACCGACGCACCAATCATGAATCGATCGCATGTTGACAACTTAAGTTCATGTACTTATTAGTAGTACTAAGTAGGTATAGTAGTAGTAGGCCGGATGCAAGTTGCGGCGTTGGCGACAACTCGTTGTCCAGATACGGTGTCATGTGATGGGACGTGACTGGACCCTTTCGCCGAGAACAACCGCTTACGGCCGGCTGGGGGCGGACGTGAATACCGATTAAGTAAAATGGATCTCCATCCCCGCAAACCAAGATAAGCATATATAAACCTTCCAGAACCTCATTATCAGCTTTAGAATCTTACACTTCCTCGACCATTTCCTTTATATAGTTACGGACTTCGACGAATCCCCCCACCAACCAACCATATAGCGCTACAATGACCCAAAATTCGACCTCCAAGGGAACGATAAAGGTTGCGGACTATCTGTTCGCCCGACTGTGCCAGCTCGGCATCCAGTCTATTTTTGGGGTTCCGGGGGACTACAACCTCAGACTACTAGATTTCGTGGAGCCATCTGGGTTGCACTGGGTTGGGACCTGCAATGAGCTGAACGGCGCATATGCTGCGGATGGATATGCTAGGATCAACGGCCTGGGAGCTTTGATCACCACGTTTGGTGTCGGCGAGCTCTCCGCCATCAACGGAATTGCAGGCGCGTATGCGGAAAAGGCTCCTGTCATCCACATTGTTGGTACACCCTCGCGTGCGTTGCAGGATGCCCGCACCTTAGTCCACCATACTTTCGCCGATGGTGAATATAACCGATTTGCCACAATGCACGCCCAAGTTACAGTTGCTCAAGCGAACCTCATTGACCCTCGCACAGCGGCAGAGCAGATCGATTGGGCACTACAGCAGTGCCTAGTCCATAGCCGGCCGGTCTATATCCAAGTTCCGGATGATATGGTTGACGTCATGATCCCCGCGTCAAATCTTGAAACAAAGAAGATCGAATTACCTGCCACCCCGAGCCCCAAGGAGGAGACGTCCGTATTGACAACCGTGTTGGAGCGCATTTACTCTGCTAAGCGCCCGTTGATTTTCGTTGATGGAGAGAGCAGGGCTCTGAAAATCCTTCCTCAGGTTAATGAATTAATTAAAACCACCCAATGGCCGACGTGGACGTCAGCCTACGGAAAAGGTCTGGCCAATGAGCAATTAGATAATGTGTATGGTTTCTATGGTGCAAACTACGGCACCGAGCAAGAAAAAGCATACTTTGACTCTGCCGATCTAATCCTTGTACTCGGGCCTCACTACAGCAATACTAATACGCTAGGCTTTGCCACAATCCCCAAACAAGAAGTATCTATCTCTTTTTCGGGCACGACTATTCAGATTGGAAAAGACCTTCACCGCGATTACTCAATCAAGCAATTCCTCACTCAGTTGTTGGAGAGCTTAGACCACAGTCGCATTCCTAAAATTGATGGAGCACCCCCAAAGCTCAAGGGAGACCTAAGCCATATCAACAAGTCCGATCTCATCACACAAGATGACTTCTACCGTTTTGTCGACCGACTCTTCCGCGAGGGAGACATCGTGGCTACGGAAACAGGGACAGCCTCTTATGGTGGGCGCACATTTGCACTGCCCCCTAATACACGGATGTTTTGTGCAGTGACATGGCTATCGATCGGGTACATGCTTCCGGCCTGTTTTGGGGCTGCTCTCGCGCAGCAGGAAACGAACAATTTCAAGCCTACCAACGGCACTGGCACTGCTAAAGGTCGACTGTTCCTATTTATCGGAGATGGCAGCCTACAGATGACAGTACAGGAGATAAGCTCGATTATTCGAGAGAACCTTGATGTGACCATTTTCGTTCTAAATAATGCCGGATATACTATCGAACGGGCAATTCATGGGCGAAATCAGGCATACAACGATATTGCCCCATGGAGACATCTGCAAGCGCTTAGCTTCTTTGGCGGCAGTGAAGAAGAGGCAGCGAAGAACAATTTCAGCGCAAGAACCTTTGGTGAATTAGAAGAAGTGCTACAGTCAGACCAGATCCAGAAGGGCAGTGGGCTTAGAATTGTTGAGGTTCACATGGGTCGGGAAGACTGTCAAGGTCTCCTGAGAACTCTTATGGACAATCAGATCGCACAAGACGCAAAGCAATAAGTCATACTAGGGAGTACTCAGTAGATTATTAGCTATTAGATTAGACTAGAATCCGTTCGAAAACCTTACCTGATCTGAGGTTCGCGCCATCATTGCATGGTAATAATCAGCTTTTGTAATATTTTTCTTTACACAGTATACACAGTGTATGTTTAAAATTTTATGAATCTCTTACTTACTGGCCAGGGTACGTTGCAAGCACTGCCATTGAGGTTCTGCCATTTCCGAAAATTGCACTCAATCACCTTTGTCATCCCTAATACATTCAGGATCTCTCCACGTTTGTAGTGACAGTATAAAAGGGTAGAGTTAGGGAGATCCAGATCTTGTGTATTATCTGCTTTCTTTAATTTAACACTCTTAGAAAGCAGTTGTCTGTGATCTTGGGCAAATCTCGAAGTGCCTTTGTCTGAACAGCCAAGCTTCTCCCTGTAGTCCGTACCTATCTAACTGGCTGTAACGCAGTATTATGATTACACGGGAGACAGAGACCTTGGAAGAGTGTCTAGTCATAAGTTCCTGACTGGTCAAGTATTAACTACAGTTGGATATAGCTATACTATAACAGATATTAGTAGTTATTTGTCGCGAGATTTCACTCTTCAAAGATTAATTAGTGAAGCTTGTTGCCTCACACTACTATTCCCTAGGCTTACTAGGCACTGCAAGTCTAGCGAATGAATTACGAAAGCAAAAGTCCTTGTCCATAGTTGCATGCATAGCCAGGGTGGGAGGAATGGCGCTATACCGGGATAGGGAATCATCCTTCTCGGCCTACTGACAACCGGAATTCTGACCAACCCTAAACTGATGAAAGGACCGAAGGAGCAGCTGATTCAATCTTCCTGCTATCTTACTCATCAAGGGAATGACACGAAAAAGGGAAAAGGCCTAGTGAAAAAAGCAGAGCATTGCGAAGCGGTAAAGCGAGGCGGTCAACATCTCTGCCGGCAGGATCTAATCTTTGCTTCAATGACATCATGGGTATAAGACACCGAAGCACTGTGGCTGATCTGTGGCTTCTGTCCCGGACCAACGTTAATCCGGGGATTTCCCATAGCCGAGGAAACAGCAAAGGTCCAGCAGGTCCACAAAATCCGGCAGACAGAGACATTATAGGCCGTTCACGATGTAACAGGAACCGAGTCCACTTTCACAAGAATCCCCTACGTCATGGTCCAGACTTTTTATTCTGCGATCCGGTTTGGGGTCGCCACAGCCATGAAGAAAACTAGTACTTATTGCGGGCATCTCAGCCGGTCCTGGTTCCACCAATTGTCGCAATTCACATATCCCCGTTGGAGTCCTCTTTGAGTCAAGTACAAGTTCACCATGGCCAACCCAACGAGAAAGATTGTCTGCTTTTCAGGTAGATGAGTCCTTTCCCCCTTGTGCCATGGCGTGCGCTAATCCCTGTTAAGACTTTGACGGAACGATTTTCATGCAAGACACGGGACATGTCCTCTTCGATAACCTGGGGTGCGGCGAGAAGCGCCGTCAGATGCTCGATGAGCAGATCAAGTCCGGTGAACGATCCTTCCGGGAGGTCTCCGAGGAGATGTGGGGGTCGTTGCGGGTTCCGTTTGAAGATGGGTTTGAAGTGATGCAAAAGGAACTGGAGATTGACCAGGGCTTTAAGGAGTTTCACCAATTCTGCATTGACAACGGGATCATTTTCAATGTCATCAGTGCTGGATTGAAGCCTATTTTGCGGAAAGTGCTGGACGCTTTCCTAGGCCAGGATGAAGTATGGCACCCGATCGCTATTAAGTCATCGACCGTGAATGTTAATTTTCTCGCAGTCATCACAAATTGGCATTGTCGCAAACGATGCACAGATCAAACCCGACGGTTCGGAGTGGAAGCCGATCTGGCGACACGAAACCGAACTCGGCCATGACAAGGCCCTTTCCGTGAAGGAAGGCCGTGCGCAGGCCGAAGAATTGAGCGATGAGAACGAGGTCCCCCTCATTGTTTTCATTGGCGACGGAGTCTCCGATCTGGCAGCCGCCCGGGAAGCCGATGTGCTTTTTGCCCGGAAGGGACTTCGATTGGAGGAATACTGCATTGAGCACAATATCCCCTACATTGGCTTTGACAGCTTCACCGACGTGAAGAAAGAGGTGGAGAAGATTATGAAGGAGGATCAAGAGAAGACTGGCGGCGTCGGTAAACCGGCTCGGTTTAACCCCCGCGCAAACATGTGGAGACGGGTCTCCAGCAAGCAAGCAGTACGTTGCAACTTGCCGATAATACCAGTGATCTAAAGCATTTACTGACCGTCCGGTTGCAGGTCCCTAAGTTTGTCGCCGCGACCCCGTCAAAGGAAGAGAAGATGTTCCTTTGGCCGGAGAATTTCTCCCAGTACCAACCTAAGCCTGTTCTGGAAAACATGGCTTCTTAGAGCGCGCTTTCAACCCAACCATGCATAACGTGATGTATGCAGTATAGATATAGATACAGTTGAGGGTCAGGAAGGTTATGACCCCATATATTTTCAGGCGCAGTGTACATAGGAAAGGATTACGTTTATTAATGTCCAACTAGGCGGAATGGAAATACTTCCCGGGAAACCGCAAGTTATGGTTTAGGTTTACATCGAAAGTTTCACGCACTCTTTTAACTTCATACAAACAAGGGCTCCGAAGTGATGGCCAGAACCAAAAAGTATGCCCAATGCAACTTAGCGCTTACCATCCACAAGTGCGGCACAGCCCCCGAGACCCACACGCTAAAACTGAAGAGCGAGGCTTATGTTGGATCGCTGCCAATGGCCATCCTTCCTTATCCCTGACGAGTTGGTTTCCTCATTCGGTAACCGTTGAGTTATCGACAGTGAGATGGGTTATAAAAGCTGCCGGGCAGCTGTGACCTCTCTGTTTTAACTCACATTCTATTCACATCCTAAGGCTGGTCATCTCTGCGACTCATTTGCACAGGAAATAACCATCATGCTACGGGGAAAAGCTATCAAAGGCGTCGCAGCTGGGATTGGTCTCGCATCAGAAAGTATTTCGGCATACAAGGCAAACAGGCGCGAGAAGAAGGCCCAAAGCCCCGATGACCCAGAGACTAGCAATGCGAACACAACGACAACGGACGACGACCTCGCTCGCCACCGAAAAGTAGTCGAGGAGCAACATGAAGAAGAGTGGGAACTTGACGAAATCCAAGACGAACTGAAAAGCACTCTAGACGTAGATAAAGCCATCACATATCAAACGCCTGAACAGCTCGCCGAGTCGTTTCTCCAAAACTATCCACAGCCACCACCATATACGCCAACTTCCAATCCAAGACTCCCGTATCCGGTAGTTCTTCCGCAGCGACGGCCCAAATCGCGGAAGCGGGGGTTCATCAGAGCGTATGCCCCGGCGCTGGAAGAATTCGGCATTGACCAGGCCATGTTCCTTGATTTCTTGGAAACGTCCAATCGTGCCTGTCAGGCGACTCCGTGGTTACATGCGATCAACCTGGCAGGAATCGGCACTATGTTTTTGCCCAGTGCGATAGGAATGGCGGTTAGTATTGCTATCCAGCTGACAACCGATGTTGCGATAGCAATAGATGCAAGAAGAAAGTATGAATTCTGTCGACTATACTGGCATCAAATGGGAATGTCGCTAACAGGGTGCAGGACAAATTCATATTTTGACAAGATCAATGAAGAGATGTTCCGCCCTCGTGGTCTCTACTGTCTCCTCATGACATGGAAGCCAGATTCCTCGTCGACAGTCGCCAGCTTTGATCTCAACTCGACAGTTGCCACGTCACTTGACCACGGTGGGTCAGGGACGTTCAACAGAATGAAACACATGTTCAAGTCGTCGCACGGCAACACTTACGGGGATATGCCATTCCCAGAAACCGCCCCTCTCATCTTCCCCGATCTCGACCAATTGGCTGCACAGGGTGTTGATGGTGAGGCCAAAATAAAGAGTGCAAAGTCGTCGCGCCGAGAATTTGTAGCAGATTATCTGGATCGGAGGTCACAGGCTGAATTTGTAGGTTCATCCCATGATAATCTACAACGCGCTCTGACAAGAATACCAGGAAATGGAACATCCTGACAATGCTTTGAATAAAGCACCAAAGCCTCAATTTACTTCTCGCTACGCTGATCCCAGCCATCCAGCTAGTAGCGGATCAGCCCTTGGACTGATCACAGGCGGATATATTACCGGTGATCAACTAAGGGACCTTCGGGGCGGTCGGCGACGAGGCAGGCTCGGCCGCGACCAAGAATATGAACCACGGGGTATACGAGAGCGTCCCATTGGACCCGTGGGAGCCCTAGCAGCTACTGTATGCTCTGTTAGAACTGGGCGGTCGTCGGTTGAGCCTCACCAGGGTTCTGGGGAAGGACCTCACGATGAAGAATATCGCAGACAATCTGGCGGCCGTGTTGGTACTCGCAACCCGCGTGAGCGGCTGCAAAACCGAGGGGGTCCCATTGGGGGTATACAGAAATTCCTGAAGAGTGTAAGTTCTTGGACTCCCATCTCACAGGTACATACCATTGCTAATGTCGACATTTAGAACGTCCTGTACATGATGATCGTCAACCTACCGTCAGAAGAAGAGATGGCGCAGGCCCGAGCCGCCTTGCGGTCGTAGGGGATATATGAGATTTACTATTTTTCGGTAGCCACAGGAACGTGGCGAAATTTTTATATAGTTTAATGGAATGGTTCAGCCTATGGCAAATGTCGATTTCTCCGTCAGATAGGATTCCACCCACGGCAATTCGTTCATTTCCGCCAAGTGAACTCGCCAGCCCTAATCCTCCAACCCAAACAAAGAATCTTACAGACCTAGTATAATGCAGGATTAGATAGTACACACTCTAATATACCAAGCCACGCTGGATTGGCTAGATCGTCTATGGATCTTGCTAGCGATTCCGCCCCCACTTCCTGCCTGGTCGAGGCCAGGCTTATAAATACTTATCAATACCCTATCACGATCATCACCATGAACCTCAGATCCCATTCATACTCACTCACAACCTACCAACCCTCTTGCAACCCAACTGAAATACCTCCCTAACCCAACAAAATCAAATCAACCCAAATTCATAAAAATGGTTTTCAAAGCCCTCCTATACATAACCCGCAAACCCGGCACCACCCCCACCGAATTCCAAACCCACTACGAAACAGTGCACATGCCACTGATCAAAAGACTAGCAGGCGCAGACTTCCCTCTCTCGCACAGACGTCTCTATCTTGCACGCCCCGCACCGGGCGAAGACAACATTTTCCCGGCAGCGGTGCTGATTGGCAACCAGGAGGATTTCGGCTTCGATGCCGTTGTGGAGTTGACATTCACAGATGAGGCGGCATTTAAGGTGTTTTTTGCGCGGAGACAGGAGCCTGGGACTAAGGAGTTGGTGGATGCGGATGAGGAGAAGTTTTTGGATCAGACGAAGTTCAAGGCGGTTGTTTTGGGAGAGGTTCAGGAGACGACCCGTTAGGTACTAATGGATTGATATGTTTCTTCTACATGAGGATATTTGATGGTTATCAAAATGGCTGTATTAGTAGTATGAGGGATATACAGTAAAACCCCTCTATAAGCAACCCCGATATAGGGAATCTACGCGTTATAAGCAATCTAACTGGGTGTCTGAAACTGATTACCATACAAAAATCTCTTAAAGCGCCGATATAAGCAATTTGAATGGCATGCTAAATTGGTTGCTTATAACGGGTTTTTACTGTAAGTGACGTAAGGGCACGGGTGCGGAAATCAGCCTTTGTCCGTTGGAAGGCCGATAACCAAGCTAGTGATGGTAGTACTAGTGCCAGAGCACCATCTTAGCGCCCTTGGTGTTTGAGGGTCCGGTTACTAATTAATATACATCTAGTGCCGTTGGTTTGTTTACCCAAACGGCCCCCACCTTCATTTTCTGATTTCTCTCCCTGAAAATTTCCAACGATCCACCCATGTCAGTCATGAGATCTCTCTTGATGCTGGTTGCAGTTGGGTGCTAGCACCATGTTCATTTCCACACAGCCAGAAGCATTGGCCTCCATGGAAATTGGACTCCCAAGATCTGCGAGCAATTCTGGAGCTGCAAGGGACTGTAGATCACCCGTAGGGATATGTAAGGACTCTAATGAGTTCAGTGGTTGCAGGTTGCTGCAGAATAATAGAAGATAACGTCAAGAAACCTCTGTAGAGGAAATTAGTAGCTCAGCTGATATACTATATACTAGTGCTATACGGATAGGTGTGGAATACAAAAAATGTCTGTACAGCAGTGGGTTCGAAAGAGGGATCACCGCATTAAGGGATGTTAGGTGAAAGTCAAGCAGACAAGGGTCATAAATCATTGAATATGTTCGATATGTTTCAGCCAAATCCAAGCTTCCCAAGCTGTGGCTAGTATGAACGGTCCGGTAATTCCGAACGCCATTCGGTGACCTGGCTTCCAGGCAATTCTTTCGGCGGTTGCGGGGCAGGGGGCTGGGTCCATGGTTGTGGCATCTGCGCAAAGGTTGGTTCGACAGGCGGCATGACCCTCCTTCGTGACTGAGACTGACGATATTTAAGATAGGTAAGCACTGCAAGCAGTGCAATAGCTGGAACCCCGATGCCAACCCCAACACCAAGTCCTACTTTGGCGGATGGATCGAGGCCGGACTTAGAGGACGAGGATGCTTGAGAGGTCCCGGTCGAAGCAGATGACGTGGTGCTTGTTATTGATGAGCTTGTTGACGTCGGTTGGGATGTAGAAGTTGCTGTAAACGAAGTTGAAGTACTCGTGGCACGTGGTTTGTCGGTTATATTGAAATAATTCGATGTGAGTCTGAATCCGGAACTTGTGGGATTGGCGTTTATCCAGAAAAAGAAGATTGGTGAGTCTTCAATGCTAGCGCCGTATGTCTGTACCTTCCAGGTGAAATTTGTGACCCCAATGTCCTCAATCTGGGCTTCATGGTTTCGTCTTCAAGTCAGTGTGATTCACTTCCCCTGGGAGGATAACCATGAACAAGATATGGACACGTACTATAAATGTTACCCACGCTAACTGCTGTTTCCTCGCCAAGAGACTGATGCCAAAGAGATATGTTGAACGTCGTCCAGGTGGTCATCCAGGAGACCACTTGCTGCTCCCCCAGGACCCAAACGGGATTCTCAGCCGAATTGGCGGCCGGTGGATTGATGAATCTGTTATTGCTTGCCCCATCTCCCTGTGCAGCAACTATCTCTGCTCCGCATAGTAGAAGTATCAGGCATATGCGCAAAAACGCGCTGGGGAGCCTGCAAACGTTCATGGTAGTTCACAGGGGCGGAGAGAGTGAGAAGGAAGAATAGTTTGGAAGACCCGGGGAGAGAGGGATTTGGATCCTTAGGCGCTTAGTCGGCTCGTAGGAGTAATCTCCACACCCGTGCGGTGTTTTTGGGAATAACCGCCCAAAAGTAGCAGCTGCAGGGTGACTGCATTAGTGGTGTTGGAGAATGGCTTAGTAGAGACTCGAAGGTCAACCTAGGGCTCGCATGATTGGTGATCATTGGCTACCAAAGAGGTAGCCAAGCCTCCGGCCTACGGGCTAATCCGCGCAAGCGCCACCGTCGAAAATGTTTTGCCAACCTGACCCTATCAGAATCAGTTTCAGAAGGCCCCCCTGCATTTTAGTTGATGCACAAAAGATTAGCGACGTGTCGGATGCACTATGTATAGCCTTCTTGATCAGAACGCCTTGGGAAGTCCGTTGCATTCCACCAATCATGACGCGCGTGCTGAACATGGTTTAGATAACCATGCTTTTTCTACGCAGAGATAAGGTAAGAGAGTTATGGAAAAGAGTCCCAGGAGGCGTGCTCTCTTCTGTCCGCATACGCCGAGTATTGTGCATTCATTATACTATACATCGGTCCCCCTCCGGTTCCTATCCCCAACCAACCTTCGTCGCTATAGATATGCAATGCTGTTGATCTCCAGCCTCCTTCCTATAATCTCTAGAGACAGAGCGATGCACCTCAGCTACCCATGCTAGCTAGCAATGCCGACTGAGCCCCACATCGTGTTGAGTACCCCCACTCGCAAGTATTCAACAAAGGGCCAACAGAAGCTTTTCGGCCCCAAAATGAGTAATCGTATGTCCAAGAGCACATATTCCTTCTTCTGCTTAGTCCATCAACCGAGTATTGTAGCAGCGCCCACAGGTGGGTCTTAGTAGTAGAGTGCGATCATCCGACACCCAGATGAATTGAGTTTGGTCGGAACTTTATCCCACAGTGACGGAGTCAGAAGAGGTCGCAATCATCGCCTTATGGCGAGTGAAGCATTCCACTCACACATTGAACATGCTGAAAATTAGAACCGACCGTTTGAAGGTGCTTTTTGAGATTAGCATCCCAGTCCGCGTCATCTCCCAAGCTGGATGTGGCGGGTACTTTGTCTTTCGTAGTTCTGTAGCAGTGCATGCTCATTAAGGGTCCTTGATTTCGGGATATCGTTCGCATATCCGTCGTCCATATCTCTTGAGTCTCAGTCATAGGCGCCCCAAACTCGGCAGTTAAGCAGGTCAGATTCCAGTTTTATAGAAATCACGAGCAAGGGGGATTGGCTGTGGTCTTTCACACTAGTGGCGATATTAAATACACGCTGCCGGAAGGCCTTGACGTCCACATTATCAGGACATACTCAATCCATAACCTCCAGGGAAACTGGGAGGCATAGGAAGCCAAAGTGATACGGTCACGCTTATCTGGTCTGCTAGCCAGTCTGACGAAGAAAGCCCCCCAAAACTGCCATGTCGTTTAACTGGCTACAAACCGCCATACCCTGTATTGTCGAGCTTACCACAAGTGCCTCAATCTGCAATGTATGTACATGGCCCTGGGCTGTTGCCAATAGTCTCTCGAGTGTTACCACATCCCAAGGGTTTAGAGTCGACCGATATGAAAGGGGGATATGCAGCTGGAACCAGTAACTTGTACCAAGGGCCGGTTCAAAGACTGCGCCATCATAATGTTGTTGCGTATATTCTAACCAAGGCTGAAAGGCGGCGGGTCAAGATTAGATACGAAATCTCTTTAGAAGGTAGCAAGCGACTGGTCCAGGGCAGTCTTTAAGGTGACTCGGTGACAAGGATGGTTCAAACACTCTAAGGGCGGGGTTTGTCATAATAGGGCACCACTCAGTCCGCACTCTCAGTGTAAATAAGTTCTCATCCCCTGAAAAATTGGATACGATATCTACAAATCATGCCTGCGCCATGACACGAGTCAGGGTAAAGGCTCACGTGAACTCAAGCTGGGCGACATTGTCATTGGCTCCCAGACTCAATGTTGGTTGGTTTCATTATCCACTGGGGTAAACTGGTTGTTCTTTGTTGACCAAGTCAGCTTTCCTCGCGACGGGGTCCCGGTTAAAACGATGAGAATGGGCAGGATTTATGTGACAGTCAGTGGTCACCATATGCAGCGATTCATGGGCTACATGGTCTAATCCGACATGGGAAGATGTCGCTGTGCTGTTGCAAAGGCAACCCCAGGCGACCAAAGTCACTGGCAGGCTATCCAGGGTCCTATGGACGGCGAATCATGTTAACCAACCATAGCACAAAGGGAAATCAGGTGGCAAGGGATCTACCATCCTGTGTGCCTTTAGCGCCCATTTTGTACCAGTCACGAACGAACCTTGTTACTCTTCCCAACGGGACGTGGTCTACGGTACCGTTGTCGGTTAGATTCCGGTCAGCGGATAAAGACCGTATAACACTACAATTGCCGAAAGATAATACATGGCAGGTTCCTTGGTTTGGGCAAAAGCCAATTCTTTCTGGACCTCTATTGAAGAGCCTCGCCAAAATGAAGGGCCTTTGCACATGCTAAGTGTTGATACTCCAATCCACGGCACCAGCCTCTATCCCGAACGTGAGTTCAAGATTAGACGGGTGACAAAATGCGCTGTGTCCTCTTGTGTCAGGAATTACAAATTCGCTGTCATCCGTGGCACTCCATCAATTTCTGTCAGAGCCAGACTGGGGAGAACTGTTTAATGAAACGAGGCACACGAATTATAGTAATAGTTAGATGCCTTTGCACTTCCCTCTATGCGTATAGGGACTGGGAATGGGTGCGGGGATCCATGGCTTCAAATTGGACATTGCGCAGCGCATGGGACTTGGCCGCACTTGATAAATGGGAAGTTCCTACTGCCATGAGGGTAATAGAGCTTGGTCTCGAGGAGGTGACTAAAGTATTGCTGCATCGTTAACTAGAGATATTCTCGAGAATAGTACGCACGCCATTAACGCCAAGGTCTTTTCACACACAAGAGCGTTGAACTATACTGGCTCTGGGTCCTGTTCCTGATCTTGCTTCTTACTTCCGGTGTTGTATTCTCTATGGTCACAGTATGGGCTACTCAATTTGAAAAGGTTGGCATATGGAAAGCATCTATTTTACCAGTGCTATACCATGGGGTCGTACAGACCACATCGAATGGTCATGGTGACCTTACAACTATTAGTCAAATGGGTGCTGTGTCCCAGTTGGCCGAGGTCCAACTGCAATCATCGGATTTGAGGGGAGGCATAGCATTACGATGATTCGATTCCATCTAATCGACAGGTTATGAAGCCGTCATTCCATGGATGCCTAGTTTCTGACTGTCTGTTTGCAGGGCTTATAGCAGCGCACTGGGCATCATGGCGTGTAACCATCTTATTCTTCTCTTAGCATCAAGGGGTGCTTTCAATGGGTGGGAAGAGAATATACCACGATCCGCACAATCTGCCGTAGTAAAAGTTTCCAGATTCCATGATTCACCCAAGCGGCTGGTTAGGCCGGTCGGGTCATGACCGCCATTTCCATGGTAATACCAGGTCCGAAGGCCGCGACAATCACTTTGTTTCGCCCAAATTCGGGGGTGCCTTGTTCCTTTGCAAGCTCGTTAATAACGCTAATTACAGTGCTCGAGCTGGTGTTTCCCCTCGATCGGTAAACCTCATAGGTCTTTCGCAAGTGGTGTTCCGTGATACCCAAGGCACTTTGTGCACGGACGACGATACTATAGCCCCCCGGATGTAAAGCCCAGTCATATGAAGAAGGATCAAAATTGGATTTGTCTGAACATAATGAGGGGGTAGATGATATAAGGTCGTGAAAACCGGAAGGAAGCGCCGCGGAAGTCTGTCCGGGGACTTCCTTTGTGATCACTGGATGGTATCCTGCCTGTATCTTAGCTAACTTTCACTTTCGGGTAGAACGACAGCATCAGTTTCGTACCGTGTGGGCGGATGTTGAACTGGATGTTGGAAGCAGAATCCTCGAGGAGAGTTGTGCGACAATTCAGAATATTCCAAAGAGGAGCTCGTTCAGAAGCTTTAGTGCAAATCCCATTGCTTAGCACCATAGCACCAGCGCCATCACCGAAGAGGGTTATTGCAACGTTTGTTTCTTGGGCTTTAACAATGTCCTCGAGCATTGAGCGGAAAAAGATCGTACAAATTTCGCATGCAACAACAAGTGCTCTTCCTGGCTTCCCTTGAAAGGCCGCTCCAAGAAGAAATTCATTTGCTGTCCGTAGAGCAGCGGCGCCACCTGCGCAGCCAACTCCATGAAGGAGAGTGCGTTGTACATTTCTCTGGAGACCCAGTCTCTCACAAATCATGTAGTCCAGCCCTGGGTTTGCTGTATTTGTACACGTAACCACGATGATATGGGTGATATCGTTCAAAGAGCCATTCCAGTCCGCAAGCGCTTTCCTCGCTGCCTCCTCTGCGACTGGGACACCATATTTTCTAAACAACGCATCACAGTCAGCAATATCTGGTAGCTTCGGATCACTCCAAAAGAGGTCATCAAACGGTACGGCGGTACGGCGGAGCTGTATCCTTGACTTTCCATTGATTTGCAATGTCTTGAGCGTGCTGGTTATTCAACATCAGTTCCCCAACTCCAACCAGTAGAACAACAAATTGCTCTTACGCTGGGCCGTTAGGATCATGGAATGCAGAAATTAGCTTTTCGAGTTCGTCAGATCGGAGCTCATGGGGAGGATAATGGGCGCCCGTTCCAACAACAGAGACAACGCGCTTTGATACCAGGTCATCCTTATGGTTGCTGATCTCTGGCGGAGGATTACCATGAAATATAGGCGCCATGATGTCCTGGCCTAGAAAGAGACCCCGGTATAAAGGGTTATAGGAACAGAGATTCTTCGAAATGACCTAGTGTTATTTAAAATTGTTGTAAGGGTTTTCCCGCGTATTTTGAGTTGACTTTTCTTATCAAGTCGATCAAACTACTACATATGCAGCAGATCAGCGAGGAAACAGCCATCCGGATCCGGACTGGCCCAACCGTTAGGCGTCCAACAGGCATAAGAAAGAAGAGCATATATACTTATACTTCAAAAGAGGCCCCTAATATCATTCGCGAATAGGCGATATTCCGTATCTGGTATTGGCTAGTAATCTAGGCCTAAAACTAAACGGTTAAAACCGATGGTGAATGAAGGTTTGATTCTTCCATCTCGTGGAATATGTGGCTGAAATACTGTGCGAAGGTTTATATGACTAGTGGCTGGGCAGTCGGCTATCTGGTTAACTCATCTCGTATATGTGATCTAGGCCGTTTTAGTATTTAGCCTTGTTCTACAGAGGATAAGGCATAAACTGGTATTTGCCTATAAGGACTAAAGCAGCCGTTACCAGCTACATCAACACGTATATCGTAGCATGAATACGACAGGACCTATCAGCGACACAACGGAGGCGTATCACTGACATAATGGAAAGAATATATAAGAAACACCCGTTCAAGTACTTGTGGACTAATCTCTCCCTTTTGTTAAGTGTGGATTCTCCCCATATAGCTGGCTTGCATCTAACGCGCACGGTTTAAATTATATCTACTAGTCCAAACACTGAACATCATGGCAATCCCTGAAGCACCACAGCAGATTACCTAAATAGCCCGTGGGCTGTCAGTGTACGCTTTCTTCAGCTTCATTTCAATATCCCATCGGACATGTCTTCTATAATCTGAACCAAAGCTAAACAGCCCCACCGCAATAGCCAAGGTTTTCTCGTTAGCAGAAGCCTGAAGTGCATAACCGAGTGACGGGAAAGGTTTCCCAGTCCAATCCCCGGGACGACATTCAGGCATATCCAGGCACTTATTGCAGCGCGGACTATGACAGAGCAGAGATCGACCATACCAAAAGTAGTCAGAATTTATCTAAGCCAAAATGGCTTATCGATATTTTCCGGTAGCAGTAATCAAAAATTCAACTAATAACGCATATGGGGCTACAGTCGAGGTCTCGGAGAAGAGGGCAAGGGTGGAAATAACAGGGCTATATTTCTTCACTGATTCATGGTATAACGGAAGATAGTAAAGAAGACACCATAGCACAAGCCCTTGTAATATGCTCCTAAGAAAGGAGACTTTTGCAGTACGGGTCTGTAAGACAGCTGGTGGGATGATGGACTGTGATATAATCCAATACTCATAAGTTACAAATCCAAGTAATCCTATAGCGCCAATCATCAGAGGAACCCAGTTGCGCCATAATCCCTATTTATATATGACAGCATGCTGGGTCAAAGGAATGAGAAAAGATGAAAGGCTTCTAACAAAGATACTCGTCCGAGCATAATGGATCCATTTCAGTTTGTGCTAGTTGCAGCAGTGAACTTGGAGGTGAGAAATAAACGCACAGTGCTAACGCTAATGAAGGGTACATTAGGTTTCTTAGCATCGCATGGTTGTAGGGGAAGCCCTGAGTGGAATAAAGAGAGATCTCTGACCCTCAAGAGTGGATTAAACTAGGTTGATAGAAAATGGATGTCTCTATTCTCCTCTCTCACTCTCTTTTTCAGATAAAACAAAAACTAAAACAAACGTAGAAAGTCTGTGACATATATGAGTTTCTGCTTCCTGATTCATATTAGATGAGTCTCGTCGGTGTGCATTCAATATGAGCCAGGAAATAGGCAGACAATAAGTCTACAGAAGTTAGAACTGGATTAGTATTGGGGGAGGGAAAGGGTAGTTGCATTTTGTTATTATTTCGAGCGTGGAATGAAAATCTCATGCCTATTCAACTCAATCGAGTAGTGAGCTCGTATCGAGGTCAACATTCCTCTCCGAACTATAAGATATGGATCCGTGGCACACCACATCCAAAATGTATAATCTGCGGAAGCATTTTCCGCCCATACAGGTCCTTTACTCAAGGGCGGAAAACAAATTTCTATTGTAACTGTCTGGAAGTGGATGAGCTGGAGGTACGACAGCTACACCTGGAAACATCTCATCACGAAGCATTATGGTGGTGTCTTACCTAGTCCTTTAGCCTTATGGAGCTCTGTTAACATGGTGTACATTATCTAGACTGTTGCTTTATGGAAACAGAAATGGGGCCATTCTTCCATAACAAGCATCATTGGTCTAGTGGTAGAATTCATCGTTGCCATCGATGAGGCCCGTGTTCGATTCACGGATGATGCACATCTTTCTTTTTGCTTTTGCTTTTCTTCCCCTATGTCGCTTAGAATTGAACCTGAAAATTTTTATTTATTGTTTTTCCTAACCCATTTTCGGCCTTCATTAAATTACAGTCAAAATTATCACTGATTTTGAAGTGTCCGACCAACAGGCGCATGGTATACCTTCCGGGCATACAGAATATACTGCAGGATAGCAAAGATCGTGACTGCACCCACCATTAGAACCGACCAGTTCATAGTTTTGGGCACCACATCTTTAGTTGTCGGGAAAAAGGTAAAGATGATCTGGAAAGCAAGGTAGAAGAGGGATACAATGTTGATAACTGGCCCATACGGGCCTAAAGAGAAGCGAGGACTACTAGGCGATGTTCTTGACTGCCAGCGTGCTATAAAGAAACAGGCAATGGCGATCATATAGGTCGTCAACATAGATGCGATCGCCAACGAGGCAATCGCATTGAAAGCTGCCGTGGAGCCAACATTGATCAGGGTCAATAGAATGGTCACCAAAGTTGAAGACAGCATAGACCAGACCGGGGTCTTAGATTTGGGATGGACATAGGCGAGGGTGCTCGAGAAAGGAAGTCCTTTGTCTCTGGCAAATGCGAAGATCTGACGTGAGGTGGTTGCCAGGATACCCAAAGCACTGCAGACCTCCATAACCAAGATAATGCACGCGAGGCCTACCGCCATATTGATCGACCCGGTCGCGTTGTGAAAAGCTGTGATGAATGGAAATCCACTGGGCGCTTTTAGCACCGAGTCTATGTCACCCATGGTGTAGAGGAGAGTAATGAGCATCACGAATCCAAGCGTGCCATTGACCACGGCAGTCGAGATCATACACCATGGAACAATCCTGGAAGCATCCTGGACCTCCTCCGCTAGCAAACGAACATGGTTAGTTGTGCATGATGCTGTAACAAGACTAGGGATGAATGAATGCCTACCCATATGCGTCGCTGCATCTGGCCCTGTGAAAGAGAAAATCGGGGTCAGTTGGCCGACTAAACAAGCCAATCCAATATTCGACCACCCTCCTGTGTTACTAAAAGTCTGAAAAACCTCGACACTGCTTGCTCTGTCGGCCTTAACCCACAAGGGGATCAACACCACGAAGAACCCAAAAATATGAATGAACAGTAAGAGACGCTCAAGACTGGCGAGCCAATGAGTACCCCACCCATTGAGGACGGTTGCTATAACCGCAATTGCAATCGCCAAAAGCGTCCCATGCCATCTCTCAAACGTATATACATGGTGTGTGGTCGGGACAGAGCATATGGTGACCAACAAACCCTGAATCAAAGTTCCGACGAGAAAACATACACTGGCGAACGCTGCCTGCCAGCCCAAAACCGCGAGCCATCCTGATTAGGTTACGCAGGGGTTAGTATAAATGCCTATCGTTTTTGCGGTGATGGTACCGCCATACCTGTGATATAACTTAAAAATCTTTGACAGGAAGGAGGAGCGTACTCGCTAACCCAGTGATATTGGCCTCCCGCCGTTGGAGCTCTCGATGCGATCTCTGCCAATGATGCAACAGATGCGAAAAAACCGATAAAGGTGCCAATGTAAACATATACCATCCCAGCTCGTCCGCCATTGATTAGACCGTAATTACTGGTGAGCAGAATAGACTCCCAGGTTGCCATTAACGTACAGTTGAAACCGAGGATAGATACAAACCGGAAATTTCTCTGAGGCATATAATCAGTCCAACTATTCGGTCTAGCACTGAATATATGCTACAAAGGAACGATGAGAGCCTCGGCTATAATACTAACCTTTAACTGTTGTGTCTTGCCCAGCCGTTGCATGTCCAGATTATCTTGTGCGGTGTTCGCCATAGAGAGCTTTTCTTTTGAGGCCGGCAGTTGAACATCGCCGACCCTGACTTGCGATGCACATTTAGCTGAAGTGTCCATAGCTAGACAGCTTACATAGCATTGTTTCAGAACATGAAATATTCAGATGGATGGTGAGGCCCCGAAGCTGATACCATTAACGTCGCGGGAAAGGGGACATTACAACGTGGATGAGACGCAAGGGGGGAGAGGTTCTGACTCGGGAAAAGTAAACACAGCCTCAGCCTCGTCAATGTGGAGAATTATTTCGGAATACGCCTGGATAACGAGCAATTAACTGGAGCTACCCTGCAGTGACTATTGTGAAAACTCTGACAGATTGCGCGTCAATACTGTGAGGTCGCGTTTCCCCGATTCCCAGTTTGATACAAACATAAACAAAAGCATATACGTGGTGATAGACTAGAGATATGTAGGATGGAACAACACGAGTCTGAGCCTCCCAGATGATTAGGGAATTTCCGAGTTTTACACGCACTGACCACATCGTATCTGACGCTTAGTTCGCCAAAAAAAAAAAAGCTTAATTACCATAGCCTCGGCATATTAGAGAGTGAAAGTCTCAATCAATCTTGACCGATAATGTCCTCTTCTTATGAATCTACGAGTTCAATCCGATGTCTTTACTTTTGAGAGATAAAATGTGGTTTGCACCAATTAGTCTAGTGGATGAGAGCTGAAGTTGTTGAAGTCGTGGACGTAAGATAATTGCTATCTATATACTAATCTTAGCAAGCTCTTCCTTAAGCGATAAAACTTACTAGTATGTTGTTTCTTTAATCGTGGTTCCGTGAATATTAACTTTCCAATAGGGCACCTCAACTACAATAGAATCAATATGGTGTGCACAAACCATTATATTGTCCCATATCTGTTCCTACCAGACTAGCCATTCCTAGAGTAGTCAATGGATTCTAATTAGCTGTGGTATCTATGCCATGAAAAGGGCATTCAATGTTGGGATAGTGAGTCCAGGGCACGGCCAAAGTGCCAATTAGTGTTTTAGTCGAGTAGAATTGTAATTCGCTATCACTAACGGAAGTGGCAAGATGCATCGGGATTATACTATTACTGTAGTGAAGCTTTCCGCAACCTCAGTTATACCAGACAGGATATTGTAGGCGAAGCTGCCTTTAACTCCTTAGCCCAGGTGTCACTTCTTTGATAGCAGTTGATATGAAATGTCTGTCGAGTACTTTTGGCTACCCCCAGGAGCGGCTTATAATAATAAAGTGAATGCATGTCAATGTGATAAAGTTGAAACAGGTGAATTAAGTGAATGAAAGGACAGGCGTGCGGTCTAGACTCCCATATACAAGGGCTTAGGAATACTATTTTGGATATCCAGGGAATGTATCTCAACACCATTTGAATGTATTGTCAGGGGGTGATGCTTGATAGGATAGTTTTAGATGATTGAATGTAAGTATTCACCCGCGCTTCCCATGGAAATATACCAAATAGTTCACATAGCAAGGTGGCCTGTCAGCGAAACGACATATAAAACTGCTGTACGCTCCATGCAGGCCAGCCCTTATTCAGATGTTACTTAATAATCACAGAGCAATCTCGATATTGAACACAAACCATCACTCATTCTGTTTCAAACCAAAATGATGTCCCTCACAAACTTCATTCTCTTCATCCTGGCTTTGCTCTCCGTTGTATCCTCTCAATCCCTGGAGAAGCACGGTTCAACAACTGGCCTTGGAAATGTGGTCATAGTCAACAACATGGGTACCACTCTCTACTTGTGGTCAGTAGATGAAAACGAAGGTCCAATGCACGCAGTTGTTCCAGGCGCCTCGTACCAAGAGACATTTCGTCTGCGTCCCGATGGCGGCGGCATTTCCATCAAAGTCAGCACATCCCAGGACATTAACGGTGATATAATCCAGTTTGAGTACACCCAGGCTGGGGAGAAAATATTCTGGGACGTGTCCTGTGTGAACACCAAGGCTGGGTCGCCGTTCTATGACAAGGGCCTCATTCTTTTGCCAGCAGACATAAATGGCTGTCCGCACGCTTTTGCCTGCTTTCGGGGTGATTCCAATTGCAAATATGTTTACCACAAGTCAAGCGACGACTATGCAACCCATGGCTGCCCTATCAGTACTTCTTTCAACTTGAAGCTTGGCATTTAAGTCTGAATGCAGCCCATGAACTTACGTTTTCCCTTACGTTCTCGCATTAAAAGGGTCTGGGTACAGTGGGGTACTGAGTGATCGAAGTACGGGTTTGTACAGACTTATGGATGCTCACAGTACTTGTGGGACTTGAGTGGGATGTTCTGGTAATAGTGGATGCTAGTTGATCTATGTCTGGTCTGTTGGGCAGTACAATTTATTCTTTGTCCTCGATTATAGATCGAGTTATTTAATATTGCCAGATTAATATCTTTGCCTTTGTCGAGCCACTTTAAAATCTTGTAATTGATATGTACTCCCCTTGCGCTTGGCTTTTTAGTAGTAGTAACTCTTATTAGGCATGTTGTTCTTCCCCTAATGTCACAAATGTAACTAAAGCAAAACACTCCTCAGTGATAATGGCCAGTCAAGAGTAGCATAAGGATTCATTGGTCGTGGACACTAAAGGATGGGCATAAGCAGATACTGTTACTGAGTGTGCCCAATCTTTCAGCCGCCTTCCGACCCTATGCTTCACTCATTGTTCTGGTAGTAATCTGCGCGGCAAGATGGCTAACGTCTTTCCTCTCATCGACAACCTCGGAAACATGCTCATTCTCAGAGCCCTTCTTAAACCGACCAAGCCCCAACTTCCTTGAGATAGATGTTAAGACAGGAATGTAGCCGTGCTTTTCGTTGTACCTCATGCAGACGTATGAGGTAATAATCACTACCCAGTAAAGGTTGTAAGATAGCACTGATCCATAGGTAGCGGAATTGGTCCACCCAAAGAGAGCGTTGAAGATACCCCAACCACCACCGCCGCCAAGCTCTGGATTACAACAGTTCACGTGCCAGACACTCTGGCGGATATCGTAAGATCCAGGGCCCGAGCCAGTCTCCGAAGCATCTCCGCCGATGACATGGTTCCAGGTGTTATTCTCCAGGTACCAGACCGCGCGGGAGAACAGGCCTGCGGCAACCAGATAGAGGAAGCAAGTAGATATAATCAGGAAGTACTGTAGGGAAGTTGAGCTTCCACCCCTGCATCGAAATCTGTTAGTCACCGTCAAACAGTACTTTGGAGCTTCGTTCTTGGAGGAAACAGGATGGAATGTACAAACACTTACCGGTACATCACATAACCTACTGCAACGCCAGCCAGAAGGCCACAGAAAACGGCCAAGGGGAACGAAGACGCTGGCAATCCCAGGCCCACCCCACCGACATAAACAATAGCCTCCAGCCCCTCTCGAAGAACGGTAACAAATGGCAAAATGAACATCACATATTTTTCAGACCAGTCTTTCAGACGACCCATCATTGTCGTAGACTTTTCTTTCTTCTCCAACGCACGGGAGAGCTTGACACGCCATTTCTCGCGCATTTTGTTCACACGCAGAAGCCCGGCCCCCATGATGGAAATGATGATGGATGCTATGAATCCAAAAATGCCTTCCCAGATATCCTCTGTGTTTGTAAAGGTATCTTTTTCTAAGCCGTAGAAAGCGCCGATCATGCCTGCACCGATGCAGAGACATAAGAATAGACCTAGGCCTACTCCACACCATACCTGTTCATGTTAGAACTTAGCTGCTTATTGTCTAACGATGTTCATGCTAGGGTAAATGAAAAAGAGAAACAGAAGGTCAATTACCTGTACACGCAATCGCTTCAGAGCTGCTCTATCTCCTTCAGCACCCAAGGTTTGAGTAAGAAAGGCAAGAAGAACCGATACAATGATACTACTTTCGAGACATTCTCGGAAGCAAATGAAAAAGACTATACATCGTCAGCGACTGCCGTCTTGTGCAAAAAGTAGAACTCAAGGAATTATGATGAGGACTACCAGTGACTGCAAAGACTTGATTCGCCATGTTGACTCCCTGTATGAAGACCTATCTGGTTCCTGAGTTGAACTTGGAGATGCAGACTGTGGTTTATATAATAACAACTTGGCCTAATACGAACTCTGCAGACTTCTCGCGAGCTTCATCTGACCGAGTCCAACCCGGCAAGCCATCATCCGATAGCATTGTGACAGTTAAGTCGAATCTCCACCAGTGCAAGCCAAGGATCACAAGATCAACACGTAATGCGAACTCATTCTCTTTTGTTTTCGGTGGATCGTGGCGGCGAAATCCGCCAGCCCGCTAAGTCTGATACAAAGTTTCGGAACGTTCAAGTGAGGATGGAACCATGGGGAGGACAACAGCTGCTGCCAAGGGTCTAAATCTCGGATCAGATAACCCTTTGTAGGACAAGTGTGCATCGACTTCATCTCCAATGGCTCCACCCTGTAATATCATGTAATACCGCTACAGTGTATTGAAATTACACTACGCATTTGCTCGCTCATCGAAACAGTATACTATATCAGATATGGGCTTATGGACTCGTTCTGCTGTTGCCCCTAACTTATTTAAGAGTCTGTCCATGCAGAATCCAATTTTCTGTCTGTACTGTTGCCTTAATTTCTTCATCAACAACGAATTGGTCGGGATTCGTGTTTTGCGAGTAGAAGGATGAATCTCCTCTCTCTTCTGTCACTTTCGGCCATCAGCGCCATCGCCTGTGCAGAGACACACGTCTTTGACTGGAATATAACATGGGTAACGGCAAATCCTGATGGACTGCAACCTCGTCCTGTGATTGGGATCAATAACGAATGGCCCCTACCTCTTTTAAATTTCACCAAGGGAGATAGGGTTATTGCCAACGTGAGAAATCAGCTTGGTAACGAATCGACCAGTGTTCATTTTCATGGCTTCTTCCAAAATGGTACAAATGAAATGGATGGCCCGCCTGGCGTCACTCAATGCAACATTCCTCCCAATGAGACAATGGTGTACAACTTCACAGTGAGCCCCGTTCAGTTCTGATGCACTTGGTCCACACTGACTGTGATGTAAGATTGATCAATCCGGTACATATTGGTATCATTCCCACACGAAGGGGCAGTACCCCGACGGCTGGCGTCAAGCTTTGGTCATTCATGATGAGGAAGATCCCTACATCGGCAAATATCACGAGGAGCGAGTGATTACTTTATCTGATTGGTACCATGACGAGATGCCTGGTCTCCTGAAAGAATTCATTAATGTTGCCAATCCAACTGGTGCAGAGCCAGTTCCTAAGTCTGCTTTGATGAATGACACACAGAACCTGACCATCCCAGTTGAGCCTGGCAAGACCTATCTATTCAGACTAGTAAATATTGGGGCTTTTGCAAGCCAGTATTTCTGGATTGAGGATCATGATATGCAGATTGTCGAGGTAGATGGGGTTTGGACAGAGCCTGCGACTGCCTCTATGATCTACTTAGGCTCTGCTCAGCGGTGTAGTGTTCTTGTCACGATGAAGAACGAGACCGATGCCAACTATGCCATGGTCGGGAGCATGGATACAGTAAGCACAACCATATGCAAAGGGATACCACGCAGAAAAGGATGTGTATAAACTAATACGGGCTAGGATCTATTTGACACTCTTCCCTCGGACCTGAATTACAATTCTACTGGGTGGCTAGTGTATGATTCTTCTGTCGAGAAACCAGTCGCCAAATCGGTGTCGGAGTTCGATTTCTATGATGACTTTGATCTCGTCCCTTACGATGGACTAGAGCGATATGAAGATGCAGATATTACCGTGACATTGGATCTCACCATGGACAACCTTGGCGATGGAGCAAACTAGTAAGCTACTCCTATCCTTCTCGTGGCGGTTCTTAAGTATTCGAAAAGCAACATACTAAGCTACCCACCAGTGCCTTTTTCAATGGAATCTCCTATGTGGCGCCCAAAGTTCCAATTCTGTATTCTGCGCTCACGACAGGATCCGCTGCCACAGATGCCGCTATATACGGCACAGACACCAACGCCTTCGTTTTGAACAAGGGTGATATCGTTGATATCGTCCTCAACAATGATGATACTGGCAAACACCCATTCCACCTGCATGGCCATAGCTTCCAGGTCATCTGGAGAAGTGGAGATTACGAAGGCCATTTTAACCCAGACAATGTCACTTTCTCATCCGTACCCGTGCGGCGCGATACTCTAATTGCTAAGCCGATGGGTAATTTTGTCGTCCGATTTAAGGCTGATAATCCTGGTACGAGCAAGGTACGCTTAGAATTTAAGGGGTATTTCTTTACTAATACATGGTCCTAAAGGTATTTGGCTTTTCCATTGTCACATCGAGTGGCATATGGATGCAGGACTGGCCGCTATAATGGTCGAGGCTCCGTTATATCTTCAAGAAAACCTGACTATCCCACCAAATCATTATGATGTCTGTAGTGCAAGTGGTACTCCAACTGAAGGTAATGCAGCGGGAAATACAGAGGATTTCTATGACCTTACAGGGGAGAACAGGGCAGTTGCTCCGCTCCCTGCTGGCTTCACGGCACGCGGTATTGTAGCTTTGGTTTTCAGTTGTGTAGCTGCTTTTGTGGGCTTAGCTTCCATTGTGTGGTAGGTTTTCAAAGCTAATTCTGAAGCCAGGAACAATCACTAACAAGATACAGGTACGGGGTGGCTCCTATCAAGAACAACCGTATGTTAGTTTGATTATGCTGCGGAGGGAGGCGATGTCGCAGCACTGGTCGGATTATCTGCATAGAACACATTAAGATAGTCCTGTTCATAATAAAAATTATACTCATGTCTTATTATATCTACCGTATATTGCATTAGATGATTATTATAAATAAATTGAAAGTTTCTTCTACACTATGTAACCACGCAATGGTCTTGCAGCTCGCTATGACAGCTGGTCGGAAATTAATGTCAAATTAACTGCCCGTCTTCGTCCTGACAGAGCTGGAAAGAGACTACAAGCCAATAGCCGAAATCCGACAATTATGGAAACTATGGTTGACACTACTCCCGCATGAACATCAGATTGATAGCTTCCTTCTGTTCCACTGGGAACGGTGGGGTTGCCAAGATCACTGCTCGCAAACCTGACCAAATCGGGATGAATGTCCATTTCGCGCATAATTCGGGGATTCACCTAGTGGCAGAAAGGTTGAGAGACGCGTAGAATCTTTTATCTGGTATCCCTGTATGTTGTGGGTTCTACTGCAAATATCCACAGTTGGTGCTTGTCACAGCGGAGAGAGGGATAAGCCCATTGCAGAAAGAGTATATACTTTCCGAGCGCAATTTTTCTTATCAATCTAATCAGATACATATTGCTGGACACCCGGAAGTTCCCCGGGACATATTCAATCGCACATCACATGGTTGAACGAAGATTTGCTTTTGGCATTGTTGTAATTAAGGACGATATTGCTCGGTTGTAGCGGAAAGATGAGGTTTTAGGTCATTTGTTATACCCATTATATGTGTTAGGATTCCTTGACTTGGGTATAACTGGGAAGTTCATAGCACTTTTCGAGGCTACCATAATTGGAATAATAGATTACCAATCGAGCCTGACAGCACATTTGAATGCCGAAGCGAGAAGCTTGGCATCAGTCAAGGTTTTATTCGAAGGCTTAAGCAAGTCTAGCCCGCAGTAGCTTGGGTAAGCAAAGACGGCAAAGAATTCTTTCGAATTCTTGGCTACTCTAAATTTCGGATAGTGGGTGTCTTGTATGCTTTTGATCCGCCTGTTGAATCTCCATTTGCCTAAGAAACTGTTCTGTACTGTAAGTACAGGTTTCGTAAAGTGGGTTCCTTGGCAAGTGCTTAGCTCAAAGGCTTGACCTCGTGCCAAGAACTACAATAAACACCACTACTAAGTGGGTCAGATCATGTATATTGGCTAGGAATCACAACCGAACGTATTGCAGACTCTTCGCTCCGGCACTTTGGGGCTCAGAATGGCATTCTGTGCTTCAATTGCCAAGACCGAGTGGATACTCTGCTGTGGCCAGCATCTGCCGCGCAACAAACTTGGCATGTTCTCGAGCCGGAAATTAGATGGCACAAACTCGGTAGTCAGGGTTGATACTTGACTCAGCCGTGCATGAATTAAGCTCGCTTAGAGCTTGGTATTACGTACGGCCCATGCATATATCGTATGTTGGTGCATCGTTGCATACGAAGCATGTCGAAAACCGTATTTACTCGGAACTGGCAGGGCCGAAAAACCCATTATCGGAGAAACAGACTAACTGGGACACTTGTAAATGCAATCCTTGGCTTCGTGGCCCCTCTCAGTTCCAAGGAGCCACAAGCGGGGGAATGCGCGTATCTAGTGGACTTCTACGGATACGAATAATAATTATTTACCGTCCAATCGGTGGCTTCAAGTTACTTTGTATGGGACACTACAAGATATATAATAGCCCAGGCGAGTTCTTCCCTCAGAAGGAAATTGTTGTCATGGTCAGCACAATGCATCTTAAAACTACCTTTCTCGCACTGTGCTGGGCTGGGGTCCCAGTCCTTGCAGGACAAGGAGATAGTCACAATGCTGCTGATAACTTGGACGAGTATTGTTTCTATTCCGTTTATACAGCCCTTTCAGAATATACATTTGCTGGGAGTACAATCTTGGAGTCTTCCCAGGATAGTGATGGTGGAACTAGCGATGGAGGCTCTGGTACCTCTGGTGATGGGCAAACCTCTTCGAGCAATCAGTCCTCTTCTAGCACGCAGTCATCCACTGCAAGTGAACATTCACATAGTAAGAGGTCTCTGCGCCGCCGAGGACACCAGGGCAGCTCAGGAACCTCAACTGGGCCATGCAATAGCACCATTGAAGTGACTTCGATGTATGCGAGTGCGAAAGCATGGTGCAGTAAGGCCGAGCTCAAGGCTACTATTCCATACTGGCAGAGTCTCTGTGAACAAAATAGCTTGACCCTCATGGACTTGTCCGAGGTTGAAGCCAATGTTACCGATACGTATCTTGCATCTCTGCCTACTATCGACCCGGAAACGAATAGCACCTCAACGACTGGTACAATTGAATCGCCAGTTCTACTTAGTCACGCCTACTACAAGAGGGCTCACAAGTCATACGTGCGTTTCTTTTATGTCTCTCTTTTCTCCCCTTCTCCTGCCTCGTCTTCTGACCTACTGATAGGTAACTCATGATTTTGCTTTGGACAAGGACAAACGGTTCGGCTGGGGTCTAATGGGATACTGGGGAGGCATATTGGTCCTAGGCATGATGGCCAAACTAATGGGCTCAGTGTCTAGCCAACGGCGGGCGCCCAGCCGCCGAGATCCAGAGTCCAACATAGCCTTGCAAAACATGCATCAGAAACAAACTAAGCCTAAGGCTGGCGCGTCTACGTTGCATTACCTGCGGACTTACTTCATCGTCCCCGCTAGTTTCGCTCCAATTTTGCCCCATCACCAACAGCTTTATTACTGGCACACCGTTCCCCGCCGCTTGGACCTCCTGATTGTTTTGGGATTTTGGGTCCTTTGCGTTATTCTTGGCTGTGTTGATTATCAGAGCTTCTCTGGTAACATTGAGTATGATCTTCCAAAACCCGTAGGAAGGATAGAAACCACTAGCTAACTCATACCTCATAGGATGTCGAGTATCTTCCAGCAGAACTGGCAATACTCCTCCGACCGCACGGGCATTTTGTCGTATGCCTGTCTTCCCTTCCTGTGGCTATTTGCTGGGCGCAACAATATTTTTCTTTGGGCGACAAACTTCAGCGTACAGTCGTTCAATATCTTTCATCGTCATGTAGCTTGGGCGTGCACCCTCCTCGCAATCATTCATTCCATCAATTACAGCGTTGTGTTTGCATACTATGGTGAGGGGTATACTAGTGATTGATCAAGAATTTTACTGACAAAGGCATCTTCATGACAGACGGTAGATTCCAAAGTGTCTGGTTGCAAGAGTACTGGTATATGGGTGTAGTGGTGAGTGGGCGGCGGCAGTGCTTTACCCTGTGCGAAATATCACCTTACTCACTCCCACCTAGGCCACTATTCTCATGTCTTTTATGCTCGTTCAATCGATGACTATGTTGAGACGTATTGGCTATGAGACATTCCTCATAATCCATATTGTTTTCGCAATTGTGGTGGTGTATGCTTTGTTCCGGTACGTATCCGTCGCTTAACCGTGTGTCAGTTACTCGGTAGCGATTAGCATTAAACTAACCTCTAAACCCTTTAAAGTCATACCAGCTTTGACGGCACCAAGTGGAATGGCTATTTGTGGCCAATGGTGGCGATCTGGGGCTTTGACCGAACTGTCCGCCTGGTCCGTATAGCCTACTGCAATCTCAATGTCCGGTTTGGCAAACAATTCGTGTCTACCACGAAGTCGGTGGTACATTACTGCGAGGCTAGCGATCTTATCAAGGTCGAATTATACCCTGCATCAACGACACTTACCCCACGACCCGGGCAGCATTATTATATCTATCAACCTGTTTCTCTCAAGGGCTGGGAAAATCACCCATTTACTCTGGGCGCCTACGTATTAGCTCAAGAAAAGAACTCTGAACAAGGGAGTAAGTTAATCTTCTACATCCGTCCGTACGATGGATGGACGAGGCGCCTTCGCGACCTTTGCCGCAAAGCCCAGGGGGACATTCATCTCCCCCTATTACTCGAAGGCCCCTACGGATCTACAGCCGCTCTCCACACATGCGAGTCCATTCTGATGATTGTCGGTGGTACCGGTATCGCCGCCGCAGTGCCATACATCATTGAACACATCTCGCGTGCGAAAGAAGGCACGACCAGAACGGTACGGATCCAACTAATTTGGTCTGCTCGGAGCACAGAGATGTACTCCCAGGTTCTCTGCGACGAGTTAAGCACCCTCCTGCATCATGAAGACATCACCACGACCTACTTCTGCACCAACAAGTCGTCCTTCGGCCTCGAGATGAAGACTGAAAGTGGTGAACTGCCTGGAGAGAGCCCAGTGAGTTCCACCTTGGGTGACAAGGAAGGAAATGTGACTTCTTCTGTACGGAACGGAACCGTGCAATTTCTCTCTGGTCGTCCTGATGTGGGTGGTATTATCAAAGCAGAGGTGCAAGAAGCCAAAGTCAGTTCTGGCCGATTGGCCGTGCTCACCTGTGGCCCGGCTCAGATGGCGGATGACTGTCGACAAACGGTGTATGAGGTAATGAAAGACGGCTTCCAAGACATTGAGTACCATGAAGAAGCATTCGGGTGGTAATGCAGGATATCCGCCGAGTCCCGACGGATCGATCAAGGTGGGGCAAAAATTGATCGATAACTTGAAGGATTGATTGATTGATTGATTAGATAACAGGTTTAATCGCCGAAGGATCAGGCCATGCATTCAAAATCCCACCGAGTCAGTTAAAGGTTTCATATTGCTAGAATCTATTGATTATAAGAATCTTCTTCAGAACACATTACAACGCATCTCAAGCTCATTATCTCTCGAGCTTGATTACTTGTGCAGATCCAATCCTTCACACATATGTATACGCGTTACCAGCTTACAACCCCTGAATACATCTTGACAAACCACTGGATAGTAACTAGTTATACTTTCCCTAACCATGCGTATTATCACAAGTTAATATATGAATTAGTGTCTGTAAGCTGCTGGAGTTGATATCATGCCCCTCTAGGCAAAGCAGGGCGGTCAAACACGTGGTGTGGAAAAGGAGTCGGCAGACGTCCGAGAGTAACTTTTTTTGGTTTCTTTTTCTATTTTCCCCACAAGTCGGAATTTGGAGGAGTCAACCTTGGGAATTCGCTTCGTTCCTTCGTTTTTCTTCGATCTTTTCTCTTTCCTTGTGTGATTCCTCTGATACGACTCAATTGACAAAAGAACAATTCGAAACTCTTCAATGGGATTATTGTACTGTACCTCGTAAACTACTACTGTCTACCACACAAATGGTTTTCCCAGGAAGACGAAGTACTGGCTGCTATGTTTGTCGCGAACGGAAAGTCAAGGTGAGTTCAAGTTAAGCACTCAAGGTTCACTGGAGCCGGAAAGATATTAACGACCAAACCAGTGTGACGGGGCGCGGCCAGCATGCGCACGCTGCACCAAGTTTGGGAGAAACTGTATTGGCTATCCCGACTCGTTTAAGTTTCGATTCTACGATACTACGTCCTTTCAGAGTGAGGCCTCGACCCCACTAAGACCTGGACATGTCCGAGCGAACCGCGCTACTGTCCAGGAAGGGAAAGGGAGGGATCCATCGGATAGAACTGTGCAGCCAACAGGCCATGATCGCCCAAAAGTACCCTCAAAGTCGCAATCACCATCCGTACCCCAGTCTTTGTCTATTACTTCCTGGGAGCTCTGGCCGTTATCCTACTTTTTTCATCAACATGTCCTTATTGTTCATAGATCTCCCTGTGGCGGCCATCTAGCCTTCCTACCAGAGCTCTACCGTGAGAAGAGCTCTGAGCCCTGTCTCAAGCATGCTGTGCTTGGTGTTGCATATCTAGCCCTGTTCAATTCCAATCGTTCTCATTCTCTTTGGATCCAAGCCAGGAATAATTACAGCACCGCATTGATGACATTAGCAGCGGCTTTAAATACACCAGAGTCAGCCGCTAGAGATGAGGTATTTGCGGCCTCCTTGTTCCTGAGCATGTTCATAGTAAGTTCTTTCTACCCGAGGTCAGGGCCTCATTCAGAAGTAAATTAACCGTGGTTTTAGGATTTAAGCAATGAAAGGAAAAACTCGTTAAATGCCCACATTCCCGGCATCCACGCGTTGATGAAGTTACGGGGAGTCGCTTCTTTGCGTGGCAAATATGGTCGCGTGTTACTGGCGTGGGCATTTATGCAATCGGTGAGCGAAATATCAGAAATGTCAACTTCAGCATCACAAAGTTCTAACCTCGTATACTGTTAGCAAATACAAGCCATAGCCAGCAACGACTTCGGGTATGGCTGCTTACCAGCGCCTTTGAGTACGATGGAAAACCCTGATAGTGTCTGTCGTGCTGGAATTGTAATCAGCATGATTTCAAATTTCTGCGAATCTGTTAGATACCTTAAGGAGTATATGCAGGTTCAGGTTCGGGGCAGCTATGATTCAAGCGCAGAACCCTCGTACGAACTGTTAGAGAAAGCAGGCTCTATCATGAACCAGATCGACAGCTGGCACGCTCGGCTTCCACGTCACTGGAAAGCCAAGCTGAAGGATGCAACGCCGGGCAGTCTTCCTGGGGGACGTATCTCAGCTTCCGAGGATTCTTGGACAACGTGTTTCGCGGCCATCATTAGTGCGACGCATTTGTTCTTTTACCTGCAATTTCTCCAATACTGTGAATGTGTTACTCCTAACTTGGAAGCCCTGAAGGCCCTCCCAGACGAAAATTCAATCTACTACCCACTCTACGGAATCGGTAGTCGGATTCAGGATTCAATCAACATCATATGCTTGTCTGTGTCATATGCACTGGGCAGCATGAATGGACATGGCGAATTTGAGCCCTTCCACAATACCAAGCATGGAATTGGATACAACCTTCTCTGGCCTATGTCGCTTGTTGCAACCTGTCAGTTCTCCACGACAGATCAAGCTCGTCTTTGTCAGCAAGCACTGGACTACACCTGGTCGACAATGGGCCGGGTTGGCAGCTCTTCCTGAGCGAAAGCCTTCAAGGGAATGTGTCCAGCTATGTGGTGGAGGATGGCCATCAAACACCCGACTTCTTGACAAACTGCTCGATGGACATTAAGCTCGTCTTTGTCATATGATGGCACCTTACTCACAGACAATAAACTCTAGACCATGCTCGTTGCGGTGAGATTGCCTCGTCGATTAAGCGGGTCTATGGCAAGATTTGTTTCAAGGGGATTCATCTCCCTCGTCTACGTGTACGCGGCTGTTCGGCTCGCTTTGAAGCACTGATGCGCTCTCTTGGCCATGTTCTAGTGAGCCATGTATGCGATACCCAACAGGTTGCCGCCACCTTTTGAAGTCTGTAGTGGCATCCGCAGGAAAACATTCTTCAAAAGACCTTGGCGTCTCGTGGAATAACGTTATGGTTAGCCATGGAGCCCTCTCAGGATTGACGTAAGCAATGACGAATCTAACATTTGTTGGCCTCTGACAAAACAAAAGACAAGCAGACTACCGTCATGCATGAGCCATAAATCCAACTTTTAGCAGGTTTCTATGTCACCTTGTTGTACATAAGCTCTTGGGGGCTGCGGCTGCTCGGCTATAAGGTAGGGTGAGACTGGGTGTTGGGACGATGTGAAGAGACTCTTAGGATTCAAGATAACACTATCTTGAACTATAAGGGGAAATCCTTACGCAAAACTTAACTTTCTCAGCCACCCAATCTGATCTAACCTAAGTGGCGAAAGGGGTAAATGAAGCAGATTAAAGCGGAAGGCTCCACACACTAGAGGCAAACTGCATGTTCTTAGATTTGGTGGATTCCTCTCCAAGGCGCTAAGATCTACAGAGTATATTGGTTCTTCAGCAATGTTCTCGGCTTGCTAATGATCAGACATACAGCCAACACTATATAAGTTAGGCACTGTCCGTTGCAGGCACCAACTGTTCAACCACCCAATCATTCGTTCCTTACAGTCTCTCTCTCATTTTACCTAATCCTTCTACCTTCGCGATGTTGTCCCTACTTTTCTTTACCACAGCGCTTGCAGCCTCTGCGTTCAACACCTCTTCGGTGTGTGGCGCTGGTTCCTCGATCGGCACATACACTATCCGTGCGAACGACACCATTTACTCCATCGCCACCACCCTCAATCGTGGGGTCTGTCCGCTGGCAAGGTACAATCACTTATCTGACCCCGAGCTTCTTTATCCTGGCGAGGTGCTCTACATCCCCCCTGAGGCCTGCAATACCAACGCCAGCGACACCTCCTGTCTCCTGAGTCTCCAGGATTCGACCACCAACGATTGCATCTTTGGCGGTCCCCACACATACCGCACCTTTGCGGGTGATACCCTCCGCAAGATCGCTCTGGGCAAGTTCAACATCACCCTGGAGGCTTTGGAAAGCTCTGTCGGTCGCATGGCGGGTGTCTCATCACCTGACGAGACCATTGAGCCGAACACATTCATCAAACTCCCGCAATGTAATCCTAGCTCGTGTGGGATCAAGCCCCTAGAATATGTTTGGGGCACGTACAAGGATCTAGCGGAGGAATACGGAACCACGCCGGGGCAGATCTTTGCTTTGAATCCGACGTTTAATCATAGTTCTACGGGACCGGGGGTTGGGGGATGGATTACGTTGCCAGTCAATTGCGGACTAGAGGAGGAGACGTATACAGTTGTTTCTTAAGCATCATGTACTGTATTTTCGGCAGAGAAGTAGAGACTCAACCGTCTGATTGGCGAATAGTATAACCCATAATTTCCACCAAAAGAGATTACAAACTCCAACGCTATATTATACCCAAAGACAACCGAGAGTAGGAGGCTGGAACAGGCATGATATGCGCATGAGTCGTCGTCATGGCCGTCAGCTCTCAGGGGTTCCATGTCCACGAGGCAAAAGGATTTTCATCTCCTCGGCCGTGAAGTCGGCTCGGGGGAAATTACCCACAAGAGGGGGAGTTTGCGAAAGTCCCCACCTACACTTGCCCTTATTGCCGATGCTCCACTTGGACTCCACCGCGCAGTAGATCCATGAAACGACCTGCTAAATGTTGGGAATATAATTCTGCCTATGCTTTGAAGTCTCGAGGTAGTAATACCATATTGCTCTAATATGATCTTGTCTGTAGGGCTAATCATGTCGGCTTCCGGAGTAAAGACAAACTGGATCGCGGATGTATTAGAGTAGCTAACGAATATGAGAGATAACAAGAAAAAACCTATACTTTTATATAAAGACAAATTCTTATCTAAGCCATGTAGTCTCAAGAGGATGATGGTATTAAGCGGCATATCACGACAGTCAGTATTCATGACTTCGTGTGAGCCCATTCTCTTCGACAATATCAGATCATTTTCACCTATCAAAAACCGAAACCGTGTGTAAAATATGCGGTCAACTACTATTGTAATATTCCTATGATTCACATAGACAAATACAGGGGTCCATTACCCCCAGGTGGTAGATCAGTCCCATACAGGTCCCCAGTAATCATTCTCCCCTTGATATGCCTCATCATACTTCTGCGGTCGAGGATGATGATAATCCTCTCGTGATCCTTGCGGCCAGATGGGAATTGCACAGAACTCATCGTCATGGTACCCACGACACTCCTTCCACACCGTCCAGTCCAGATAACCCATCAAGTCCCGAATCGGAGAGACCATAGTCCGGAGGTCAGTCTCTTTTCTTACAGCTATCAATGTCGAGCATATCCGGTGATTAACAGTGTACAACGCTCTGTGAGCAAGAGATGAATTGTTAGTGGGAAGTGGAACAAACTGGGTAGAACAGAGCTTTATAGCCTGCTCGTCATCTTCGCTTCGGACATCGATGAACGGTGCCATGAGACGGTCAATCTGGGTAACAATAAACTCAGGAAGATCAGAGTCACCATAGTGATGTTTCCGTGGTAGTAGGCCATGGAGAAATCGACCGTATTTCTCAACAATCAGGTCTGCAACAGCCTGCCAGTTTACCGAGTGATCATTGGGATCGTGCGTCAGCACCAAATGCGTCAAATTATCACGGATAGGCTGTAGCACTTCGCTTGACAAATGTGTCAAACGCGGCAGCTTGCTATCCCCAGGGAAAAAGTCAAGATCGTAGCTATAAGCCGTAACAAAATGATCGTAGTTCACTCGAACCCGCTCACCCCCGATACCATGAAACCGAGATGTGACTGCTCTGAGAAGCTCACCGGGCTTGCCCTTCGGCTTCCCCGTTCCATCCTTGTTTGGCCCCTTCGTGAAACCAGGGTATCTGACCTGGGTCACCTGCACAGGTACCAGATTTACCTCAGGATTGCATAGAATGATCTCAAATCCAGCAGCCATCCGAATAACACCATCAATCCGTCCTTCCCATTCCGTCTGCGCAATACGACAGACAGCCTTCGCCCGCTGATCTTCCATCCCCACACCACCATGCAGGGTATCATTGAACAAAATACGATCCTGGGAGTCCAGAGTACCAATCTGCGATTTACCTGCAGAGGTACCATCGATATAAACAAGACGCAGTTCCTTCGCAGTTATGAACGTATGTAGGAAACCTGAATCATCCGCAGGCGGATCCTCAGGCGCCATTGCATGTTGTAAATGCTCGTCCTGAAACTTAGCCGGAGACGGTCGTTGAGACGGACGAGCAAAGACCATCGCATGGTCAGGTTCAAAGGCCATCCACCCGATCTCCTTGATAGGGTCTGATCGGGCGTTTCCGTGATAGAGCTGGATGCCCTCCGGGACAGTGGCCAGGAAGAATGACATGCCATTGTGATGAAGTGATGAGCCCCACAGGCGCATTGAGGCATGGATAGCGTTGAAGATATGGTTTGCATTGTGCATGGCAACACTGCCGGTCAGAAATAGTGCTAGAGTTTGAAGTATCGTGTTTACATGCATCAGGATGATGGATGTGCGTTAGTTGTATAGTGTGTTTTTGGTTGATGCTACTGGTTCTATGTTGGGGGTATTTAAGAGTGCAGCGATGGCCTACATAAGCTTGCATATAACGCTACTGCTAGATAGGAATAGATTAATGGCTACCCCTACGCCTTTTCTTTCCATTTTTTTTTTCTTCGCAAGACCGAACCGTGGAAAACCTTAACGCCGAGCTCGGGATCAGATTCGGATGTAGAAAAAAAAGTTACTAATCCATTTACAGTAATATAGACATACATCCATTCCATAACGAGCATATTTTTGCAGGTTCATTTGGCACCAACCATGTATCATGACGTATGGACTTTTCATGACTTCTGTCCTTTAGGACGGGATATCACTATTAATATAACGACTAGATTAGAATCTCGAACATGTACTTTGTCTGTTCTTAGATTAGCCCGTTCGCTATCGACAGGATTTATGGTTGTTCCTTGCTAAAGTATAGCAATGCTTGATGATATTGGAATGAAGGCTCTCATACCGTCTGATTACTTCGGCTAAAGTTCATCTCCAGAATACTTCCTGCGATCAACTTGGTCGGTGCTAAAAGTTCTTCACTTCTTGGGATCGTGCAAGGGGCAAGACCATCGTCTTGTTGCTATGGAGTATGTACATTAGCTTCCAGTATCTACATTCACTTAAAGTGCGTTATGTTTATGTTCGATGAAAATTCGAGTCTCCAAAGATACACTCGATAAGGATATTGTTCGCACATTCACGATGTATTCATTTCCAGGCTCATGTATAGAAGACATGGAATGTATTAAGCCCCTCTAAGTCAAGAGACTTCTGTACTTAACACTGGATACTATATTTAACCAACTGCCAAGCATCATCCATTGCCGTTTCTCTAGAAGCAATCGTCCGAATTGCCAAACACGCTTTAACTCCAGCTCTTCTTCTTAGTTGTGCGCATGCTTTCGTATGAATTCCTTCTTTGCTCTGGGAAGAACCTGCTTAGCCTTGGAGAATTCCTCATAGTTTACCAGATCATGCTAGTAAAAGAATTTCGATACCTATCATTTCCTGAGCCTCCTATATTAGCTTAATAGAAATATTATATATGTGAAACAGACAAGACAGCTTGATAAAATATGAACAGCTTCTTCAAATAGGCAAAAGAGACATGAGCGATGGGATTTGAAGTCCATTTGCTGAAAGTAATAAGAATATATAGCGGTAAGTAATCCCAGTGCCGAAAGTCAGTAGTAGTAACCCCAACCTAAGTTTAGGGCCTACACTCTGGCAACTAAAGATCAATTCTTTTTAAAAACGGTAAGGTCCTGTGAACTGCTGGGTTTATTATGTTATGAAGGCGGTACTCGTCGAGAATCCGATTATTAGAGCTGTTATAATTAGTAGATAATACAGTGGAACCTTGTAAATGGATTTATTTAGCTAATATACTGCGTATAGCGCGTTGGTGGTAGGAAACTTGGCAATGTTTTACATTTGTTACATTAGTATTTAGAAAGAAGCTTTCAGCAACTTATTATTTGCTTCATATTACATGTCACAGCTGTGCTACGGTAGATCCAGAATGTGTCGGTCCTGATACCCTTTGGCGAAGAATTCATTGTTGTCGAAGTTACCTAGATTCAACAATTGACAGTCCGGACATGGCACTGGGCATAGTCTTCTGGTACCCACAATGGCGTATTACATGCACATTACTTAAACAGCCCCTCCATCAGCCATGGGTCAAATAACAACTCCTTCGCCGTGGCCCGGTCATCTGGACTCCAGCACAACATCCTTCGCATGAATTGCAAAAACCTGCCCTGGTCATCTCCTTCAAGCTTCTCTTCTAGGGTTTCAAGGTTGTATGTTGGAACAGAAATATCTGACTTCCAGTCACCTGGCCTCGTTGTCAGTCAAATGGTATACCAACGCATGGTTCGGTCTTAGCAATAGAGGGAGGCGTACCATTTTCATCCCAGAATAAGGTGTGCTTCTCACCACGTTGAACAAAGTCCAAAGGAGTAGGTCCCAGGATAGCTTGCATTTCCGCAAGATGCTGTGCATCGTCCAGGCGACCCTGGGCATCTCGGGCTTGAAAAAGCTGCTGACCTTCGAATAGGTCCCAAGTCTAGGAATGTGAGTTGATTACCTGCCTCCTTGCAGCATTTACGAGTGAACCTACCAACACGCCCACGTTCCAAATGTCGACCTTGTAATTCCAAGGTATTTGCAGAATCACTTCAGGAGCCCTGTACACATCTGGCATGATGTCCTCGGCGTGGTTTTCTGTGCCTATTCTAGCCTCGCCGAAGTCACATAGTACGGGGGTTCCGTAAGACATAGCGAGATGTCGTGAAAGATAGATGGTACGCTGTGCTTCGACCTTACGAGGGATGGGCGATTCAAACTCGGCTTCTTCGAACTGGGATAGGATCTTGTCGTCCTTGATCCCAAGCATTATATTATTGGGTTGCAGGTCTAGGTAGGAGTCAGCTTTATGGTGCTAGACTAAGTGGCTGTAGTAAAGGGTAGTCTTCACCTGTATGAATAACCTGGGCCTCCGAATGAAGGAAGTCCAATGCAGCGAGGATATTCCGGAGTGTAGTTTTTAGTAACACGTTATTCAGAGCACGATCAGGGAATAGTTTGCGAAGCTGATGGAGGTTCATCCCCAGCGGTTGATGTACCAAGCACATATGAGTACCATCAGGACCATTGACTTCAAAGTGATCAAAAAGCTTTCGGATGCAGGACTGGCCAGCATGATCTGAGTGAAGAGCGTTTAAATGGTCATAGACTTTAATCTCTTCGATGACCGGTGAAGTTGTCGTGAAGATCTTTAAAACTTTGTAGCGTTGTTCCCTTGAGATAATTAGAATGCATCCTTCGTTCAGGATAGAGCACGGCGTACCGGAAGTCACGCCCCAACCATACAGTAGAGCTTGTTCCATAGCCTAGCTTGCCTACGATCTGATACCGATTATTGAGCACCTCTCCAAGTCTCACTGGATAAAACAACTTTGGGTCATAGTTAGGAAGAGACTGCTCCTCTACAGTCTCAGATCTATCAATGATATCAAACCCTTGGGTGGGAAAGTTGCGCGGAGTAGAAAGAGAGCTATTAGCCATGCTGTGCCTTGGGAAGGTCAGAGAAGACTTCAAGAAGCAGGTTTTGTAACCAACGGAAAGACTAGGGTATAAGAAAGTACAACGTGATGTAGGAAAATGTGGGCGCGTAAGAAGGAGCAAACATCTGCCCAAACCTGCCATCACGCCGTGCCCTTGTGTGGTACTTGAAACAAGGGAATGGGTTGGAAGGGGATAAATGTCACGGTAAACTTATGCGCTCGGGTACCTAAGGCTCGGGCGAATTGTCGGTCCACTCAGGTGCGGCTTGGACTGCTGATGTCTTTGATTGTACGGCGGACTAAATCGAGCTTCTGGACAATGTAAAATATTATCAACTTTACTAATATTAATGTACTATATATTAGCCAATTAGATCTATTTATTAGATTCTACTGTATAATCTATCAATAATAGTAGACTTTTTATTTGGGTTATTGACATTGACTAGTCCAGACCTGAAAATATATTCTCCTTTTATATTTTAATTCTATATTATTTTACTGCTTTTAAAAATTTCTTATTTCTAGATACTAGGGCCCCTACGTTTAGATACCACTGTCCCTAAGCTTAGATACTATCTCAAGTTTAGATATCACTCCCCTAAATATAGGGCCTAGTCTAGATTTACTACTATAATCTATTATCACTACTATTAATTTAATACAAAGTAGCAACAGTATCTCAGATTAAACTATTGTCTTAAATTTTCAGTAATAAATATACTATACAATAGTATATTTCAGGGCTTTTCTAAATCTAAATTTTAAAGTAGATGGCAGCCATGGCTGAATGATTTCGGTAAAATTGATCAAAAATCCATATAATTGTCCGCAAGCTCGATTTACTCCACCGTAGTTTTTGCAATAATACCTTGATTTATTGTTAACGTATGGTGTAACTGGTTCTCTTCAGTCTATACATGCAGTGATCTTGCACCACAATAGATATCCGTTATGTACTTATTTTTCCTTGGTGCGAACGTAAGGACCAAGCATCCGCTCGATGGGAGATGGTATCCGCCTCAAACCAGATTAGCAATGCATGAATAACCCACAGGCTTTCAACCGCGGGTTGGGGAAAGAATTGTCTTCAGATTTGGGCACTAATAACGGTTTGCTTTTGTGATACTTTAAAAATAGCATGTAATCATTGCTCGGAATAAGGGGAAACCATAAATGGCTCAATGATGGTACTACGTACTCGACTCTCATAGGATCAGAAATACGAGCCAAGCGCGGGATGAAGACACTGCGCCTCACTTGATCGGCATCGAGATGCTGCTATATCAGTTTATCCACCCTCCCATTCCATTAATCTCACAATTCCGAATGATTCAATCGCCCTCCAAAGAATGCCTGTCACTCTGACCACTGCGGGCCATGAAGCCCAAGGCTGGAAGAGCCCTAGGGTATCTAACTCGGAACAACTGTTCCAACAGTCGCGGCCCAGAGACTTCAATCGTAGCAAAAGGCTCATACAAAGCTCCTTCACACAAAATGTCTTCGACGATACCCATATCTCTGGATCCGAGCACGGCTTCGTATGGGCTGTCTATAGCGCATACAGCCATCACCACCATTTAACTCTACGACCTGACGATGTTTGGTTTTCGATCCTCTCACAGTTGAGATATTACATCCCCGCACATGCCGAAGAGCTACGATCCTTTTTCGTTTCCCACGAGGGGAAAAAGAAGCTCGAATTAGTCGCCGATGGGGACATCAAAACCGTCGATTTCGGAGCCCTCGCGCTATCTATGACCCAACTGGTCCAGGAAAACGTTAACGACCCCGACCTACGCACCTGGATTATGCCCAACTTTAGTACTACCACACAGACGGACCGCGTCGTGGCATCTGTATTGATGATGGGGGCCTTGCAGAAATACTTCGACTACGAGATAGCACTAGACTGCGGCATCCCAACCGTGACATTGCTCGGTGAGCGCGATGATTGGGAACAAATGTTGTGTAAACTGGATCCCATTTGCCGACTTGGAGAAGAACCTACGTGCTTTGTCTCCCTGCTGCGCCCGGTTCTCCGGCGATTTGTGGCTTCCTTTGACAACCCGACTTCGCCCGATATCATCGACTTCTGGAACAAATGCGCCCATAAATCTGGCGGAAGCGGAACCCATTATCTCTCGGGCTGGCTGACGGCGTTCTGCTTCTGGGACGATGAGGGTCGTTCGTTGTTCGGGCATGGTCCCCGGAAGGAGGTCTCGCTGGGTGAGTGGGATGGCGAATGCGCGGGATGTGAGCTCGACGGCATTTACTATCACCGGATGGACTCTTGGCAAATCCCAGCGGGGGTTGGGTCAGTCCCTGTCAATGTACGCGATTACGATAGCACTGAGCACAGTATGGTGATGTTGGCTGGTTTGCCTGGAATCCAAGCAGTGTCCTCTGGCCTTGATGGTTCGGGTCCTCTTGATTCAATCCGACCACTGTCCGGATGGTGGATTTATGAGAAGGAGGGCCTTGCGGAGGAGGAGAGACGGGAAGAAGAGGCGAAGGTGATTAATGAGGAATTGAAGGTTATGAGAGAGATGGATAATGACAAGTGCGATATGAAGCGCATGATCACATTGTTGAATAGGAGGGAAGAACTTCTGACTATGTAACGCCACAGCGGAGCAGTCAACGTCCTGTTCTCCGCTCCAGTAGCCTATATACCAATAGTTTCAAGCTCCGGAGTTGTTTTGGTTTCTGTATGCTCTCTGTATCCGGAAGTAGGATCTGAAGCCGCGGAGGCGTCTTGCGTGTGATGGATCAGATCTCCGAGTGGCGTGAGCGAAGCAAGTGTACTCCGCATGCCCAGAGACTCATGGGCTATAAAGCTACCAATAAGCCAGAAAAGATGTAAAGTATCACGACGGGGCTCCAGAACCGCAGATCAATGGCCTTCACCATGCTCTTCAATACTTCTTTATAGCTTGGCACGAAACACACAATTTTCTGTCAGCCAACAGTCCGAGGCCTGCCATAAGCTGCAGTGGCGAAATGACCTCTGAATACAGATGTGGACACATAGTTCAGCTGATTATCCAAGTATGTTGATTTTTATATTGTGGCCCCGAAGAAACGATGAGTAGACTGGCTGTTAAACGTGTATCCAGTGTGGAGCTCACACGGTCTGTGTCTGTTAGTAGTGAACAACGGTTATCAGCGGCTCAACAGTAACAACATTCGCCATCGTTTATCAATCCGAATATGGGAATTGATAGGAAATCTGCTTTATCATGAGATAGCCAAGTAAACCATGGACACCTGACCGCAATTCACGGGGTCTCCGGGGAGTCCGTGTCTCCGTCCCCACCAATGCAACCTTGTCCAATCAAGCCGGTAAACTTCACAAGAAGCCCAGGTCTATACCAAAATCGTGGTTGTCGTAGGGGCTTGGTCAGTTGTAGGAAGCTTCCCTATCTTCCCCAAGGCGAATTTGTAATGGCCGATCATGCTCTTTGGTCATGGAAGTGGATCTTATGTGGTCCACTTCACGAAGATAAGAGCCAGAGTATCAACCATGGCTTGTTTCTGGGGAAATGCGAGGTTGCCTCCCATATGTCATAAACCGCAAGGCCTATGGTACTTAGGGGTACCTTCTGCCCGGTGGGTATGGGGTAGAAGTTCCTCAGTCAGTCCGGGTCACAATTCTTCCATGCTTCCCGATTTGGCACCTTTCACCTTCTTTCCATATTGTCAGAACTACAAAACACTCTCGTAGAGGTATACGGGGGTATCCACATTGTACCACCAAGGCACGAACTCACGAAGAGCCGGAATGACTTGATGTGGATGCAGAAGCAGGGGGTGAGAGTCAGAATCTTCCAGACGACCTGAAGAAATCACACAAGCCAGAGGCAGATACAGATCCTTTTTGGCGACGAGGAGATGGGAGGGGTCCAATACCGAAAAATGAGCTGGCTGTGAGTTTCCCCTTCCGCCATCAAGCAGAGGTTTGCGCCATGTACGAAGTCTGCCTCGAGGCAATCGTGAAACTAGACAATGCGGAATATGTGACTAAGCTTGTCATACCTCCCTCTCGACAACATTATTAATCAGTTTCGACCAGTGATGAATGCTGAGAATATCTCCCTTGGGATTCTGTCATTTCTATCAGCCGTTGCAACACTAGGAATGGTACCATATGTATTTAACCCTAATACAAGCCACAACATCTAACCTAAAATCATCAGTGCCGCTGTTATCTTAGTACTCTTGTCTGTACTGTCCTGGTACACCGGGCCTTTAGTCGGACAATTCAAGCTACGCTATCCTCAAGTGCACAGCATGGCTGATGCTTGAGGGGTTATCTGGGGACCGGTTGGTCGAGAAATTGTGGGAATAGGTCAACTGCTTTTGTTGGTCTTTTTCATGTCAAGCCACATTCTTGCATTCAACATCCTGTTGAACGTGCTCACAGGGCATGCGACCTGCAGCATTGTATTTGGTGTTGTTGGATTGATCATAAACTTTTGATGACCTTGCCGAGAACAATGGAGAAGGTCTTCTGGTTTGCAATAGCATGTACGTATTACCTTCAACTCCTTTGAAGCACCTACGTCTGCTGACATGTCAACAGCATTTATTAGCATTTTCGTTGTGACGGTGGTCTTGATGGTTTCTGTCGGTGTGGAAGCTAAAGGCCCGATACAAAATGATGTCGCCAGATAGGATAGCTTTTACAAAACATTCCTGGCGGTAACGAACATCATCTTTGCCTACAGTAAGTCCACACATCCTGTTGATCAATTTTGACTGGCAACGCCAATCCAATCGTCCAGTCGATTTGTGTAAATTTCATATAAATGGACTTAGTGTCACAGGATTGATAGATTGACTACAGACATAGATATAAGACCGATCAGTGGACCTCAGTGTTTATCATTCCAACGACCAGGCAGGAGTGAATAAGGTAGTAAGAATGGAGGTTCTATCGACAGGAGAGCATGTCAGAAGATGGCCCTACCAGCCAATATCCTCTACGCGACATTCCTCGGCGACAATTGTACCCAGCAACGTCTTCGGATCCCCCTCGGTAGCGGCACGAATGATATTCATAGCGCCCTGACTTGCATCCTTGACACCATAACCGCCCGTGAAATTCGTCCGACAATAACCCGGGGACGTGGAGACGACCAGAATATTCTCTTTCTCGAGTGTCACACCCTCGACTGCCGTCAGCATGTTCAGAGCCGCCTTACTACTGCGATACTCAGGAAGACGCGCATGACGTGCACCGTACTCAGATGTCGGAGAGTAAGCGACACCCATCTGAGCCATGCCAGTGGTCACATTGACAATACGGCGGTCATGGTACTTGGAAGCCCTCAGGAGGGGCAGAAAGGTATCAATGATAACAGCGACGCCAAAGACATTAGTCTCGAAGACGGCGCGGAAGCTGTCGCGCAGGCTGAGGCTGGGATCTGTGGCGTTACAGATGGCTGCATTGTTGATTAAGATGTCAAGGCTGCCGAACTGATCCGAGACCGACTTTGCCGCTGCCATAATGGAAGCATCATCATTAGCATCGATGACTAAAGGGGTCAATGCCGAACTGTCTATCGTGGAATCGGATGCCAGTTGTTGGATCGCTGATTCTGCTTTTGATTTGGTTCGCGCTCCAACCAGGATGTGGTATTTGCCTGTCTTGACTAGTTGCTCTGCCGTGGAATAGCCAAGGCCTTGATTGGCTCCTGTGATGAGGACTAATGTCTTAAACATTATGTTGGGTGTGTTCACTACTCTAGCACCGGTAGATGCGTGTTCAAAAGTATGTTGTCCTGTAATGACTACTTATATAGGCTTCTTCTACCTGACCTGAGTTGTTAAATGTACAAGGAATGCCTTTGCTATGGATTATAAATCAAGAATACTGGCAGGTGTAACTTTCCCCCATACCTCCGGACTTAACGGAGAACCTGTTGCCAAATTCCGCTTTATATCCTTGTTAGGTCTCTTACAATGAAGAGTAGCCCCCAACCACAGGTTTCCTCTGGATTAAGGTGAAGATCATTGGCCCAACCTAGAATTGTGTATTGGCCTACATCGGACTTAAGAGTCACGATTTTCCACCGCCGCTATCTATTACATATGGGAATAGTGTAGTCTCTACTCTAGCTTTGAAGGAGTGAAAGCTCATCATTCTCTTAAGACGGACATGACGTCAATTGCGGCTGATACTCCTGGGTGAACTAGGGCAAAGCTAATCACGAGTGCTTCAGTCTTATAGTTTCCATGCTGGGTGGATCTACAGCATAAACCTTTTCGTGTGCTTTGTATTCTCAAAGCACATTCCTAAGAGGAATATGACGTTGTTTCATGAGCTATAACTAATGCGTAGCTAGCTGGATCATTGTGCAGACTTGTTCCTGCAAAAGGCCTCCATCTATAAGATACGGAAAAGGCATACAGCAGTCATTATGTGGTGGAGCCCAACGATTCGGGCATGGGCGGCTTTTCACCGTCTACCCGGGACTCACGAGTCACTTTCTTGGATACGTCTCCCGACCTGATAGAAGAGGAATCTAACATTTCCCAATAACATCACTAGCTAAGGTCTATTGAAGGATGAGTTGCTTTGTGGAACGCCAGGATGCAACAGCACAAATGATCAGTCAGTACACGCCAGTCAGACTCCCTCCCCTCAAGCCTGACTTTCTAATCTCTAATGTCTTATATCAGAAGCATGGGAAACTGAAACACTCCCTAGACTGGGGTAGAGCCCAAGGGGACTATGATTGCTAGGCTGCGGGCAAGCAGACTTAATACTCCCGCGCCCAGCATGGGAGGATTGCTCGCTTGCTTGGTGGCCAGCTGCCCTCAAAGACGTTTTCGGTGCGACCCATTCCTCAGCCATGGCGATCTCTTTGGATCTAAGTGCACTTGGCGTACTGGCATGATAAAATCTTCAAACAAACGCTTGCGGTGAACACAACCTCTCCATCAGCATCTCAGGAATTGATAATCGGCGAATGCGGCTTTGATAGTATCGATAATTACAACTTCGGCGACGCCAATGATAACGGCAGTTCGCATAAGAATGCTGCAAAGTCGATATAAGGTGTCGGTGAGTGGCGTGAATATAGGGCGGACAACGCAGGTGATGATAATAGGTCCGAGTCGAGTTTTGCCATCGGGAGCAATAGTGAGGGACAAAATTCTGACTTGACGATGCAGACTTAGTGATGACAGCGATGAAGGGCGGCAGGACTTTGATAAATCCACATAGAGATCCAGTTCAACACGCTCCACCTTTCTTTGCAAGGCACTGGTTGCTCTTTTTCTTGCTTTTATTTTCTGTTTTTGTTTTTAACCGGAAAATGCGGACACAGTTATCATATGCGGAGATTTCTTCGGCATGCGCCTTCCTCGCATCACTTAGCTTATGCTCGAATATATTTCTTAATAAAGACAAATTCTCATGAGTCATTGAAATGTGGTCTATCGCTGATATTCTGGATGAAGTGTATCTGACTTGACAAGTGAAAGGTAGAGCCTTACTCGAAACTACTTCTCCGTAGATTCAACACCGTTCGTTTGGGCCTGCTGCACCTTGGCACCCGGGAAGCGAGTGCCCCTGTCCTTGACCTTCTTCTGTTTCTTTTCCACAACCGGAGGCGGGTAGGCCTTCAAAGTGATCTCCTGCCATTCTGGGGAGGCTTGGTAGGCCGCTTGTATAGGTGCCATAAGGTCGATAAGACCCTGTGCTACAGCAGGCTTCAGGAGTTGTGGCGTTAACTATAGGGTGATTAGGTTAGTTTCCTGAGGCACAGAATGACACGGAAAGACCAAACATACGACATCGTTCATGTAATCTTCCTCAAGTTGCTTGATATCGGTGTAGACCAATGGCTCCTGATCTCTTCGCTCGACTCGAAATTCCTTCTTGCCCTTGAGACCGGCAGCGGGCAGGAGAACATATTCCACTAGTGCGATGACTCCGTTATCTTCGACGACCTTAGGGGTTGCTTCCGCTTTGCGAATCTTCTTCGAGATGCTCTCGGGTGGGTCTAGCAGATCAATCTTGCTGTCTGTTTCAAAGATCAGTATCAATCGCGACCTTTGGCGGAAAGAAGTGGGCTAAAATAAGAATTACCTTCAACGCTAGAACTCATCTTGGCGCCCTTCAACCCGCTGATCATAGGGTTGATGAGATGTGCGCGCTAGATGGGAATTGGTTAGCCTTCAAGAGATTTCCATCGCAATTAACGGGAGTTATACCTTGCGATATCCGATTTTAGGCAGCCATTCCGTGGCAGCGGTGAAGAGCTTCCTCTGGTCCATACCTCCGAGCTGGCAATCAACCTTCAGATGCTCCTCGTCTAGCACCTGAAGCACCGGGTAGAGAAGACCACTCAGAGGAGCATTCTCGGTCTGTTTGACAACCTCTGCGCCAGCCTTCTTCGCATCTGACTCGGAGATCAAACTTGACAAGCGATAGACGTCCATGACATATTCGGGGCTTTTTTGGTAGGAGCTGCCAAGAACAAACTCGAGCTTATCAGTGGGCACACCTACAGACTCGAGAATTGCCGTGATAACCTTGCTATAGTACTTGGCACGGTTCTCCACAAGCTCAAGCGGCGCCTTCAAGTTGTCAAGGAAGGCATGGACGTCGGCGAGCAGGACAACAACGTCGCATTGTGCACGGAGTAATTGAGCGATTTTGAGCGCAGCGAGGAAGTATCCAACGTGAGGTCTTCCCGTGGTAGCCGTACCTAATATGAAACGCAGGTTAGCTAGCGCATAACTGTGCATCTCGAGTGACTCTTACCCCAATAGATTCTAGGGTTTCGCTTTTCGATCAAGATGCTTTCAATCAACTCAGGGTTCAAGACCTCCGCGAGATTCTCGCGAATGAGATCAAACCGTGCCTGTGCTTCCGAGTCCATCGCGACGAGTCAGAGCGAGAAAATGAGACTTGTGGAGAGATGCGCAGGGAAAGGGAAAGGCGGCGTTGGTGGGCTGGTGGGATGGTTTTCTTAGGCGGGGGGGAAACTGTCGGATCAACATTTGTTCCGTTTGCCTCTTGAAGTTTTTTGAGTCAGAGGACAGGCGGTCAGGGGCGGCAGATAACCATCTTCATTTAAAGCGGCGTCTTATCATAGAGAGGACATCCATACATCATCAGGCAAGCCTGCTGAACTCAAGGTCTCACCTCATGCGACATATCCATATTCATAGCTGCCCTTGGTCGTAAAGCTTACAAGCGCCGCTATTGGATTTCAACAAGAGATTAACCAGTACAAGGCACTTGTTGTAGGCAAAATTCAATAGTACTATCGCTCCGGAACGCCAATCCATGAGAGATGTGGGCAAGACTACGACTCAATACACACAGGGTATCATTTAAAACAGTCTGTCAAAGGATCGACAACATAACTAATAGCCCCGTTCATCCATTAAAGCGAAACATTCCTAAACCAAGTCCATCACGGTGACCGCGGCCACACCAAATCCCTTGGGCTATTATTATTCACAGGACTCCCGAGGTCCCGATATGGTGCAATGGGTGACGCCTCAGCGGTGGTACTCCGATCCCCAATATGGAACTTCTTTGACGCGAGGATATCCGTTCTACGCAATATAAGGTTTTTGCACGGTACCAGACAAGACAAGTAAACTTACACCATAACCAGCGGGAACAAGCATTCCATCGTATACGCAAACCGATCAAACTGGCCCGCCACTGTCGTGGCTGTTTGCGATGTTGCCTGCAACGAATACGTGACTGCACGGGTGATCCCGATGATGCAGAGGCTAGCGACGCGCATCTCGGTTGTGCGGAGCATATACCGGAAGACCAGTCTCGTGGAGGAAACTTTAGGAGAGGCACGGTATGCCTTGTGGAGAAGGCGAATCAGAAAGAAAGAACTGCATGTTTCGACCAATGCGATAGTCGTGAAGTAGCCGACATGCAGATAATCGATTCGGTGTTGTAATGGGCCGGCAGAATGGGAGGACACGCCTTCTTCAGTGATTTCGAGGACTCTGCTGGCGAGTATAGCCATTCGGATGGAGCCAATGGCAACCATGAAAAACCAGAAAAGGGAAAGGAAGAGTACCCGGGTCGAGTCCCGGAGAGTGTGTAGTAGTATTTGGTAGCTGTAGAAGGAAAGGCCTGCTTCTTGCACCTATTATCTAGTTAGCAAGGCATCCGGTCACCAAAGTTGACCGAGTGATGGACTCACCAGCCAGAGGATATCGGCAATGGCACTGGCGGCTGCTCGGTCTCCAGTAGGAGATGATGTGTAGAAGGAAAAGTAGCAGAGTCCGTTGGCCACGGCACCAGCTGCGGAGACGATGGTGGGGATAAAGCTCAAGGGGGTGGGCCGTGTGATGACCATGGTCCAGATACTCAGTAGTGTTGTGAACAGTCCAATGCTGCTTAGAATCGACCAGCTTAACTCATAGTAGCTGGCGATTTCCGGAGAGCCACCGGCTGATGTGTGGGTATCCATTGCTTCCACGCTTGTACTATGTCAACCGAATTTTCCTTTTAACGGCAAAGACTGCAAGAACCCTCCCTCCTCCTCAGCATTCCTATGAAGCAGAATCACGAGTCTAATCAATTTTGTCCCGAGACATAGAGATAAGCAGCAACGGGGGGGTTCAGGTAATTATATAAATCGTGTCTCTTCAAAAGAAATACCGCCAAAGTTGACCTGGGTTGGACACGAACGGCGTGCAGTTCATTCCCCGCACTATCCACATTTCATGAATAGGGCGTCCGCGATAATCTGGGGAAAAACTGGGGTCGATCCACGCAGTACGGATGAAATGCCGCGTCCAAATATTAGCCTTAGGCCCTTAGCGACGGATAATTTAATCCCCAACGCATAGCGGCTTTGACGGGTATTAAGTATTTCTTCCGTCAATCTCGCACGTTTCTCGTCCATTAGCCCGGCTGATTGAACTGGTGAGCTGTGCGTTCGTGTTCCTGCTGACGAATACACTAACCTGGCTTAGAATGATTGAAGTTAGGATGCTTGCTAGTCCGAACGTTGACTCGAACTAGGGCTCGGTGGATATACCCGTCGTGGCTTGTAAGCCCGACCCCATAAAATATAGCCGAGCAGACGGCGGACTCAATCGAGGTTCCGAACATCAACGCAACTGTATTTCAGCCAATTAAATCTATGTAAAATATTTCATTATATTACCTACCAATCATAATAGCTGAAATAATCGGCTAGTCCATCTTCGAGGATATTTACCGCTTTTATGCTTTCCATGAATCCTGCAGGTACTTTTATGGCTTCCTAAAGCTTTCATCTTTAGGTGCTGTGATCCCCTATAAATATTGCTATTATTACTAGTACTATATTAAGATCCGTATTTAGCTATAAGTTCTATCTATACTTAAGTAAAGAAAGAATCAATACAGTAGAGAATAGACTGGATGGTATATGTTGTGTTCTATAGAACGCTACTAAATAAGTGCGTGGCTTAATGTAAACCGCTGAGGTTTCGGTAAAAAAAAAAATATTAAAGAAAAGGCCATTGTCCGGAATATCGGTTTAGTCCGCCGTATGAGCGTAAACTAGGCTAATAACATACGCCAAGGTTCAAGGTAAATACGAGACATGCAAAAGGAAAGGATTAACATTCAGATATACTTTATCCCATTTTGCTCCCGCACTCAATTAGCAGCCAGAACACCCACCGACCAAGCCGGCAGCGTGAAAGTAAATTTGCCATCAGTCGCCTTCACATCCGACTCACTTGGCGTCACCAGAGTTTGAGTATCAGAGTTGAACGCCTTCGGATCACTGTCTGCAAGAACCGTCAATTTTCCGCCCGTCTTTCCGGAGATGGACACGGTGATCTCCTGGGAATCAGCTCCATAGTTGGCCAACTTGACGTAATACTTGTCCCCAGCACTGGAGGCAACCCAGTAAACGGGTCCGAAGGCAGAATCAGACGTTACATCATGGATTGTGTCTCCCCGGTTCACAGAGAACATCTGCTGCACGTAGTAGCTGGTAGTTTCGATGACCGTGCTGGGGTTCTGTGTGAAAGCAATGAGATTCGGCTATACTCAAGTCAGCTCTCCGTTTTACCCTTTTATTCTGTGGGGGCGATTCACATACCGTCCATTGGGTAGAGTTCACCAATTGCAAAAGGGGGGCATACGCCGCCATCTTAACGACATCGCTGTTCCTCTCAATGCCGATCATGTACACGGCCTCAGCAACGGATCCTTGCAGGAAAGGCCAGTCGTTGTCCTGCTGGCACGAATACTCCCCGATGAAGTACGGGACGGATCGATCCTTGTTATCGAATTGGCTGAACAGCCCCACGAGATTATCAGAAGTGTTGTAGTTATGGTAGTCCACCCAAGCGCCTTCTGGCAGCTTGCTGGGCAGGCAAGATGATTGGTCGGTACTAGCGATGATGGTGAGATCCGGGTAGGCAGCGTGGATCGCGTCGTAAAAGGCAGTGAAGCGCTCTACGTAGGATTCACAGCCGCCGCCCAGCATATCCTCGTTACCGATCTCAACCATGGTAAGTTTCCAGGGTTCTTTGCGCCCGTACGATGCACGGAGGGAGCCAAATTTCGTGCTTGAGTCGCCAAGGATGTACTATGATCCTGTCAGTGCCTATCCCTAGAAGCAATGGGGCAGGGAACATACCTCAAGCTCATTCAGCACATCATCGATGTAAGGCTTCAGGGCGTCGCCAGTGATAGGTGTGTTACCACCGGACTCAAGAGCAAAGCCCGCCCAGACACCCAGGACCGGGGTAAGTTCCATATCCTCGCACCAGTAAAAATACTCATCAAGGCCTAACCGGTCGGTCAGGTTTCGTTACATTAACATGTTTGAGATGCACTTACCCAGTCCGTCTGTGTTGTAGTATGACCAATCGCCTTGGCGTCCGGGGCGGTTTTCCACGGGGCCGATCGTTTCATTCCACTTCCACCTCCGAGCTTCACTTGCACCCTCACTGCATCCGTTAATTCGTGTCCTTCCAGAGCACCTGGGGCCAGGAAGGCGAAGACTCACAGATTGTTACCTCCAGGGAATCGCAAAAAAGATCCCTTCATGTCTGCCAAAGGCTGAGCCACCTGAGGCTTGAGCCCGTTAGACCTACAAACGATATCAGTACCATTCATCACGCCACAGAACGCAAGACACAAACCTTGACTTGTAAGTCTCAGGGAAAAGCTCCAAGAGCCCGAAGTTCAAGGAGGAACCACCAACCGACGCTCCGTCAATCGTGAGCTCATAGAGAACAGCGCCATCAGGAGCCTTCTTGGTAGGGATCTTTGCTGTGACCTGGGTAAAGTTGCCCGAGTTCGAAGACGGCGAGATCTTCGTCGAACCATACTCGGTCCCAGTGTTGTTGCCCACCAGTCGAACCGTAATCTCGCCGGAGAAGTCACCCTTGATCCAAAAGGTGTTCAAGAATTCGCTTCCATCTACTGGAACACCCCAGTAACCTTCGTTGGTGAATCCTACAGCACCAGATGCACCCTGTTTGACGTCGAGTTTCAGACTATGCGGGATCGCTTCGGTCAGGGGGTTCTGCGCGTCAACGGCGATAGTGGCATCGCCGACTGCAGCCCACGCAGTCAGGTCAGGTTCGCTTCCCTGCAAACCATTATTGCGCAGCAGCTGACCATAAATACCCCCGTCCCCGGAATGGTTAATGTCCTGGTTGGTTTGATTAGCCATGAAGCTCCTTGCCCGGTGTGCCAGGGTCGCATACTTCGAACATGAAGCCATACAAGATGGGGCTCGACGAGTTTCCTTTCTCTGTGGAAACTTCTAGAGAAACACCATACGCATGCTGGACTAAGGAAAACAGAAAGGGCAGGGCACTGAGCCCCGACAGAGTCGAGAACGCCACCATAGTGAAATTTGTGATGTGGTGCTTGAGACTGGGAACATCATTCGGCGGCCATGCTCCATGACTTTATATGCTCTCCTGGAGACAATTAACCGTTCTGGGGCCTCGAAAATGGAGAATGACGCAGAAAGCCGTATGGGAGTGATGGAGGCATTCAACCGAGAGTGGAGAGAATATGGGGAATGCGGAATGCCCGATCATAACTGTGGTGTGCGATACCCACACAAAAACATGCTGTGCGACTTTTTACGATGACAGCCAAGGCTATCACGCTCTGAAGTCTCAGTCACAATACCTGGTTTTAGTAACCTTTTGGCCAATCTAGTTTCTCAGCCTAGCCCACCGCCATATCCGGGGTGTATCCGAGGTATATCAGTAGTTCGTGGATGGACTATAGTGGATCATACGACATGTCGATCTTTGTCCATTTCCAGTGAGACAGCGAGTTATTTCAGGTACCGAACGATTAATTCCAAAGCCAGGTACCAGTGTAAAACCTCGGAGAAATCTAACTTCTACCATCTGTGGTACAGGAAAGCTCACACCCACCGCCACCCCAAATTCTTAGAACAAAACAAGCTTTATGGCTGCCATTATACCACTGCCCAGCGATTTCTTGTCTCAAGAAGGCGTCGGGGTGGGCCGAGCAAGGTACTCCCAGGGCTACCAGAATAATGAATCAGTCAGGCATCATGTCAACCTCCGCAGTACTCCACTATCGCGACCACAGACCGAAGGAAGCAAAGCGCTGTGGGCAATATCGCGCCGGTGCCTCTTCGCACCTACTCCGGAGTACAGGATCTTGGCACAACCCACAGGCGATTGGCTCGGTCCCAGCTTAAGGCGGAGAACAATATAATTTAGTTCCTGAGTCCATGCACGATGATGTCGGTTGTGCATTCCCCCTCTTTATTCGCCTCCGCATGGGTTCTGCAGAGCGACGCTCAGGGCAAAACCCCGGCGGGGACGGAGTGCCCTGTCGATCATCTGCCGAAACTACGAGTCGCGTGTCTTGAAAGTCTCACTCGGCTATTGAAAAGCATATGTTGGCTGACGTTATGTACAAAATGAATGTACGCTGAATCAGCCAATCTATATTTCTCGCGGCTATTCGCGAGCCGAGTCAGGGGTGAAGGAGGGGAGCGACAGACATCAAAGCCGTTGTGCAGGCCCTGCAACAGGCTGCATGCATGCTAATCGTATCTTCTGAAACGAGCATCGCGCATCCTTTTGTTGGGGCAGTCTAACAAGGCTTTCAGATCGATCGTAGTAGATTGATACATATCGTAGCTCGAGGGTAACTGTAACATATCACACGTGATGCCAATTCTAACAGAATGAGAATAGTATAGGAAAAATATATAGTTCCAGCGTGTTACACAGCAACACTGGCAGTCATAATTATTGCTAGATTCTACAACGACATACCAAGAGCACAAATAGCTGTGATACAAGATATGGAATTAGTAATATAATAGTTTGTAATGAATACAGATAGGTGTTGGACCGTTGTCTAGGAGGGGAGGGGGTAGAAGAACTGTGAACTGAGTTGTGATCGGATTTCTAATTTTGTAAATTTTGTGATATAAATATAGATAAGAGACTATTTTCTCAACAATTCCTCGATGGTCTAACGGTCATGATTTCCGCTTGTCATCTCAAATGAGAACAAGCGCGGGAGACCTGGGTTCGACTCCCAGTCGGGGAGATCTTTTTTTCCTGCTGCCGATTCTTAACAACTAATCTCATAAGGCGCTTTGTAACATTTTGTATCTTTTCAAGGTCCTCTTCTTTCGTGTCCTTCTCTTTCTGGCTTTTCTCTAGACGGGATGCAATACCTGCACGCGCGTGACTAGACAAATCTTCATTTTTCGACCCCTTTTTATGTGGTGTTTTCTTTTTTAGGAAATTAACGAAAAAGAACCAAAGAAATCCCAACAAATATAGCATGAATCATAACCACTACCACTGCCGATGATCACGCTTAACCGTAGAATGACACCCCTCCAGCAGATTAAACATCATGTCCACTACACTCGTCGGCTCGCCTTCGACCCACGAGCATTGACGAGGAATGTATACAGGATCATACACCAACAACCCATAGTTTTCGTTTGCATCAAGAACCGACCCGTCATTAAGTAAGATTACCGGGTTTACTGGGCGATGTAAGAGGGTAGAAGAGAACTTCCGTATCCCGTAGAGTACTCTAGCCTCATAAGATCCCATCGCATCAGCAAGATGTTGCATCCGTAATTCCTCAACTGGCATAATCTCCACCACATCATCTTGATTCTCTGAGTGAGCGTGACGTATTTTGATAAACGACACGGGTGGCTGCTGAGGTAGCATCCTTCGCCAGCTGGCCCCGGGACGAAGTAAGCATGGTTCCGCCGTGAGGGTAGTGAACTTGCCGATAATTTCTCTAATAAATGGATTCTTGGTGCTTGACTGATGCGGGTTCTTGGACGGGTTGAAGAACAGCGTGGTCTGAATACGGGGCGGCCTTTTGATGAGCTCATGCCATTTATAACATACGAGCTGGGTGGAGGTCAACAGGGTTCGTGCGTCTGTTTCCAAAAGGATCTGCTCAAGAATTTCCACCAGGTGAAAGATCATATGTGGCTCGTTTCTTTGCTCCATGTTTAGCTTTTTGTGAGCAATGAGTGATGGTCTATAACATTCAGGTACTGACAGATACGGCTGAGCAATGTTAAAAAATTATTGGTTCTAGCTACCAATGGATGTGGACATCATGGTGAAGATGTTTCCCAGGCAATAGATTTGTGATGATGTCTCTTTTAGTAGCCACGTTGTTACTTAGTGTTTGCATGGCACGCCAGCTCTGCATAGCCTGAACAAAAGCAGCGTTGCACAAGAAACACATTCACATCTACCTTGTCTAGTTGAGTCTTTCAACCAACATTTCAGTTAAACCACGTAGGAAAATTATGTTTCCGTTGTATTATGCCAATAATTAGTTGTCGGGGCCTCTATCATTAACTAAGTCGTAAAATTACATGTTGAATGTGAAATGTTAATGTCAAGTCACTCAAGGGTCATCAGGTGCGCGGATCCGCATAGTAGCCCAGATCATCTGCGTGCTCCTGTATGCGCGGCAGCTTCGGCGGCAGATCTCTTTCAGGATCATCCTGGATGTCCTTGTTGATAGGATCCTCTGGAGTCCGGTTTGGTTCCTTCACAAGCCAGGAAGCATAAGTGGTGAAGGGTACGCTGACCCAGAACACCACAAACGCGACGATGAGGTTAGCCATGAGGGAGACGTTCGCGCTGGCACCAATGCCGAATGCGATAGCAAAGCCCAGACTCTCAAATGAACGGAGAATTCCGGTGGTATATGCCAGGACATCGACGTGGATATCATATGTTCCCAGAATCCAGTACGTCCATACCACTGATGCTTGGCTTCCAACACTAAATCATCCAATATGTTAGTAACGAGTCTCTCTGGCTTCATCAGAGAATGTACATACCCAAATAGACAATAGGCCGCGATCGCCTTCCCGTATCCTGGGTCATAGATGTCCAAAGATGGGCTGGGACTTTGCTTTTGCAGGTCCGTCTGCATGACAAAATTCAAGACCCACTGCGGGATAAACACAGCGACCATCGTTAGCCAGCCCGCAATCGCGGTTCCCCGTCTCGTTCTGAAGATCTTTTGCGAATCCAACAGCCAGCCCCAAAGCACCGTAGCAAAAATGCCGACCACGGTTTGGACGAATCCAGCCAGGGTCCGACCTCGAACCGAGAAGTATTCCGTCAGATAGTTTCCCTGGTATGTTTGGCTCCACCGCACGGTGATGAAGATGGGAATCAAAAGTAGCATGTACTTCTGCTTGGTCGCTTTCCAAAATCCCTTCAGGCCTTCCTTGAGGGTGATACGATTTTCGTCGGAGCTGAATGTCGGTTTGGTTCCGTCTTTGCGAATTAGCTTGTGCGCGGGAGCGACGGTTAACGCGAGGGGGAGACCGGCGCAGCTGAGTCCGATGAGAACGAGGTATGTCTTAGGGCTGATGCTGCCCTTGCTGGATGTGTCCATATTGAGCGCGAGTTGAATAGCGTTTCCAATGACCGATCCGAGCTTGTTCAGCGCCATCCAGATACCGGCTATCAGCTTTGTTAGCGAGGGTGTGTCTCACTGGAAGTCGCGATTACAGCATAGATGGCACTTACTATAGGTACCGCGATTCTCAGGTTCAGGATAACCGACAGCAATAGCAGCCTCCGAGACCCATAATGCGGCACCCTACACACAAATCAGCATTCACACATCTCCCTAACCAGCCAGAACGAATACCGTAGCATACCGAGAAACCACAAGTCACCGACCCAAAGAGTAAAAACCACTGGGTACCAAAGACACTATTGCAATATAATGCTGCGAAATAGGGCACATAACCGAGAGTCCCGGCGACCAGAACCCATTTCAGACTGAACCTGTTCCCGGCGATCGCGAATAACGGGCATGTCACGATCATGATCACGTATGTGATGACATTGGAGGCATTGACGAAATACGGGGTCGCTAGACCACCGGCTCCCAATCCTATCGCAAGATCAGTTTCTGTATTCCTCCCTTTCTTTTCTTCCCCCTTTTTTTTTTCCAAAATTTTTCCCCCTCGGCTTGCGATAGCGATAAGGAACTAACCGTTCAATGCATCCCAAATACCGGGCTGGGTGAAACTAATAAGACCCAAGGCAATAGCCTGATACAGGGTCCCGCGATACCAGCGGTGCAACGACTCCCAAAGCCCAGCCATGGTCTCAACCCAGAAAGAACTCTGACAAAGACATTGACAATGGCGATCGGAGACGATATTTAGTATGCAGACAGGTTTATCCTCAGCAAATTGCCAGCGACCCACCTCCGATGTCGTGATTGCGACCAACGCTATGCGATAAGAAGACATTAGGGCGCGGGTTTGAATCCATGTGTCATGAATACCCACTTGGTGTCGGCTTTGAGGCGAGGCCGTTGGACAAGAAACTCCCAATTGCCGGGCGCTGGCAATTAAGCGATGAGGAGCCCCATTCGGCTCCCCCAACTTTCTTTTCGACAAGCCAATAAGCTCGGTTTTGCAGAGTCTTAGTCTGGACCTGCCCTGGATCGTGACTCGTGAGTCATTTCCTTTTGTATTCTATTTCCTTTCTGGGCATTTTGTTCGATAGTTCCCAGACTAATGGGGTTATGGATTCTCTTGATAAGTTGATATTCTGCGCCATCGGATGGGTTCACGGCACGTGTGGATAAGGGTATTGCCCTATCAATGAGGAACCATCGACCTTCTAGAAAGACTTTAATCATCCAACGAACTGCTATCTGCTTGGAAGAAGTACCAGAGCTAGAAGCATCACTGGTTTTGGACTCAGCCGATGATTCGACATCAATGTTGAATTGAGTCTTGAGCTCAGCACTAACCTCAACATCAAGCTTAGCTTCAAATTCCAATCAGAAGGAGCACCAGATGAGAATTGCTCCGCTGCGGACCTTCCATCTAGGCGGACCAAAACGAGTCAAAGAAAGCGTCGATCCCCGGACCTGGAAGTCTGAAATAGGCATAGGAAAGACCTTCCTAGCTTTCTTGTACTGGAGTGAACCGCCCGGAGCCTCATACTTATATTTACCTAAACCACACGCCGACGGTCCCTATGAGCCCCACAGGTGGGTGAACCATCATAGGTGCTGTAAGCTATAGTTAGACAAACGAACAAACAACAACTGGTGATCTGATGGTTCTGTCTTGGTGTCGACTGCTTTGTCAACGAGCTCAGCACTACCACACTGGTCAAATCTGGGACAAAGTCCCATATAACTCACTTTTGGGACACCATGATGTAAAACATACCTTTGAAGCCTCACGGTCATGTACTGCTGCAAATGAAAATAGGGAAAATAGTAGAATCGAGAAAGAGATGTGAGCAAAATTAGATGACCCCGAGATTCGCCAGGGAATATTGTTCATTGTCTGGAAAAGGGGCTACGGGTTGATTAATATGATCCGCTATAGCCATGGGCTAATGTATGCAGATATGACCTATCACAAAAGCCGAACGAACAAAAAAATAGGCTGAAGCATAATTCTAGCTCTAGCTATTACTATCATTATTTGAAGTCCTATAACTTGATGCGAGATTTAAAGAGTAAGCAGATTTCCATCAGTAAATCTCTTACCGTGTTCTAGTCTAATCCATTATCAATATAAACAGCACGCCAGTATCTTACGTTAAACGTCCCCCCTTTCTATTAGCACAACTCCAATGTAATCAATTGAGGAAAAAAAATTCAAGATCTTCTTTTCCCAAGATAGTCATTCGCCGTTTTCCAAATCCCCCTCACACCCTTGTCAATCTCAAACCGCCCATCATAAAGCGGATAGACAACAACCGCCAAAAAAGCGAAAAACTGCCAAATAATAGCAACAGTAACCCACCCAGAGAAGAAAGACTTAGTGAAGATATAGTTCCGATACAGTGGCATGGGCCACAGGACAAACGTGATAAGAACAAGGACCACGAAGATGGCCCACGCGATACGAGACCAGCGATAGAGCTCTTTCAACGTTTGGTCACTGAAAGGATGACGGATATCGTCGAGACTCAGCTGTGTTGGTGAGGTGATAGCTGGCGTTGTTGACACGGCCATGACCTTTTCGTCTGCTCCAATTACCCGCTCTGGATCCTCGGTGGAGGTTGTTTCGGATGGGAGGGATTCAGGATTTGCGCTGGCAGATTGTTCAATGGCTTTTTCGCTGGATTGGTTATCTTTGGAGGCTGTTGTGGTAGACGGGTCGGAGGCATGGAGTTGTGCCTCGTCTGCGAGCTCGATGCGGAGGAACTCACGCCAGTCAAACTTATAGGGGTTGTAGAGGGAGATGATGACGGAATAGAGGGCCGGAGAGAAAAATGATCCAATGGCGCCGTAGAGGGCCGGTAAGCCCTCGCCGGTGGTGGTCATGTTGACAGCTCCGTATAGTGATTTTGCACTGGCGAGCCAAATAGCCAGACCGGTAAAGAAACCCAGGACGGGTGAAACAATTGCTGCTAAGCGGGTTTGGCCTGACCAGAAGAGCGTGAGGGCCAGAGGAATAATTCCTGGACAGGAGAGGATGGGCCGGAAATAGCCGATCCAGGTCATGTTGGCACCGCCGTAGTTCAGTGCGATCGAGATGCCGGTGATGAATACGGCGTGGAAAACGACCGAAATATGACTTACACGGAGCAGTCTTTTGTCGGACGCCTTTGGGTTGAAGTATGTTTTGTAGAGATCAAATGAGAGGATACTGCTGACCGCAATCATCGAGGATGAAACTGTACTTGTTAAAGCCATGAATAGCAGGATGAAGAAGGCGACAATTCCCGAATCCCCGATTAGTGCTTTGACTAGATATGGCATTACCATGCCGGCATTTACGTCTGCACTAGTAAGCGGGCCTGGGTAAGTAGGAAAGATAGGCGTGTTATGCAAAGCGCGTGCGGACAGTCCAATAACCGTTCCCAGACCCCATGGGATGCCAAAAACAGCCACCGCAGCTAGGTTGTAAGCTGGCACGGTTGAATTGACCTCGCTTGCAAAGGACTTTTGCCAGAATGCTGTGTCCTATTGACAATATATTAGCATAGCAACCTTTGTGCACTAAAGTGTAATCACAACCATACCATGACGACGAGAGCTAGATTACCAAACTTCAAAACCAGTCCCCAGATAATGGCATCTTTTGATTTCATCGTGAGCAGCGAACCTTCATAGTTTCCAGAAATATAGTTCTCGCTAGCCGTGGCCACCACCTTGTCGTAGAGGCCTCCCAGTCCACCTACCGCGGGATGGGTCAGAACTGACAGGGTAAAGTAGATGATGAGGATCAAAGCAACAGCCGTGTGAAGGAAGTCCGTGAGAAAGGTCGCCTTCAAACCTCCGACCGCAGTGTACAAAACAACTACCAGGTGATTAGTGAACTGCACGCTGCCACTCAAGAGCTATGGGAATGCCCCAGCTTACCTCCAAGCGGGATAAGAATAGTAGCTGCGACAAAATGCATGCCGGACACTCCATAAATCAGTTGCGAACCTGTCAGAATCATGGATGCACATCCGAAGACATTGTTGGTGAGGTTTAGCACGATAAAGACCAGGTGCCCAATCCACCCATATCGCATCTTAATAATTTCGAGCGATGTATGGGCGTACGGCACTCGGATCTTCGCCATGACACCCAGTGCGGCCATCAATGCAATCTGGAAACAAAGACCGGATCCCCACCACTAGTATCATGTTAGCACTATTTATTTAGTAGAGGCATGAGATGAGACGAGAAGTTTACCAGAGGAACTGCCAGACCATAGCGATAACACATCGCTGCGGACAACACCGTTTCGTTGATCCACATCCATGAGGAAAACACCGCTGACGCCGTTAATCCTGTCCCTACTGACCTATTCGCTACCATGAACATCTCCGAAGTGGCCGAGTCTTCGGAAAGATAGGCCTTCTGGACTTTGATCGCGACCAGAATCACTCCGCAAAAAAGCACACCCAGCCCTATGAGCAGGCCATAGGCTGTGCCCTGTGGGATCAAGTCTATTCCCGCAACGCCTAAAGTTGCTACAGTCATGATGGTATAAAATGAGTGAGGAGTGTAGGAGAAAGGAAGGGGTCATCGATGTAGCAATGCCGAAAGAAATATATGAAAGAATGTCTAGTAATAAAGCCTCCTGCGACCGTGTCTTGCCGACCGGGAACAGATAACCCACTTAACTTCATGTTAACAAAGACTCCTACATCGGCTACTCCATTTTTTTTTTTCTGTTGTGGTTTGCTCTTCTTCTCGTTCAATTCGCAATTCTATTCGGAGCCTGGCCGACAGAATGGCCAATGCCATATGGTTGAGTTGTCACGCAGTGGGTGGTAGATATTGCGTTATGCGACACGAAATGTATGAATGCCGGTAGAAAAACCTGCATAGCGTCTAGATGAAGGGAGCTCCAAACCCCATTGACTAAACACGAGGGTGTGGAGGAGAGATAGTACAGAGCTTATGCGAGCTTAGCCAAAGAAAAGGCAGATTGAGGTGAGCAATGCATGGATGGGATTGCGTGCCTGCAGGACGCGATGGCGACTCGTGCGGCACCACCCGATGAATCGCGAAACCGGCAACGGCCCCAAAATGACACGAGAAAGAAACAATAAAATAAAACAAGAATGTGTACAGCTCATTTCTCTCGGAGAGCATTGCTTGTATGCGGTCCTTTTAGTGGGTCCTCCACGTTTGTCCATCACAGTTCCCGTATCCCGAACAAACGTGCAAACATACTTTATACCAACCAAGATGACGAACAGCGACAATAATAAAAAGCAGATCATATTGAATGCTTTCGTGATGAACACCCCGGGCCATTTGGCACCGGGGCTGTGGAAACATCCGAGCAACAAGACCAACCAGTATAAGAAACTCTCGTTTTGGACTGACCTAGCGCAGTTGCTGGACAATGCCGGATTCCATGCCATGTTTATCGCCGATACCCTAGGCCCGTACGACGTATATAGGGGCCCTGCCAATGTGGTCCCTGCATTAGCATCAGGAGCGCAGTTTCCGGTCAATGATCCATTATATCTGGTCCCCGCCATGGCGGCAGTAACAAAAAACCTGATCTTCGGCGTAACTGCGAGCGTAACATACGAAAAGCCGTATGCACTCGCCCGCCGACTATCCACGGTAGATCACCTCAGCGAAGGGCGTCTTGCTTGGAATATTGTCACGTCGTATCTCGATAGTGCGGCTCGCAACCACGGCCTGAAAGAGCAGATTCCGCATGACGAACGGTATGCGATCGCTCACGAGTATATGGAAGTACTCTACAAGCTTTGGGAAGGCAGCTTTCGAGACGACGCCGTCCTAGATGATCGGAACCAAGGGATATATATCGCCAGCGATGCTGTGCGACAGATACATCATAAAGGGAAGTACTTTGAGGTACCAGGTCCCCATTTCTGCGAACCCTCACCACAACGCACTCCGTTTCTCTTTCAAGCGGGTGTCTCTGAAGCTGGAAACGGGTTCGGAGGGAAGCACGGGGAAGCGATCTTCGTCGGCGGCCAAACAGCCGAGGGCGTCCGGGTGACTGTGGACAATATCCGCGAAGTTGCAGCAGAGGAAGGACGCGATGCCAATCACATTAAGATTATTGTTGGGATTAACGTCATTGTCGCGGCGACAGATGAGGAGGCGAAAGCAAAGCGGGAGGAGTATCTCAGGTATGCGGACGAAGAGGGGGCATTGGCCCTATTTGGTGGGTGGACCGGAGTCGATCTCTCAGGCTACGCCGATGACGAGGACTTCAGATTCAGCGAATCTCCACGTGTCCAGTCTATCGTAAGACGATGGTCTGCTACCGTGCCCGGCACGGACAATCTTCCTTGGACGAAGAGGCGGATTGTAGAGTACTTAAGTGTGGGTGGTCTTGGCGCGAAAGTCGTCGGGAGCCCTACAACAGTCGCGGACGAACTGGAACGATGGATAGAGGTGTCAGGAGTAGATGGCTTTAACCTGGCTCACATTACCAATCCGGGGACATTTGAGGACATTATAGAATACTTACTGCCTGAGTTACGCCGAAGAGGACGTTTCCGAAGCAAGGTAGGAAAGGAAGGCGCCACAGCCAGAGAAGTTTTCATCGGATCTCGAAGGCTTCCAGATGACCATCCTGGAAGCAAGTATGGGTGGCATGCTGGTGAGAAGCTGCCCAAATATCAGCTGAAAGAAGGGAACGGAGAACAGGCATGATAGGGAAGGACTTATGACGCGTGTGCGACATGGATAATAATTTGGGAGACAAAGGGGGGCTGCATATACCTCACTTTGGCTGGATGCTAGAGACAATCAGAATCAAAATGCCTGCAACGAACCTTATACAGACAGTGTAACAGTAGAACCGTTCATTGGTAATGATGTTTTAGTCTTCACAACTCAAATATGGATGAGTCACCTGGAGAAACATAATCTTAGGTATTGATGGGTGCAGCGCTATGCCTATTAGCATTCTATTTCTTTCAAAAGCCTTTTCCAAGCTGAGCTAATGGCGAATGCTCTGTGGTACACGCGTAGCAAGAAGCCACGCTTGTACATCCAATAAACAGTCAAAGACATAGTAGACCGGGCCAGAGCGAATAATTCAGAGGACTGGGTTGCGATCGAGCGACTATTGAGTCCAGGACGTGGGTTTCCTGTAAGCTGACGCCAGCTTCATGTGTCACGCCTACCAGCCCCTAGCCACACGCGCGTGAGTTCGGGGTAATTATAGCTCAGCTTTTAAGAGACATACCTTGAGATGTATATATACATGTCCCCTACCTTAATAATAAAAGGGCCATAAGTGCGTCCAACGGACCAATAATGCCAAGGCTCGTTTGGAGTTCCCAGAACAGGCATGACGTTTCTGATACCCCCAAGACAATATTGTCCTTTCTCAGGCGCGGCTTTTCCATGGATATAGCCCAATTTTGGGCAGATATTTCCGGAACTGCTTCGTGTGTTGTCGTGGTTCAGCGCTGACGGTGAGCGGTTGGGCTTCGCCCATAAGCCATTTTGTTCAACATTGATGGCAGCCTATCGATGTAAGGGAGCCACTTTTCAGGGTATGGAAATACCCAATCTGCTCGGTAGTTGCGGAAAGATTGACAATTTAATTTGCTTTCCGCCAATGAAACTTTCCAGGTAACACTAGTTTTGGGGGTCTCACTGTGGGTATCTTAGTTAGCGAGTAGACCTTGGAGGGATAAATGAGCGATGCATAAAAAAATAGACTACACAGTCGAATTTAGCGATTTCTAGCCATTTCATTCTTCGAGTAGTTGCCCGCTGAGTCCACCTAATACAAGGAAGCTCCTATATATGGCTGCAATGGTGACAGAGGCCAGACGGTGATAGTAAGTATCCCTAGCGGTGCCATAACGAAAGTGGGCAGTCCTCTGTCACAGTTGGCCTAAGTATAGTTATTCAAGTATAGACGTTAGTAGAGTAAATATGTCTCATCAATAAAAGGGGTATGTATAGTCAACGGTTCCAACGCCGTGACAAACGCTGAGTCGACTATGTCTTGTAACTTGGGCGAACAATCCTAATCACGGCAGGGGCCAGATAAGCCTTGCAGGAGTTTGGGCTATGATTGCCAAGAGATGCCACCATCGCTTTAAAAACAAGGGGCCCAACTTGCTCCGTGGGCTGTGACCCCTAGGTAGGCGGAAGATATTTCCGGATCTACGTTGATGTCCAGTCAGTGGGAGCGGAAAAGTGAGGCGGGCTATCATTGGATATCCGACACGGTACAGCCATAGACTTTCGTGGGTGGATTCAACGGCTACATACAGGTCAAGCCGCGGTTGAGAGCATACTTGTGGTACCGCATAAACGTGTATCCGTTGTTGTTATTGTTTTATTTTGATTTATTCTCTCTTCCCTCACCGTTGCCTTCTGGCTTGAGAATGAAATGAAGAATGCCATGGAGATTATACCCATAGATATGGGGCTCAAACAGGCGAGAGTGAGTTGCCTTACATTGAATATGCTCCCAATGACTGGAATGCTAGATCGGAACCCCTAGCAATTTCATGGACGGTCGAACTTTCAAATTACCCTAAAGAAGAGCAAAAAATTACCGCGCAGGAAGCACCCACATGGGGATCACTATTACTTAGTAGAATGTCGACAAATTACCGAACAATAGCCACGAATAAACTTTTGCCACCAATTTAGCTTATTTAGGCTTGAACACCTGTCAAGGAAGCCCCCAAAGGTACATTAGTATGTTGTAGGAGTATGGATATCGACAGGACGTGTAAGAAAGTACATACCACGATACCAAAGGATCTCCAACCAAAAAAAAAAGGCAAAAAAGATCCACTATTTGAACATATCCGAGCGGTGCGATTACTATTTGAGACTATTTGAGTACTATTTTGGAACAAATTATTAAGATCGGCTGTTTTCGACATGTGCAACCATCGTTATGTGTCAAGTTCTGTTTGCGAATAATCTGATCCGTTGGTTCCAGTTCGAAGCCCATGTGGAGATCGTACGAATCGTTGCGGCGGAAGTAGTTCCAATTGGACGATGTGTCATGTTTGTGCCGTGGGAAAATATTTCCGTCAAACCTACCGGCCACTCACATTTCAAATCTTTCATGACTCTCCCACTTTTAAGCTGTTGGGTTGAGGAACTAAGTAACGTTGGGAAGAGATTCTCGGTGTGTGTGAAGGGGGGGAGGGGGAAAAAATATGAAAAATAAAAGAAAATACAGAATAAAAAATAAAGAGCCTCCCGTGAAAAGAAAGAGAGGCAAACAAACAAGAGACAAAGAAACCCAGAGAAAAGTTCAGTCTCAACTACGTTGGGCCCGTCGAAGTGGATCATCTACAGGTCATTCATGGATAGATCCACCGTCTCGAACCCGATACTTAGGGCCTGGAACTTATAAGCTGCCACTAAACAGGGGTGTATGTGATTTTAGTAGGATGCAGAGCAAAGATCTATTGGATCGATTTCTTGCCTGCACCGATAGATCAACTGTGGCTCTGTGGCTTGGATTTCCGCTGCGCTGGGTCGATGATAGGTATACTATACTAAACTAATAGAATAATAGCTCGCAGAATATATATAGGTCTGGCCGACCCGATGGGTCCCGTCTCAACTCATTCTCGGCCGTGTTTAATTTTAGAGATGAAGTCTCGGTCAGCTCAACTTTACACACACCTACTCATGCACCACACATAGAATAAAAAAAAAAGAAATAATGTACACTTGAAAAATCGTGGTAATAGTAAAAGGTAGGGTGAGCGTACCGAGCAATCGATAATGCTTTCTGTCATTTTCTTACTCCCCTTTAGTAGTACTACTAGAAGCGTTAGGAGCCGTTCTCGAAGCGAAGAACAATCAATAGATATTACGGCCACATAGAAGATTATTGGGAGAAAACTGGAATGGAGAAGTGGAATTATTTCAAAATATTAATTTTGATTAATGAAAAGGCAATATTGGTATCAAGTAAAGAAAGTTCCCAGGCACCGATACCACAATAAGTAAAAACATGGAAGATGGGATATCAAAGTTTTGCCCTGCCAACGCCATAAACCACGCCAATTTCGATGGCTCACTAGCAATCAAATTCAAGAACCAGTACGCGCCACGCTATGATGGATGTCTTATTTCAACCGGCACCGAATGCCATCGTAAGAACGTTTTTTTTTTTTTTTTTCGTGAAGAGAATCGCGTCGTGGTGGAATGTCAGCTGGGGGACTGAGTCGAGGGAGATCGCTGGGGCCCTGCTCCCGAAACCTTTCCAGATTGTCCGCTTGCTGAGAGGAGTTAGAATGCATGGATACTAAAAAAAGGCTCTACCAGAGAATCAAGCACACCTTTGAGCTGCTCAAGCTGCTCAAGCTGCCGGATTGTGTTCTCATGAATTCTGGCCCATTCTGCCTGGTACTCCGCAAGGTCCAGGTGTGTGGGCTCTTGAGTTGAGGACGTCGTCCTACTTGCAGATCGCTTATCCATGACTTCCGTGAGATAGGGCTTTTGCCGCTGGTAAAGGGAGGAGAGGTATATGGTGAATGAGAGCCGTGTGAGAGAAGTGTAAGAAAGTACCAAGAAGAGAAGGTTGACAGCTTCCGATAAAGTTCAAGGGAGAAGGTTAAACGTGAGTTAATATGTCCTTTTATTTTCACCTCAGCTGCAGGAGAATCGTGTGGACAGTCGAAGGCTATTTATCAGTTTGTGAAAGTCGCATTCTTGAACGTCAGGAGACCGTCTCAGGCCACTTGGTGGGATCCATTGACACCGAAGTGAATCAATCAACCAGGTTAGGATCCAATTTAATTTTTTTTTCTTAGACCATGTGCCTGCCTGTCCGTTGGAAATTTACTTTTTATTTTATTACTTTTTTTGGGCTCTCATTTTTTCGGTATGTGGTTAAAGTTACCCATCGGATGTGTTCTTTAACAATTCCCTTGCATTCCGTAGGGAGAAAAATAATATTTTTTTTTCTTCTTCTTTTTTCAAAAAAAAAAATAAAAAAAAAAGGCAAGTAAAAGGGAAAAAAAAAGACAAAAACGACAGAGAGCCTAGTACTAAAAGTGACCCGCTAGATTGGAATGAACCCATCAAAAAGATGGAACCACTAGATGTATCCCCGAAACAATGCCCCGTTCAGTCTCCCGATTGGCCGGGGAAAGCTATTGAACCCAACAGACAAGCTGCCGAACATCAGGATCGCCCTAAGATTCCGTTTTGTGGCTTTCAGTCAAGTCTCCCGCAGCGAATTTTGTGAGCGTTTCTCCTTTCTTCGGTTGCTGTGTCGCGGACTATCGGAATCTAGTCGGCCGGTCTTGATTGGTCTCTTAACTCTCCGATCGTTCACGCGGATGGATCCCCGTCCACCCTGGGCAAAAGTACGTACTTTTGTCCTTCCTCTGATTGAGGGACATCCGGGAATTGGGCAGCGATCCATCGTGGGGTTGGTCCACGATAATATGTTTGTTATCTTCCTGGTGACTATGAACAAGGTTTTTCTCTCGGAGATGGGAGGAGCAGGGAATATCAAAAGCCAAGTTCGATCAGAAATATTTCTTGCTGGGCCTAGAAGCTGTCAAAAGAAAAAGCAATTGCTGCTGTCCTGACATGAGAGACAACTTCTATCCAGCAGGGGTTCCTCCACGGGCATGGCATATACTGACTTGCATCTGGTTTTCAGCCGCGGTCAATCATGGCATTCTTGCATTGTTCGACCGGAATTCCAAGGTATTACTGCAAGCGGAAAATAGATAGAATGACGTCAGGAATGACGAACTAGTCACGATACTAGTTCCATCGAACTATCATAGTAGTCCCGCAATGGTGGGCTTCGGGGAACCATAAACAACTTCCGCGATCTGGCACGATCCATCAGCTAAAGTGACCTAATGTTTCGCTGCTGCAGTAGTGTCTACAATTTGCGAAGAGAGGGTGGCGCATGCACCTCGTGGTGGGTTACTTTCTTTAGTGTTCTCTCTAATCCTCGACTCCATCCATCGCTACCTAGTGGTAGACTCACTCACTTGCCTGACTTGGTTAGTTAGGGCTCGACCCTTAGGTTACCCCCGACCACTACTTCAAGGCAGCAGTTATACTGTATAACCTTTCAATGCACCGCGGTAGTATCGCCAATGTCCATTTAAACTACACGGAAATGAATTTATAGTGGAGTACTGCTTGGCTCGAGGATCGCCATTGGTACAAACTTCTTTTCACCGCCACTTTAATCAACCGATGTCAGCTGGCTTTTCACCGCTATGCACTCGTACAGAAAGTTGGACCCTATCAAGCGCCCTGACGATAGCCGCCCTTTCCGACGGTTTAATATCAGGTACCCAGAGTCTGGGGGGGGGGGGGGGGGGGGGGGGGGGTCTTCCAGTCATTCCTATTGCTCGACCTTTGTTGGTGATGCAGGGGATCATATGACAGACTGCTTGATTCCAATCATCCATGCTTGTAAGTACATCCCATCTCACCGGCCTCATCGTCCAGCAAAGCATTCCCAATGTCGCACAAAAAGGCTGAACCGTTACTCGGTTCTTCTCACCGCCACTGATGCTTGCTCCCGATGTGTTCGCATCTTGGCTCTTCTACGTTTCTTTTGCCTTTTGTTTCTCGATCACCCGTGCATGACGACCCCTGACCATTACGCCTCAGTCACTACAGCCATCCAACCCCCCGCTGCCAACACTGATTATCGCTGCAACTCATGGCCTAAGAAGCATGGTTGTCAGATGATTGACTGGTACTGCATTAAAGCATAGTTTTAAATCACACGGGCGCCTAACCTTAGAGATATTCTTCAGACTGGACACACGTACGGACCATGCGAATTAACATCCCTGTAGGGCGATGCCAAAAGTACGACTCAACTTGCAATCTTACCAGGGCTCATTATGATCAAAGCATTAGTTTATATAATGCGGCGGTTGAATGTTTCACAAGCGCAGACCAACTTCCAAATCATCGATACGACACGACTAAATGGCTCCATAGGTATAGGCCAAAATAGAAGCCAAATGCGATCATGAGTCAACAATGAGGCAGCCGATATTTCATCGTATTCCATGATCGACCTTCAGCCGCACGCAGGCAACCATGACATCAACCTTCAGAATACGCCTCTTATATTACGCATTGGTTCATGGCTTCCCAGAGCATCGCATTAGGCAACTGGGACTAGCATCATCTATACCCGACTGTATGCAGATAACCCAGAAGCGACCTTTTTCGGGCGGATGCTACGCGGACATTGTCGGCTTTGAGTTAATGGTCTCACTTTAACCGCTGCAGACTAGGTCATGCTCGGGTTAGGCTTTCTGAACATGGTTGAGTCGACATAGCGACGGGGTTGCCGATAGCTTGTCATCTGAATGATCAACATGGCTAGCAGTTGCAATACATATCGTCGGCGATACGCTCCAACATCCCTACCTCCTTTGCAGCAACAGACTTGGGATACGCTGACAATTTTAGTGGATCCCTCAGTTGGCCCAATCTGGTAACCTTTCTCGACGCAACTAATAATCATCGTGCATAAAAGAAAAGCCACCCTGCAACTGCGCTGGATAAGTATTGATGCTGGCAGAGCGGTCGTTTGCCATTGGCTACAGACGTGTTTTCTTTTTCCGGATCGCGATCTACATCCACCGAGAATTCGATCCTGCGAAGGATCGACCTGCTACGGTGCCTAACCACCTTTAACTGAAAAAATTGAATTGTATCTTGCAGGCCTTCAGAGCATATCGGATGTCTCTGCGGGTAAAGAACATCCTTAATCTTGCTGCAACCACTGTGACCTGTCCGAAAGCTACTCTAGCATAAGCTCTCGTAGTATCTTGCCGCTGTTAAATTCCAGAAGCTGCCAAATAGTGCCGACAGCTGAGTCACGGAGTTCATGATTCTGAAGCAAGGAGTGGAGCGGGTAACTAATTCAACAGATAGTCTGCGCAGTCGACTATCTCTTCTCTTGCCCCACAAGCCACTAATCGTTTGTAGTTACTACTTACTAGTATCATCGCCACATTAGACTCCACTTTCAGAATCGTTCATCGGCTCTTCCCCGGAGAGTTGACGTAACATCGTGATAGTGAGTGGGATACTATTTGGAGGCCTCGATCGTCTTTGATCGGTACAGGTAAAATGGCCAATTACTGAAGGCCGCATAGAGCTATGCCCATTTTATATCGTTTTGTATTGTGTGGGATATCTCAGCCGATAGGCAAGAAGATTTACCATTCCAAAGATCTATCGACGAATCCCATCACTTTAAATTTAACACATGACTCAAATCCCTTTGAGTCAGGTAATTGTTTCTCCCTCGTAGAAGATAGTTCCATATAACAAAGTACGACTGCCCCGCTGAAGCAAAGCGGGGAACCACCATCAGGAACTAATATAGCACAGACCCATACACAGTAGACTGAACCGGATCGCCTATTGGTTATTGTACTCTGAAAGGGCCAACCGATAACGTGGGAGTGATTTTAGTGTGGAATCAACATGACCGATTGGACTCGGGACTCAATTTATACGCTCGTCAACGGTTGATGATCCCTCCCGTTCCCCCGAGACACGAGAAAGTATTGGGTTCGGAGGAATATCCCCCGGAACTAGTTAATGCCTTGGAGAATGAACACCGTATGTGTCGTTGTGTCTGCGCTTTGCGGTTGGGTAAAGGTGGTGTGGGGACTTGGGCGGTGCTTTTGGAAGATTGATGTCATTCAGGGTAATATGGCCAATGTGACCTTGAGGTGTTGGTATTGACCTCTAGGATAGAAATCACAGGCCTTCTCATCTATTATGTGCACATGATGTTATAGATGGTAGTAGCGCTGCCGGATATTCCCGGATTTTATTATTGTATAATAGTTAACTAGTTCATATTAATAAGTGACGTCTAAGCACGTCATCTGAGTAAAGGAAAAACAGAAATATCAGCCAGACTAATCGGATATTGGCCATCGCGAACCATATTAGGAAAAATAACACCTCATAGCGCCAGCCTGGTAACCAAAAGAGAGAGAGAAAACAGCCCTAATGCAACCTCACTCCAACAGCTCCATTGGAATCTTCTCCGTATGCTCCAAACGCTCCCACCAATCCTCTTCAAAAAGCTCCATCTCCTCCGTCCTGTCCATATCCCACCACGGATGAGGGACCATCCTCCTGGGCAACTGTCGATCGGACGGAATCTCCAAGAGTAATAGCCCAGCGGGAATATCGCCCTCGTCAGTATTTAACCGCAACCGTTCATCAAGATTCTGCAGTTGCGTCGCATGCGCATCGAAAATTCTCCTCAATCGCGATATTCCCTCCAGTGTGCCCTTAATCTCAAATGCAACCTCCTTCAACCGCGGACACTCACCCAACATCCCCAAAACACCCTCGATGGTAGCTTCCGGATCGTCCTCCCCGAGCCCAAACTCCACTAGCACATCCCACTCGAACCCAAGAGTCAGATGCTGAACGTGTAACTTGGGATCGAATCCCTCGTCCGGATCGGAGTGTCGATCGTCCATGTACACCAGCAGCTCCGCCAGGTAAGGGGCATTCCAGACCTGGAAGTGGTTCTTCTCGTAATATGTTTCTAGCGCTTCTTTTGTGACGGCACTGTCGCGCGTGATATATTTCTGGCAGAGGAGGATGGCGTCGCCGAGGACAGCGTCCCGGACATCTGTATCCGGCATGATGAGGAAGGTATCGGTTGTCAGGAGCTGGTCGAAGATTTCCTCGCGGAAGATGGGCGGGATGGATAGGAAATGAGCGTAGGAGGAGAATCCGGTATGTTGACGGAAGAAATTATCCAAGCGTATTCGGAGCTCTTGTTCGAAGTTCAGCATGGTTACTGGGTGCAGGTGGACTGCTGGGAGACTTTTGAGAAATTTGAAGTCTGCAGTAGGAGAAGGGAGCGGTGAGCTTCTGTCCGTTGGGGATATGCTTGTTCTTTCCTTTTGAGGTTTGAACCGGGTGGTTTTGCCTCTTACTTATAGCTTTCGGATGTTGTTGTGTGGACCCTGGTCTGTGTTGGAAGGATTATATCAACAGCATTGCGCTACCTGCCGGTCGTGACAAAAGACATCGAATTGTCAAGTGAGGGGTAAGCCCAGTGGGGTAAACGAGAGGCGTTTGCTTTGTGCTTTCAATGGCTGCTAAGGTGCCGCGGCGCTTATGAAGGGCGTCAAGGCTAAGGTTCTCAGACTGGGATACACGATCATGGATGATGGACTGCGAAGGGCAGCTGCATGAGTATCGATCAATAACCAACTTCTACAATGCATCGCGCTAAAATTGGGAGATAGAACATCAAGTGATAGAGTCGCGTACGTCCTGTGGTGTCGTAGGATAGGATTCCTATCCGCGATAGCCCGCACTAATGGCATCGACCTGGTTGACTATTATTACCTTGAGATATTACGATATCTCAGACCTCATACTATCGAACCGTATCTCTCTATATGCCATCCATCTACGCGCTGGAGCTGCGAACAAAGAACTAGGGGCGTCTACAAGTCTCGGGAAAAGACTAGGTGTTTCTAAAGATAATGTGCAGGATGGTAAAACCAAGATTAGCCGCAGACATACCCCAAATCCGTGAGAATTATATCGCACGAGGTATTTTTAAGCATCGTGGATATTGTGCCTAGTCGCAAAGCGAAGCGCTGCACCCACATAAATCGGAATACCGTACCCATAGCAAGCTCCATTTTAGCCGCCGGGGAAGCACGTCTCGTCTAAATGCGGGGACACAACTGAGACCCAACATTTCATTTTCGTGTTCAAAGAAAAGGGAGAATGGGTTGCAGCTTGTGGCCCACCTGGTGTGAACTGAATGGCTCGTTTAGCGGCGCTATCGTATTCGGCGCTTAACACGGCCAATCATGAGTTATAGAAAGGACCAAGAAACGGAAATCCAGCGGATTAGACCCCGTTTAGGTACTAATAGGTACTAGGTAGCTGAGGTAGACTATACTATGCGGAGGAATTCAGCCGATTCCGTTAATAACCCTAAGTGTGGTCGGTACATCAATAGACTAAAGAACCCTAAAACAATAGTCAGGTGAGCTTCGCCACTCTTCGCCAATTGACTCTATTTAGGCATATTATAGCCACTCCTCAATATATCTATGCACAGCGGGACTCTTTGTCTTCGCATCCATAACCGAAAAGTAGATTTGCAGAGGCGAATTTGCGCAATTATTTCGGTATATCGAAACCATGACATGTGCATTCTTCATGGCCTAGAGCTCGGTTTCTTTTAGATATATATATATATATATATATATCTCAGGATAGCTAATGATAGAGTCATCTAGTGCATATTGGAGCAATTACACGGAAGGCGGCTTTCTTGAAGAGTCCTATTTCCACGAAAGCCTTTCAACTCAAATTCACAGTCCAAGTAAGTGTATTTGCCACAGGTGGCTGCATCCATAAGAGAGGAATCTGCAGCAGGACAGTGATTTCAGCCGAAGCGAACGTTGCATGGTCATGTGAGCAATATTGCATCTTCTAACAGAGACTATTGATCGTTAGTCTGCTGGAATAAAGATCCGAATCGGAGCTCCTAAATGCAATAGAGATATTCCCCACTTAATTTGCTTATAATTAGGCGTTGCGTAACTCGACTACCGCTTGTGCATAATCGTTCTATGCATAATTCTATCGTCTCCACCTCTCTTCCTTATTCTAGATTTATTATTTACTGTTCTCTGGATTCAGGAGGTCCCGCCCCGGTCATTAATAGAAATTACTCCACCAGATAAAGTACTTTATTCTCAGCAGTACTTCCGGTCCTATTCAGGGGCTCTCACGGAAGTGATATGTCTGGCACACTCATCACACGCAAGGGGCTGTGTGGATTGGAGAGTCCCAATCCCATTATCTATATTATCATTTACCAAATATTCAAACCGTCGGTCATTCCATGTTGATCCTCAGCCAATTGTAAAGAGATTACCAGCGCTGCTGGAAGGGAAGAGAAGATCACATGGTACAAATAGTGAACATGTATCCAGTATATGTTCAAAGAATTCTGTTTATTTACAAGACATAAAACTTAGGAAGCTAGGAACTGGAGACTGTTATCTTTGCTGTATCATATAACGATATGGCTGCTCTTATTTGGGTCTTGCTCCAACTTAACCATACTAAATACGGCAAATGGTACACTCTGCACCGTGGCGTCTCTAATTATAGCCAATTATAGGATAACGATCTGACCGGTTAAGCTCGTGGGGCTAGACTTTGGCAAAACCTGTCCAATTGAAACCGTTCATATTTTCCTCACGGAATTCAATATCCTTGCATAGTTAGACTTACAGTATAGATATTGGTAATAGCTTCAAAGTCAATTAAAAATGCCACATTGTTGCGGTGTAATCGCCGCTGTTACCGCTGTTCTTTGTGGTATATGGAGATGTCACATGACTCTGGGTAGGAAATGCACTCACTATAAAAGGCTGAGGTGTACTCTTCAACTCCATAGAAACAGGCGTAAATCGTGCAGAGGAGCTCGTCAGAGGAGATGTCAACCATGGCGTATAGTGAAGCTGCATCATGGAAGATGTAATGTTAAATGAAAGAGCCATTTGCTGGCTTATCGTCCATTTGGGTATAGTGGATCTTGAATCCTGCATGCTGAACAGAGCATCTTTTGAGTGTCATAGTATCATGAGATGATCCACTATTTCTGTTCATGTCTACGCCTAGGGTCTACTGAACCAGAGGAGTAGCAGAGTTTGGCATATCATGACAAATAGAGATCAAGTGACTGTTTGCGCTCATATGCCTGATGTACCCATTGACAGAGATCTTCAATTTGTTGCGGGGAGGGACTTGGGGTTCTCGAGGGACTAGAGGGATTTATTTGCACCACTTGTTGAATTGCTCGGTTGGTTTTATGGCTATATCGAGTCAGCCTATATCCGGTATTAGGGCGATTGACGTCTCACTTGTCTTCGAAGTTGTCCAAATCCTCTTCCAATACTTTCACTTCATATTATTTGTGTACAAATGGTGGACATGAGAGCATTGGACGCGGAGGGAACGTCATTACGAAACTGACAGCCGGCTGCTTGAGGGACTTTGAGTGACTCTTATTCATTGCCGATGATCTCGTTTGGGGGAACAATCTAGCCTCATTTTCTGCATGACTCCCAGCGATGCATCCGCAAGAGATAGCGGAGTACAAACGGTCCACACAGCTCTGGACGACATTCAAGGCTGCGGTGAATTTTGCTATGGTCCTGGACATGGGCTGGACTGTGACATTCTGCCTTGCTATGCTCTGGTCCCTCAGTCTGCTTAATGTTTTTGTCGATTCGTCTAGATCGTGGATTTGTCGCTGTAGATCTTTTTTTCCCACACTGAATTTGATTCGCTTGGTAAACTCAAACCTACCATTTCATTTTGGTTGAGAATGGAGAATTGTTGGCAAGTCGTTCCTGTCCCACTATGGATAATTGTGTTAAAATCATGGCAAATACCAAGAGCGGGCAGTGATTACCTGAGATGTTGCTACGAGACCGCTGATGTTGGCGATAATGTCGCTGAGGATATGCTCGCATCGGGCAACAGCATTAATGTACACAGCGAGCCCCTCTCTAAGGTACTCTTTCAGAGCAACTGAGATCTCTGAATCTTGGAACAAATTCAAGCCCCGTTCATCAATCAGTGCAATTAGTTGTTTCTCCTCGAGATGGGTTTCCTTGAGTGCTAAGCAGATATCGGTCTGAAAATAAAACTTTTGCTCTTCTAACGACTGGATCAACTGATTCAAGAGGAGTTCTTTCTTGGCCATAAATTTGATCCTCTGGCTAGTGACTTTGTAGTAGTCTAGGGCAGAGATGATTAGTGGGGATGGCACCCAGTATGACGCCAACAACCTCGAAGCCTGACATTATGGTCCATCCAGCTGAAGAGCATGCAGGAAGGTTTTTTGTTGGAGGAGGAGTCGCTGGAGGGGTAGTCACTTGCATGCAGGAGGCTATGACTATTATTGGACGATGTATGGAGCTAGAGTTGAATCATGCTTGACCGTTTCCCTATCTGCTCAGCCTCACTGTTTTCCCACCAGCCTTGTCTGTTCCACGCCGTCTGGACTTCTGACGCGAGGTAGAGCAATGACTCACGAACGAAGACCGGAAACTCTGAGCTCTATTGCGCTAGTGGAGCGTTCAGTTGCAAGAGGCAGTCACGAAGACATTAATCATTTCAAGCTTGCCAATGAAACACAACACTTCGAACTATGGGCAAAAAATCTGGGTCTTTACCATCTTGGACATAGCTCCCTCGACCACCGATTTCGAGATGCGCCTTCTGTTTTCGAATTCGCCATCCACCTATTGCATAATCTGGAGGCGCTTCTGGTACAGCGTGAGTTGTATGTCTTTTATTTTAGTCTGGTTCCAAGTGCTAACAGTATTTCAGTCATGAATATCCTAAACCGTGGACAAGTATCGAGTCTGAATACAAGGGATACGACAAAAACTTCCATCCAATCTCATGAGCAGTTTAGTAATGACTCAGAAGAAGATGACTTTGAATCTTCTGGCGATGTGTCTATCACCGATTCGTTGTTGTTTGGTGTGGCTGCCAGTATTGACAAGCTTTATCGTCTCTCATTCAAAATACGCGATCCCACAATGAGGATGGGATTTTCCAAAGCGCTCAAGTATCGTGCATTGGACCCAGAAACCGACGTTGATCTGATCGACCAGCTCCGAGAAAGCAGCCAACGCCATCTTGAACAGCTTTTTCTATCTTATCATTCGACCTCTGCAAGGGACTTGGAAAAGGACTTTCTAGTTCAGCATCTAGTCAAAGCCAATACCTGAGGGAGGCAGTGGTTTGCATACTGGAAGAGGAGACGAGGTCGGTTTGAAATTATGTCCAGAATAGAAACTATGGAATAAATGGCACCCGATTCCGGGGCAGAAAACAAACCAAATTTGAATGTTCCAAGCGCTCCTTCTCAACCTTCGTCAACAACCCACCTTGATGTGTCAAAAGTAAAGGTGGAAGATGATTCCTCGGTGATATCAAGTTCAACTGTTGTTAATATGCCAGACGAAGCCAACGGAGACCGGTTTTCAATTCCACCACCTCCAAAGGACTTGTGGGATGGAGAAGTGTTTGAGTGCCCATATTGCTTCACTCTATGCCCATGCAAATTGCTGCATCAAAAGGCTTGGCAGTAAGTCAGAGAAAATTCTTTGCGCGAGGGAAGTTGATAGCTGATAGTTCCGAGAACTCACATTCTGCGAGACTTGCGTCCGTACAATTGCACTTATGAAGATTGTACAGTCCTGCGATCTACTTGTTAGCTGTGCAGGAGTTCATTTGCGGGAATAATTCTATCTAATTTTTCCCTAGTAATCAGTTACCGGATAAATTTCAGAATGAGCGTAGTTTTGTAAAGACAGAAGGAAAATTCCAGAGAGACAGAGATATATTTAGAGAGTCTAATTCCGTAAATTAAGATTCGGGCGCGTGAGTGTTTAGTGGATTGGATATTATACTATATTAGTCTCAGAGCTTGAACTTGTGAAATAAGGTAAGAAGTACAGATAGACGTATATATATCCTAATCCAGTGTTGAACTAGCCAGTAAATATCCACCGCAGGCTGTCCTGCCCATCTTATTACTTCTATAAATATAGATCCAACAGCACTATAGACTGAAATTAAAGAACTAGTAAGATTTAGATAATTCGGAACAGATTAATCTACTAATTATTAGAAGACCAAAACTACAGATACTTGAAAGTTTTCAAAAGTCAGGTGACAATTACTTTTGTTATAGGATAAAGAAAATACTCAGTATAAGATCTTTAATTTGATGCCTTCTTATCTATTTAAAGTTAGCAGCTTTTGAATGATCCTTTAAGGTGTTAGGTTTGTGTATATAATAGTGAATATTATCTACTATAGCCTTCTTGCAGACTAAGCACGTAGCTGATTAAAATGTTGATGAATTCATTGATAAGTGACCTCCACTGTCCTTTGCACTGTAATATCCTCTAACCGCCGTTGTGGTTGACCTGATTCCACATCGGGGCTGACTGAAGCCCCATAGCCCCTTTCTCCCCCAGCGGTCAAGCATAACTCATGTGCATCTGCAGTGCCATGCATCTGGCCGTCAGTATCGCGCATAATAGACTCAACGGAGCTGCCTTGATGGGTTGTAAACGTTGTAATGTTTCGGATTGCTGCTCGCGCTCGCTGTGGTGCACTCCGTGGTGTGGCTCGTCCTTGTTCCGGGTAGTTTGAGGGATCCGGGCTTTCTAAGCGGAAAACCGCACGGACGAGTGGCCACATTAAAGGTAGATTTGCGACGTAAACTGCGGTCGATACTTCAGCTGCATACCATCTCTACGGTAGACAGTCAGTACAAAGTCCAAGAGAAAGAGTGGTGACTGACCATGAAGATCATGGAACCGACAGTACTCAAGCTGTAGTATCGGTTAAGAACGGCCATTAAAACCTAGATATGTCAGAAAAGGGACAGCATGAGGAATGGTAATGCGTACAACCACAAAGCCAAGACCGAACACTCCACACACAGCAATTTTCCTGTGGCAGTTAGCTCTGAAGATAAATGAGCTTGGGGCTACTTACTTGCCCAGACGAAGGTGAGATCGAATAAACAGAGGTAATGGGATGCACAGCATTACCAAGTCAGAGGAAATGTTGAAAACGGCGGATACAATCATGTGGTTGAAATAAGTTGAACATTGAACTAGCCAAAACATCAGTGGAATTCAAGTGTTCCTTCGCTATTGACCGGACTTACAATTGTCGTCGACGTCCGGAGACCCTGCTTCTCATCAGCATCCTCGATTCCTTGATAGTGATCCAACGACGTACAATATCCTTCAATTGGTCGACACCAGACCGCGCAAAGCAAAACTTCGATCAAAATATAGGATAGCCCAACGTATACTGCAAGTATCTGAACTACGATATGCTCTTTCAATAAACGCCTTGACCAATGCTGTTAGCTCCTTGTTGACAATGTGTTCAGATCGACGTACGTTAAGCGGCTGTAGATGATCAAGAGGCAGCACTTGACTAGCCAGGTTGTCGCAGTGCAGAATTGCTCCATAGCAAAGCACATTTTATTTCCCCATATCAGTAGCTCTTGCGCATGCGGGGTTATTTCGTCGGCATGCACCTCTGGCCGGCTATTCACCCATCCCACTTGATTGATGCTGACCATTGCACCAGTGTATGTAATCTATTCGGCGATTAAACCAGATCCTCGGGTCGCTTGTGCTGGGCCTTACCGCAGTAAAGCACATAATGTAGTCATCGATTTTCAGTCTCTTCCATGACCCCTTTGCGATCCGTTGCGATATTCTAACTTCGTCAGTATTTGATTCGAATTTAGATCACACGGTGTAACGAACAGGCGACACCCAATGATTAGTATTCCTATGACAGCCAGTGTTAGAAGGAAGTTGCAATGGCCGGGTGGTGTGGAACTACCAATGACATATAAAAACCATGTTTCAATCGCGAGATCCCTGGAGTACTTGGTGAAGGATTCGCCCATGATAATTGTCACGAGTCATGAGTGATACTGCACGCAATGTAGCAATTAAATCCCATGACAAAACACTGCAATGAAAAAGTGGCACACCGTGGATATATAAGGTTTTCTTCAGTCTTCAATATGCGGCGTCTTCTTCTTATCTTCCACTAAATCCAACCGAATAAGCTTCACGCTATGTTAGACGCGATAACAGACTTCTAACTGGCAATACAAATGGCTGTCCGGACCAAAATAACCTTTCCCCGAGTCAATCCTTGTCATTTACGGAGTACGTACTAGTTAGCCTTTGGCAACATGTTTCAATTGTGCCGAAATTACCCCTAAGGGAGTGGGTCAAGAAGTAAGGTTATGGTAAGTGTATCCCGAGATGCAGGTGCAAGTGGGGATTCCACCTCCTGAGATTGGCGTCGCGCCATATCTTGGCGTGTTAAGATATTTCCTTGTGATATTTCCTCACAATCACCATTGAGTACAAATATTCCCATAAGTGTGATGATATTGTGTGTTCTTTGGTGGTCCGGTCGGAAAGATATCTGGTAGAAGGCCACCATGCCAGCCTTGATCAACTAAGGAGAGACGACAGACACAGTGGAGCCAGTGATGATCGTCGGTTCATGGAGGTCAGCATTACCGGCATGTGGATCGCAACGGTCGCGCATGTCTGGCCTTCCATCCACAGCATATCCTCTTTTGAAGTAATAGCCATATCAGGCATGCCTGAACTGTTAGGGCCAGACCATTACGGAAGCTGGAGGACGGAGCCGTGATCATATATTCATTGTAGAGCTAAAATCTCGAAATAAAATATTGACTGATGGTATTCCAAATATTACTAATAACCAGCTTTGCGGGGCGGGAAGCAAGTTATATCACCATCTTCATTAACAAGATGTCCTGTAGCACTCCTGTCAGCAAGTAGTCTGATATAATGTTGATAGATAGTGTAAGTACCTATAGGGAATGTGCTCTTGGCTACATATGCCCCCGTCACAGGATTTGGGGTTTTCGTTCTACACGTGCATTGGATATCGTGTCTTCTGACCGCCATGTCGAAAGGCTCTGGTATCAAGGTGCACCCATAACAATCACCACGTCGAAAAGCGCCCCCGCTGCGACCATTAGCCCTTATGCACTATCGTACGGAATCAAGGTAACATACTCCCATTGGCGAATTAAGACGCCTTGCGTCTTGTCGTACCCGAGGCAGTAGTTGAGATCTATACACGAATTTCGCTTGATTCTACCGTTGAATCGTATGCAGTCGGCGCAGAACACTGGTGCTGATGGATGGTGGTTGGCCATCTGGAACTCCTTCAGATACGCGTTGGTGCATTGTCCCACGTAGTCAACACGCCTGCCATCCCAAGTTACGGGCTTGGGGTCACGTTGAGGTGGTATTTGTTGCGCAGGCTGCTTATTCTGAGCGGGTGTCGATTGTTTGCGAGGGCGTTTGTTCCTGTTAGGTCGACTTTGGATCTGCATCTGTCCATCATCGGGTCTTTTTTCCACAGAAAGCCCACTGCCCTGACCGGACACCCAGCCACACAGATATATTGCGATAATAACGATCCAAAGTCGACGCATTTCGACTCCATGAAAAGGCGGACTAGTACTCACGAGCAACGTAATTGAACACTGGCCGAGCAAGAGGTTCTGGGCAAGTAAATATCTCTTCCATCGGGATCCACTATGCCTACTCGCCGTTAACCCCTTTCGAATCGCGCTCTCTATGAGATAATCTCCTGGGTCCTTTAATTACTGTCATGTAACCCCCTTCTTTATGTTGTCTTTGTTGAATGGGGTCGGGCAACAGGCCAAAGAACGGTGGCTGTTCTCGGCGTGCGGAGGCAGATTCGGGCGCACAAACTCAGTATGGCCAAGCGTCCCGATTGTGCGAAAATGCTTGGAGTCAGTGGAATGATGTATAATTACCTTTACATCCTTTTTACTGGACAGGTAAACAATCATCATTTAATCTGTTTTAGTGAAGCAGCCATCACCAGGGTGATCGCCGATGATTAGCCAAGTCATGATATTCTGAGAGTTCACAAATTGAATCTATAGTCACGTAGGCTCCATCGAGGAGGACGGTGTATAAGACGTCCGAGGCTAAGGTTCCCACTTAAGCGGCTGCTTCTCCACTCCGGTTTTAAGTTAGAAACAGAGCAAGCTTACCCCTGCTTGGGCCGCAGTGATTGAGCGCCATGTTCAAGGCTGAACCCGCCAGCAAGGCTCACACAGCCAGTAGCTACGGTAGGCCATGACTGGCGGCATCGTCCAGGCAGAGACCCACAGCAACGCATCCAGACCCAGCGTGCCGATCCTGGGACCGGGGAGCTTATCTTCGGGCTGCAGGGGCCGACCCCGCGTGTGGTGCTGCGTGATGTTCCGCAAGTTTAGGCATCGGAGGAGGGTTGTCAATATCTAGGCTCGAGACCCGAAGAAGCTTTGGACGCATATACTAAGTACGTAGAAACATAACATGGTTCTCAACCTCGAGCCAACGGCAATCTTGACATTAATAACAATGAGTGATAAAAGAGGGAAATGCGAAAAGATTAAACTATTGCTTAGAACTGTTCCTGCTGTATAGAAACAGGCGAGAAGAATATATGATATATTGGTATTGGTCCATTTTATGGCCTTGTTTTCGACTACGAAGTGAAATGACCTTGTTATAGCATCCGTTATTAAGCTAGACCTAAGTCACTTGTTATGCATTATTACCAACATAAATTGCTATTTCATATGTATCTAAGAGCTCTGGTAAAAGTAGGAAGCCTGAGATAAGATAAGAATACTGAGTGTTCAGGAAGTTACTATCTTAAACTAGAATATGCGTGCTTCACAGTCCGTGTGGACAGACGGCACCAAGGCTTTTGGGATACAGTACAAATTGACAAGGAAGATGAATTGGTAGGTATATTTGGAGCAGGTATCTACAGGGGGAAAGCCAATAATCATTTCTATTTAGTATTAGCTAACTCTTAACATCGGAAAGCAACGATAGCAAGTTCTTCATTAAACTGCGACTGTTCTCCATAGCTTTAGTATGTCGAAAGCCGTTTAGACGCCAGTGAGGAATTACAGTACGAGAGCATTCTTATGACTAGTATCAACACTCGACAGAAATAATTCTTGAACGCGTGCCGGCGAAATAAGCGATCACCTTCGAACCCACCACGATTCCCCACAGGTATCCAACAACCGGCCGTAAGTTGTAACCCAGGGTTCAACTGTCTTAGAGGCACCCACCCAGTGGGTGCCCCTCGAGGGAATACTTTATCTTAGGCGAATTTACGACTAGCAATGACACTAGAAATAAATGTTCAAACACGAGCTTCTGGACGCCTGGATTTGTTCTGGGGTTTCACACACAGCAGAGTATCCCAGTCAGACACTCACCGGGCCGAAGGCTGCTCGCTGCTTATTAGATTTATTTGTTGGAGTAGAAATTAAGTGTATTCAATGTTCCTGGTAAACATGAATAAATCTCAGAGAAAAACTTCGACTTCAGCAACTCAACCAAACTGGTGCCTAGGATGAGAGTCACGGGAGGCCCGGAGCCCTGATCAAGCACGCCGTTGTTGCCTCGACTAAAGATCAATCACATCATCACCTTTGCAGTAGAAGACCCACCCAAAGAAGATGGCTGACTGCGACAAGCATCTGCAGGCAAGGAGCTATCTTCGCTTGGGGTTAGTCTCACCGAACGAGGCCGACTGATCCGGGCCTTCCGACGGATTTTCTCCACCTATTCTACGAGGCTTGTACATACTACGTAGTAGTATGTCATCCCGCTGCGCTCCCATTGGCGCAATGAGCTGCTCTAATCGAGCTGTTCATGGCTGTAAGCACAACAAACAAATATACTTAAGCTGCTCTTTTTCCGTGGTTCCATGGGCCTTATCACTGTCTATCCCACCCCTCCACGCCATGCTCTCCCCAGCCCGCCTCCTCCCTCTTATTGGGAGTCTCCTCCCTTTAGTCTCCGGCCTGCCTACCACCGGCTCATCGTCTGTGGTTCTCCCTCCCAGTGTAGACCCTTTCTATACCGCCCCCCATGGCTACGAGAGTACCCTCCCCGGCGCCATTCTGCGCCTCCGCCCCGCTCCGGGCAATCTGACTGCGCTGGTCGGTAATGCTTCTGCCGCATACAACATCGTCTACCGCACCACGGACAGCCAATATCGCCCTTCGTGGGCTGTAACCACTGTCTTCGTCCCCTCCAACCCTCGTCCCGGCAACTCTTCCCTACTCTCCTATCAAATCGCATATGACTCCCACAGCATTAACGCCAGCCCCAGCTATGCCATGTACAGTTCCCCTCCTATCGATGTCTCCATCGCGCTGAGCCAGGGCTGGTACGTCAATGTCCCGGACTATGAAGGTCCTCTGGCATCCTTCACTGCGGGTGTTCAATCGGGCCACGCAACGCTCGACTCCATCCGCAGTATTCTCAAGTCCAACAACACCGCTTTCCACATTAAAGCTTCATCCGCCCGCACAGCTCTATGGGGCTACTCCGGCGGCGCTCTCGCCAGCGAATGGGCAACCGAGTTACAGGGACAATACGCGCCCGAACTCTCTCTTGCCGGAGCAGCACTCGGCGGTCTCACACCCAACATTACGAATGTCATGAACACCGTCACAGGGAACCTCAACGCGGGACTCATCCCAGAGGCGGTCCTCGGGCTGGCCAGTCAATACCCAGCCACCTACGAATACTTGGTGAACGAATTAAACCCAGCGGGAACACACAATCGCACGACCTTCCTCCTCTCGCGAAACATGACTCTGGCCCAGGCGGAGGCCTTCTTCGCAGGCCAAAATGTTTACGAGTATTTTGCCAACGGCAGTGACACCTTCAAGGCTCCTGTTGTGCAGCATGCGCTGAATCGCGACGGGTATATGGGATATCATGGCGTGCCGCAGACCCCCATCTATGCGTATAAGGCGATTCACGACGAGGTCAGTCCGATCAGCGATACGGATGTACTGTTGGAAAGGTACTGTGGCGTTGGCGTGAATATCTTGTATGAGCGGAATACTATTGGTGGGCATTCTGCGGAGGGTACGAATGGCCATGCGAGGGCGCTGCAGTTCGTATCTTCTGTTTTGGAAGGGTCGTATGCTCGTCTGTATCAGACTGTGGGATGCACGTTCAGGGATGTTTCGGTTAATATCACTGATTCGGCGCTGTGAAATGATGATGCTACCGTGTTGGCATAGATACGAGTGATGTTTGTATGGTTGTATAGTATAAGTATATATAGTTTGAGGTTGTTTTTGATCTGTACTTATGAGCTAAATCTGGAGAAAAAATGAGTTTTCTTGTCATGAGAATATAATTTCCTCGGTTTTATTATATACTTATTCGTTATACTCCATATATTGTTTCAACACTCTCGTATGTATGTATATCCCAAGAATCAGTATATTTTGCTTTTACTTGAGATCTCGTTTTCGTATTGTCCGGATTATCACCTACTCCGACACCGGTGCTTACCTTTTTCTTAATTCTATCAGTAGACGAGGCGGTAAAGGATCTTCGTGAAGAATACCCATTGCGGAGGGACGGCAAAGAATCAAATTGCCAGTCTTTCATTGGGCCGGTACCTCCGATGTGCGGGGATGATGGAAAACTAAAAGAACAAAGGAAAAGTGATGGCTGAACTTTATCCGGATAAGGCAATGTAATGGACTCGCGGGGTCTTTGCTGAGGAGTTCTATCGCATCTTGATGGGATTTGAAAGTGTTTTTATGACCGCTGATAGACTGAAGCTGGCAACGGATACTGGTATTGTTCTGTGAATTCGATTTAGGAGGATTATACCCCCTAGAATAAACTATGTGTTTACTTTCGATTCAATAGAATATTGATCAATCTAGTCGTGGCATGTCGTTCCTATCAAAACCCGAATACCCAAGAGAAACAAAGCTCCATGTGGTCCATGATTTCATCGCTGAACACTAAAATAAGAAAAGAACGGAATGTGCATGGTTCACCTAATGTCTCAAGGCGACCTGGGTTCCATTTCTCGAACACAACGTCAAGGTCAAGTTCTCCTCCCACGGGCCTGGATCCCGACTTTCCAACACGGAGAACTGCTGTGCAAGTCGCACGGTGACGTAGCCGGCTTCGGTCAGTGCATATTGTTGGCCGACACAGATACGGGGCCCGCCGTTGAAGGGCAGGTACTCCCATGACGGTCGCAGATCGGCCCAGCGCTCGGGGCGGTACTCGTTCGCATCGGGGCCATAGAAGTCTTCGCGACGGTGCATCGAGTATACGCTGTAAGCAACGATCGAGCCCTTGGGGACGAAAACAGGCGCTTGGCCATCCGGGCCGCCACCGACGGGAAGGACCGTATCATTGACGGCGAAGCGGGCGTTGGAGGGCACGACGGGGTGCATACGCAGGGCTGATTGGTTAGCCGATGGACGAACAGAAAAACAGGGTCATCTCCCGGGAAACTCACATTCGTTCATGCAGTACTTGAGATAGGTGAGATTGCGTAGTTGTTCATAAGTCGGAGCGCGACCTTCCAACGAGGCGACCTCCTCGCGCAGCTTGTTCCAGATGCGGGGGTTCTTCGCCAGCATGAAAAACATGTTGCTCAGCAGCGATGCCGTAGTATCCCGACCAGCGAGAAGCACATTCATCAACTCATCCCGAATCCGCGTACGATCACCGGTTTGGTGCGCCAACCCTTGCAAAAACAGATACCTCTGCTTTTTCTTGTCGTCGTCGTTTGCCGCAGCCTTCTCCTCGTCGTAATTGGCACGATATTTCAACGCCTTTTCCACAAACTGTTCAACCAACTCATGGCACACCTGATTGCAGTGTTCCGCCTTAGCATCTCGGAAAAAGTGTCTCAGCGGGCCCAAACGCGTATTTTTCGCAATGGCGTCCTGCGCATAATTGAACGAACTGGCGAAATCCTTGTCGTCCAGTTCCACCCCCGAAATCCGTTTCTTGAGGGACTGGACGCTGTGTCCGAATAGGAATTCCGTCGCCGAATCGATCGTGTAACAGAAGAACAACTCCTGCAGGTCGACCATGGTGCCGTCGGTCGGGATCAAGGCCAGCAAATCGGCCATGAGCTCCTCGAAGATGTCCAAATGCGCGACCTGATCCTTGACGAAGTTGGGACGGATCATGGCGCGCGACTGCGCCCAGTGGTCGCCGTCCGTCGTGAAAATTCCATGACCGAGCAAAGGGCCGAATGCGTCGATCCGATTGCCGAGTCCGAAGTCTTTGAATTTCAGGGACAAGATCGTTTTGATGTTCTGGGGTTCGCACGTGACGATGATAGGGGTCCGCAGACGTCTGGCGCGAAAGGTGTTTCCAAATTGACGGAAGCGAGACCGCGAGCGTTCGAGGAGGATGTGCTTCTTGGCGGCATCGAGGTTGTCGCGAATGTTGTCGAGTCCCAGGAAGGGGTCTTTGTTGACATGGCAACGTACCGGTTGACAATTGTTCGCACGGGCGATGCGGTATTGAGTATATTTCCGCTGGAGGGCGGTCACCGTATAAACAAGGAAGACCACAGCGCCTGCAAGCAGGGCGACTGGGTAGTGGGAAGAATTCAAGATCATGATGGTTGAGTCACTCGCAAGACCAAGAAGGCGGATGTCGACCCGGGGTGGTGGGGAAGCTTTATATATACCTTCCATGTAGACAAAGAGTTCCAGGGGCAAGCTCCCGCACCTGACAGCAAATCTAACCTTCGTAGGAGCATTTGCCGAATCTCAACCATAGAACGCTTTCAGCGTTTTTTGGGGGGGAGGGGGGATCCACAATCAATGAAGGAAAACCGACAAGACCGAGGCCAATGGTTCTAGCAGATGAAAGTGTTCTCGCAAGGTTTACCAAATGGGCATAGTCTCACGTTATGCCGAGATTTGTGAATAATCGTCAGAGTTGAACCGAACCGAAAAGGATTCCTCAAGGTCTCAGTAATCAATATCACATACTATCACTCGACTGTTACGCCGAGGATTATCTCAAAGCTATCTATAGTACTAGTGTTATCTAAAAAACATATATATATTTAAAATATTCTAGAAGAGCAAAAGGTGAAATATAATATAATCATCGTCATCATTTATTTCTGCATGTGAGTCCGACTAGGACTCGATCATCATACTCTAAGCAGTTTCGAGTTAGAGTGGGATGATTTAAGCCTTTGTCTCCAGGCCCCAAAGGGTTGCAAATGCACCGCCTCTCGGTCTGGCCGTCTTGGTGAACGCCACATCTCTCAAGCATTCCCTAATCCAGTATAGTTTGATTATGCCAGGTATTCTCCCTTACGGACCCGCTCCACCAAACCCCTCAAGACTCCTCCTAACCACTCAAAGTCCCGTGACTCCAGATATACTTGAGCACTCAGACGCGTCCACAACCAATCACCATGTTGGAAAACCGGAACGAAGGTTTCAAACTCGTCTTTCAAAGTCACCTGCAGAAAATGCACCACCTTGCTGACGTCCTCAGCAGCCACCGGAAGGTAAGGCGACGACAACATTCCATTGTCCTGTCCATCCACCGCGATCGGTAGTCGGACTGTGGACATTCCGCACCGACGGATCTTACTCTTATCCCCGGGACGGAGATCGGGCTCTTGCAGGACATCCGTGCCGAGCGCAGCTGCAACAATGTCACCGCCTTGGATCGCGAGCTCCTCAAGGTATTTAAATATAGCGTCATGTCCACCGCACACGTCAGTGCGGAAGCGGACGGCATCAGGGACCGTCAGATACGCTGCATCATCACTCGTGGCCACAAATTGGAAGAGCTCCTCAAAGGCGGACCGTTGGCTCCCCACCGGCGTCAGAATATTTGGCTTGTCCGCCGTGGATGACGTCGGATCTGCTATAAAGCCCCAGGATGTTGGAAGCGTCGTCCGGATCAGATGCTGATGGCGCACCGGAACGTATAAGGCTGCACAACCACGGGGGACATAGAGCCATCTACACAACATCATTAGCGTCCTTGCGAATTACCCCGAGGGCCAGTTGAGCTGTACTTGTGCAAATTACTTGTGAAGAAATCGGGTTGTAACGCCTTCAGGTCCAACGGAATCTGCCCAATTCCATGGGCGCCATCAATAACACTGAGAATCCCTTCATCCTTGCAGACTCTGGTCAACTCCTCAAAGGGAAACCTCATCCCGGGGAGACTAGTCACGGTGTCGAAGACCGCCACTTTCACGTTGAATCCTTCTGATCGAGCTTGTTCTACAACATCTCGGAACTTCTGCACAAGAGTCTCGTGGCTAATAGGGCAAATATAATCAACTTTTCTTGCCTGAAGCGGAGTGGTTTCGGTTAACGAGGTGATTGTCTTCTCAATTGCCCCGTATATGGTCGCGAAGTATATAATCACATCTCCCGCCTTATAGCTGAGATTCCGGAGGATAGTGTTCACTCCGGTTGTGGCATTCTTAACAAACACCAGCTCTTGCAGGGGGACGTTGAGAATTTTGGCAGTTGCCAGGCGCGACTCATCCAGCAGTTCGCCATGGGTGTAGCGGATGAAAGGATCTGGCCGCGCTTCGATTTCGTCCTGGTACTTGCGGAGCGCATGTTTTACATGGGCTGGATATGTACCGAAGGACCCTGGTGTACCGCGTAAGCACTTTGAATATTAATTTGCAAAGAAAAAGGAAAGAATGAATAAAACGACAAAAAGTATTTCCAAAAAGTGGCTCGGGTCATGTTCACATGTATACTTATAATGCATGGTTACAGCACGATGTGGATGCACTTACCATGGTTGAGATTTTTATATTTGGGATCGAACAGGAAATGCTTCAACATGGGAGCTCCGAATGGAGTTCGTTCGTATGAAGGAGATGCCATTCTATTTGCCTGGTTGAGTAATCCACAGCATCTACTGATTTCACGAAGTATGGTGACTGAAGATTAATAACGTGGTTTGGTTAATACGTGACATACTTAAATTACTGATCAGGCTTCGACAGGGATGGAGATCGAAAGAAACGTCATTTCACCGAGACTACTCCGCCAATCAAACAGCTCGAAATCGTCGGGAACAAGCCCCGCTTTTCACGCCCTTGACATGACCATCGGATTGTCATCCCGAAGACTTTTGTTGTTCGCTGTTGGTCTTCGACATTCCCATGGAACATTTTGGAACCTGCTTCTGACCGACTCCGCCAAGTAGTAGTATTCAGCGACTGACTGATTATGGAGTTAGAAACACGGCATTCTACGAGAGAGGAAGACCCCACCAGGTCCAGCCTCTTGACTGACGAACCACACAATGAACTTCAACTTCCCCCCGTCGATGGTGGAAAAGATGCATGGTTGTTCTTAGCGGCTGGCTTCATGATGGAAGCGCTTGTTTGGGGTGAGTTCCTCAACTCTTTCCACTCATATGGTCACTTTCTTACGGCTCGCTCAGGTTTCTCTTTCGCCTACGGCATCTTCCAGGACTTTTACAGCACGCACGAGCCTTTCAAAAGCTCAGGGAACCCGGCCGTGATTGGAACATGCATGATGGTGCGCGAATGGTTTTCTTCGCTGAAAGGCTGTTGAGGTTGCATACCCTAACGATGTTCTAGGGCGTAAACTACATGATCTCTCCTTTGACTTTTGCCCTGCTACAGGGATTCCCCGTTCTTAAGCGGTGGTGCTCCGCTGTCGGGCTTCTCATTATGTGTCTGGCTCTCGTCCTGAGTTCTTTCGCGTCTAACACCACTCACCTGATTCTAACCCAGGGCATCGCCTGCGGGATTGGAGGCAACCTTGCTTATTCACCCATGATTATCTTCATGAATGAATGGTTTGTGCACAAAAGGGGCCTTGCTTTTGGGACCATGTGGGTAAGCGCTCCTTCAGGACCCTCAACCTTCCTGTCATCGTGGTGACGCTAACTATCCTACATATAGGCCGGAACTGGTGTCTCTGGTGTGGTACTGCCCCTGGTGCTTCAATGGCTCCTGGATGCTTACGGTCACAAAACCACCCTGCGCATCTGGGCCGTGACTCTGTTTCTGTTAGCTGCTCCGCTGCTCTATTATGTGAAGCCTCGCTTGCCCATTTCGCGTGCGTCAAGCGTCCGAACGTTTGACTTGAGTTTCCTCTGGTCGCATACGTTCCTCATTTTCCAAATGGGCAATATCGTCGAGGCCCTAGGATATTTCTTACCAACAATTTACTTACCTACCTTCGCACGCACTCTGGGCGCCAGTACGATCCTGGCGTCTTTGACCGTCATCTTATGCAACCTTGCATCGGTCTTTGGATGTATCGCCATGGGCCATCTGGTTGATCGGTACCATGCGACTACCTGTATCCTAGTGTCCACTATAGGTAGTACGCTGGCTGTGTTTTTTCTGTGGGGATTTTCCATGTCGTTGGCGCCCCTCTACGTGTTCAGTGTCGTCTATGGCCTTTTTGCTGGATCATTCACCTCAACGTGGCCGGCCGTCATGAGCGAGGTGGTGAAGAAGAGCCAGCTGGCGGATCCCTCGATTGTCTTCAGTTTCTTGGCAACCGGCAGAGGAATCGGAAATGTTGTCAGCGGACCGTTGAGTGACGCCCTGATCAAGGGCTCATGGGGCTATGACCCTTCGGCCTTTGCCTATGGCACCTCTTATGGCGCCCTCATCGTCTTTACGGGAATAACTGCGCTATTTGGCGGATTAAGCATAGTCGGAAGACCCTTAAAACTGATCTAAGCTCAGGAATGGCAAGTCCGGCACCTGGGGCTTCATGCGGGGCCCAAGAATGCCCTGACCTGTCCCAATTCGTGTTATATACATATATTTACTTCATTAAGTGGAGTATGAATGATATGCTTACCATCGTACGACGCCCAGAAGTTATAATCGGCATTTGCGCCCGCCGATAAAATATGACGGAGTGACGAAAAGGAAAAGCAATTTTCGGTGTTAAAAACAAAAGTTCCTACGGCATCTACCAGATCCACACATTATACGCATTAAATATATTGGTATCGGCCCCTCGGCGCTCAATCAGGTCATCGAGAACTAGGCATCAAAAAGCGTTGTTCGTACGAAAGGTTTCCACATTAACGCCGAGTTCAGTTTATCTAGATGACGACCCAATTGATTTATATTCTGATATAGCACCAAAACTTTCTTAGTTCATGTCTCAAGCCTTACCCCCACTGGCCACGCTTAGCACGGTCTTCCATTCGATCTCATCAGGTGTATCAGCGTGGATGGATAGTTTGACATCAAGAGCGCTCCGCAGCTGCTCTTTAGTGCTCGCGTAAAGCATACACAGCTAGATATTCTGCTCAGACTTGGCCCAGATATGCAACTCAATGAAGGGGAGGTGAACTCACTTTCAGCGGTGTGCTAGCAGGTACCCAACTTATAAACACTGTCTTGCACCGCTTGCCATCTTCTCCAAGGTCATACTCAACATCATAAACGGCATAACGTGGGGCTGGGTTGCCGCGACTATCCACAGTTGAGCAGAGCCTCTGACGGAATGTTTCAAAATCCTGTTCTGCAGATGATTCTTCTACTACAACAGCGGTTTGGTCATCCGAGATCCGGTAAATCACAAATGATGGCTTTTTTGGCCCTCTTCCGGAACGGAGTTGCTTGTAGGCGGTGATGCATTCATCCGATATGGAAACACTGTGACTTTCTAGTTAGTAATGATTCCAGGAATTTGTGATATATTAAAAAGGGTCGATAGATTCAGCAGCATACCCCGATGGCATCTATAGACGGACTTGGGTAAGCGAAAGTCTTCAAGGAGTAGGACGAGAATACGCACCGACATGTTGATCGCTAGAAACTGAGATGGACTAAAGTCTGCTAAAGAGCCTGAATTTAATTCACTGAAGCCGACATTGATTTCTCACTTTATATTTGTTCTAGCTAGGCTGCTGTATTCTATAGAAAAATGAATGCCTAAGGAAGATTGCGCTGATTTGCTTGGCGGACTCCCGGGGCCGCGCAATCCGGCATGCCGAGAGGAATAATGGTTGAATCATGAACCCTAACTCCTCCTGATAGCGACGCGCAATCAACTTCACCAAGGATCTGTTGCCTGAAAATGTTGTTATTTTTCAAATTCACCTAGTTTTCAAGTTCATGGGACCATGAAGAATATTTGAGCTGCCTAAAGTAAACCCTTTAGGCAATTATGTTATTTTATCTATAAGTACGGCGTATGTTATTGCCCTCGTTTGCGATTAAGCTCATATTTTAAAGCTACCCGATCTCACAATTTAACCATTGCTGTGATACTCCACTCTATCTGTATTCGGAGCTCACTTATCTTCTTTGACTATCATATTATAGCCATCATGGACGGTAAATATTTCCTATTTTCCTTCCTGTGGCCTGGAGCATACATACCTTTGTACGTCTATATAAGTCACGGGTTGCTAATATAGCTCATGAGTTTACAGACGAAGTTGCTGCCGTTGTTATTGATAATGGGTATGACGATCACGCCTGGCAGTTGATTATAAATGCTAAAGCAATCATTCAGTTCCGGAATGTGTAAAGCTGGCTTTGCTGGCGATGATGCTCCCCGGGCCGTTTTTCGTGAGTCAATTCTTTCTACTCTGAAGGAGCTGATTCCATGTATAAGAACTGACGATTTTCCACAGCTTCCCTTACTGGTCGTCCCCGCCACCATGGGTAATCCACCCCTTTTTCTTTTGTCAAATGAGGACGACTATCGAAGCACAACTCCCCTGATCTCACATTACCCCAGTCGCCTACCACTTCAGATCTGGTCAAGCTGCTAAAACCTTCCATAGAATCATGCTTGGCATGGGCCAAAAAGACTCTTACGTTGGAGATGAAGCACAGTCCAAACGGGGTGTTCTTTCGCTCCACTATCCGATTGAGCACGGCATCGTTAACAACTGGGATGACATGGAAAAAATATGGCATCACACCTATTTTAACGAGCTCCGCGTGGCACCCGAAGAACACCCCGTTCTGCTGACAGAGGCTCCCATCAATCCCAAATCTAATCGGGAAAAGATGACTCAGATCATGTTTGAAACCTTCAATGTGCCAGCCTTCTATGTTTCTATCCAGGCGGTGTTGTCTTTGTATGCCTCTGGCCGCACTACTGGTATTGTCCTCGATTCCGGTGATGGCGTCACGCACGTCGTTCCAATCTACGAAGGTTTCTCTATGCCACACGCCATCGCTCGCATGGACTTGGCTGGCCGTGACCTGACAGACTACTTGGGTAGAATTTTAGCAGAGCGCGGCCATAGCTTTACCACATCTGCCGAGCACGAGATCGTGCGCGATATCAAAGAGAAACTCTGCTATGTGGCGCTTGACTTTGAACAGGAGCTCCAAACCGCCGCTCAGAGTTCCAGTATCGAGAAATCCTACGAGCTGCCGGATGGACAAGTGATCACGATCGGCAATGAGCGCTTCCGGGCACCCGAAGCTTTGTTTCAGCCAAGCTTGCTGGGTATTGAGCAAGGCGGTATTCATGAGACTATATTCAACTCGATTCAGAAATGCGATGTCGATGTGCGCAAGGAATTGTATGGTAATATCGTCATGGTATGTGTCGCCTCCCTTTTATCACTCCCTGTTCTTCTCCTTCTAGTTCCTTGAAGTGACGTAGTAGAATACGTTCAACTAACAATCCGTCGGTATCTAGTCCGGCGGTACTACTCTTTATCCCGGAATTGCAGACCGACTGCACAAGGAGCTTGTGAACCTGTCTCCTTCGTCGATGAAAATCAAGACCATTGCTTCACCGGAAAGGAAGTACTCGGTTTGGATCGGTGGCTCGATTCTTACTTCGCTCTCTACTTTCCAGCAAATGTGGATTACCAAACAGGAGTATGACGAGAGTGGTCCTTCTATCGTGCATCGGAAGTGTTTCTAGGCAGTTATACGGTAACTATGGTGGCATGGGAGGTTAGGGGGAACCGAGTCCAGATCAGTGATAGTTGCGTAAGTAAAAGGTCAATGTAATGCTTTCATTCATACTGTGTAAATACGGAAATTTAATGATGTGCAAAAGCAATAGAAAAGAACAGACCGTACGACATCCTGTACACACTATTGCTGTTGCCTGGCGTAGATAGGGAAGCGGTCGCAGTCTTGGCAATGAGATATTTGTTCTGAAACACTAGGTTTGTTACAGATACAGCGCAAGGCTAGAAAAGAATCAAATAAATGAGTGGTCTGCACTACATAGGGCTTGGGAACTGACATCCATACTAGGAAGTAGTCATACTATGTTGAATCGCGAACGCCCCGGACCTCCAACCAATCAGCAACGCGGATTCTAGCGGAAAGCCGGAAGCCGCGGACCCGGGCATCCGAGGAGGACCGGATGTATCAACTTCTCCTCGTCCTTCCATTCTCCCGCTTTTGACTTCATCATTCGGTAAAGGGCTTTTCAACGGGTCAAATGGCCGGACCAGAGAGGAAAGAGACGATCCAAGCCAGACGGCACCGACTTTCCGTAATCCCCCGTGCAGTATGATCTACGGACCCGGAAAATATTCCCAAGTAACGCAACGTAGCTAACGGACTTGCAGTGTGAGGCGTGTAAGATACGCAAGGTACTGATGTCCGAACCCACCCCGAGACTCCGAAACTAACGAGGAGGAATTTAGGTTCGCTGTGATCGCTCCGTCCCTTGTTCGAATTGCCGTTTGTCCGGCATCACCTGCGAACAGGCCACTCCTAGACCTAGGTCGGAAACTCGTCCTAGACCGGAGCAAGACCTGTAGGATTGAGATGAAAGACAGTTTGGGACTAGATACTAATGAAATACCAGGCAGGAGCAGATCAAGTGCCTAGAAGAGCGACTTGGTTCGCTGGAACAGCAGTTGAAAGCTCAACGTAGTATATCGGAGCATCGCAGAAATACTGTGCCCAATGAAGTGCCGGCTGGGAGTGAGGAAGCTGTACCGCAACCGACCGGCAATGCTTGTGTATATGAGGGTATCTCTTCGTTTACCAGTCAGTCTCTCCTAGCAAGCGATGTTGCTCAGAAGACAGCCAATTCGGAAGGTGCCGGAGAACATTCGGATCTCAAGTCCTCGTTGGACTATCTGAAGACACTGCTCCGGACACCAACAAGATCCTCTCACGCAACAGAGTATCGAATGTCTCGAGCTCCTGCAGCACGGTCCTTACCCACGATGGACCATTTATTGCCCCTCAATCTTATCATTGCCCTTCTACAAGAGATAAAGGGTAAGTATCTTACATAACAGACACAGGGTAGTCCTTGGTTGGAGATAGTTACTCAGATTGACATTGTAGTGAACCGTCCGATATTCCTTTGTTCATATGCGATAAACGATCGAACCTTGGTCGAGCGCCTTTGCCAGAGGGTCTATTTCCCGACAGAGCCAATCTCAACGGGTCACCTAGCCGGCATGCACGGAATCATTCTTACTCTCCTGAAAGAATTTACGATTATGGGAAACCCCTTGTGTCAAAAGTTTGACCTCAAGGCGCATATTTCCACGTGTGAACAAAACTTCAATACCTTGGTCGAGTCGTACGATGTTTTGGCAATTCCTAGTTTTGAAAGCATATTCGCACTGATCATGGGGGTAAGTTGTGTCTGATAAGTATCAGAGAATACCGACTGACATCGTTTTCTCTTCCGCTACTGTGGTCAGTTCATAAAAGCGCAGGATGAAACCAAGCCATTGCTATGTTCTACTTTCATCTCTGCAGCTGCTAGCCATTGCCAGATGCTCGGGTACCATCGTGAAATAACGTATCGCGGTGATAACACGGGAAATTCGGAGAATATGCGGCGACTATTCTGGACTACATACGTCTTTGAGAAGCATATGTCGTTGTACTTTGGGCGAGCTTCGAACATGCAGGATTTCGATATTGATGCACAATACCCGGCCATCACCACAGACCCTGCGGTCAGGCCGTGGGATGCGTCCTTTGTCATGGGGATTCGACTAGCTAAAATTCAAGGGGAAATATATGACCAACTCTATTCCGCAGAGGGCTCCAAGAATCCTCATCCGGAACGAATGCAACGAGTACACAGACTAGCAATTAACATTCAACAATGGTACACTGAGTTCAAGGAGGTGAGAAAGCACATCATATCCGACCACGAATATGTTCTTACTGATAGTAACCTCTCCGTCTTCTAGATCGATGCAAGCAAAGTAAACAACCATCACATATTCAAAATAACCAGAGATAGCTGGGATATACTATATTATTCGACCTTCACGTCGCTATTGCGCGCACCGATCACATCAGGTGCTGCATGCGCCGAGCTTAGCTCACAGTGCTTTCGGGTTGCGCGTCTTAGCTTACAGAGCCACCTACGCTGCTTTGGAAATTTCCAGAACTCTAGCTTCCACTCCAAGGCCGATTATGCTAATTGGTCTGTTCCCCACAAGATCCGCTATCCTGAGAAATATAGCTAATATAGGCAGGGTTCTGCTATTTTCTTCCTTCACACCTTTTATCGTCATATTTCTGCACGCTATCGCAGCAACCAGTTCTGACGACATCCAACTACTTTACGAGGTAGTTGACAGTCTGCAGCACATCCGATATGTATCACCTAGCTCAGAGCGTCTGTATCAAATTTGTTCCACCTTCTTGCAGATTGCCAAGGGCCTGGTTAAAACAAGGCAATCATGCGTGGGAGCCTACAACCCGCTAGAAGACAGTCTACAGTTCGCGACAGATGCAGGCCCGATGTCGATCTTTGAACCTGATTGCCTGCAGGGTCTCTTCGGAGCGGATACGTCAGAACACGTCCCTTACTTGGCGGATCACGATATGTGTGCGATCTTTGACTCTTGGGCCACTGGATTGCCTGCTGGGATGAATTTATTTGGGGGTAATATCGGAGGAATATAGCCATTCAGATAGCATTAGCATTGCTCTTTTCTGTTTCATGTGTATTACCCAATTTCAAATAACTTAGACCTGTGGATAAAATGACACCCCCTTGCCTCGGGCCGAACCTACTTTCGTGTAGACAAACAATAAATAATCTGATATATAAACCCGGATTTTCCATTTCTCGATACTGATTGGCTTAGAAGCCATTGGACTGAGCGATTTCTCGCTCTATGCGTAGTATAAAAAGTAAATAATTAATAGAAATGATAGATTATCAGATTGTCATAGCCTATACTGCGTTGATGTGACTAGTCAGCTGCAATTACACTACAATTCCGTAAGGGGGCTAATGCATATCTTTTGAGCTCACATAGAGAACTATCTAAGCGGGTTCCAGGTCAAAATCTGATATTATGTGTCAAAGCTCAACAGGGAATGTGATACGTATCAGCTTTGCGTATAGATATCGCTTGACGGTGGATCATTCCGGTTCGGTAATTCGCTTTTACATAGTACAATGCATGCTTTTTTCGATTGCGAGCTAATTTCATACGTCCGCTCTGGGCACCCGTCAATCAACATCTCAAATATACTGAACTCTACTATTTGGCTTAGATTTTGGCATTCATTGTATTGGATAGACATGATTAAACGATTAAATCATACATAGAAATACAACTAAGCAATACGAATGAGGTGACACCCCAGATATAAGTCACCATTGAATCGAGAAACCAATTTACTAGCAATCTGAGTTGCAGTTGTAGTTACTTGATATTCAAAAGGTTCCTGGAGCCGCTCTTGTGGATGTATCCCTTCGTTAAGATCTATGTTAATCATCTTCATTAACGTCATGCCGTCTAATAAGCCACCAAGAAGCTATACAGAAAGACGTTGGTATTTGAGAAGATTTCTCTAATAAGTCTGTATACTTGCTGGGCTACATGGGGCATTTTCAGTTGGAGTTAACCTTTGTTAGGTTATGCGGATAATAGGTATTGCTAGTAGGCCCAGGGAATCCTTCACTCACCCAGGATCATTACCTTAATCCTATATGACGTTTATATTCTCAGCTGAAGAAACCTATTATCGGTGCTATGTCTGGACATCCTGTGGTGGGTTGACTTGCATGAATCCCAAGGTCTGGGAGACATATTTCATTCTTTCAGCTTTTCCTTCCAACAATACCACGTCTGACGTGAACCTATGTGGCCATTCATTGAAGGGGCTCGGAAGAATTGGTCACGCTAAGCAACGGAGCTACCGTTAGCTTCCCTGCGGAGGTTTACCCTAATTCAGTCAGAATCAAGGGACTGATTGTGGAGATCTACTGTCTACTCGCTAATTAAACGACCCTAAACGCCCACCGTGCTGTTGTCGATGTGGGCTTACTAGGAAGGATTTCCTCAAGGACCAAAATCGTAGCTATTGAACATGGTAGAAGGTGTGGGAACGTATACGGCTACCTTTCTTCAGAGAGACTATTTTACTGTGGGAATAACAGAAATTATATCCATATATATGTCGATTGAGAGTCTTCGCCTTATTTTGTGACTTTGACGCATCTGGTCTACGTAACACTGAGGGGTGGTTCGCAGCAACGCGACAATCCTTATTTGCTTTAAAAGAGGATAGCCAATGGTTGCATGTAGATATTCTAACCAGGCCGACTAGTCACTACCACGATTCGTATGGTTAGTGACTATCGAGTAGCTGACCCACGTTTAATATATAAAACCGTTTGTCTCGGACCCAACAGTGGCATGATATTGATGTGGAGGAACGGTGAGAGAGAGACAGACCAATAAAAAAGGAAACAAATGGGGATAGTGAAAGAAAGGGGAAATGATTGTCGTTCGTTTAAAGAAACCCAGAAAATCATTCTTCAAAGAGACAAATTCGGGGAATATCACAGGGGACGCGACATTTTGTGCTGTAGGTAATATCTTAGACTTCGGCCAAGAGGAAGGCGATGCTTGTTAGCACTTGCGCCCCCACTCCGATCGCTCTTGTTCCTCCGCTCGTCCTTCAGTTCGGCAATACCACAATAGCGATTTCTCGGGACATGTTATGCCGCAGCTTGATCATCCTAGGAAGGGCTATACGTTTGTTAAGGGAATGAAGCGCCCGGTCTTGCATTTAATATATTAGCAATGCCTTTCGGGCTATTATACCCCCGTAATATAGCGTAATGCATCTTCTCAAAGCTTGCTCTAAGCCCATTCTTCATAAGATCATCATTCAGTAAATCTGTTGTTACGCACGGCATTGGGTCATGTCCTTCAGTTAGACAATATGCGATTCCGGTTGGGGGAATTCCCTGGAATGGTAACAAAAACACCCCGGCTTGCGTGCGTAGCATATAAATATGCGTATATGCCCCTACCATATTGAGCTCTCCACTCAACGTCTGAGCACGAGTAGATGCACGTTGTCAGTATGCCGTCGAAACCATTCTCTGTTTTTTCGTCCTTTCTGCTCCTCGTTGCTACCGTCCAGGGTCAACTATCGGGCTCCGTCGGTCCCTCTACCTCCCATTCGGACAAGGCAGCAGTGAAGACCTGTAACGTCCTTGACTATGGCGCGACCAATGACAACACAACCGATGTTGGGCAACCCATCATGGATGCCTTCGAGGACTGTGGATCCGGGGGCGTCATATACATCCCAGAGGGAGACTATCTGCTGCAAGAATGGGTTTCTCTCGAAAATGGCACCGCTTTCGCAATCCAGTTAGACGGGGTGATCTACCGAAACGGAACCACGACCTCTCAAGGGTATATGTTTGGTATCTCTGGCGGCAGTGACTTTGAACTGTATAGTAGTACGTCGAAGGGAGCAATCCAAGGTAGTGGATATCTGTATCACATGAACGGACAGTTTACGGCACCAAGATTGCTTCATATATCTGGAGTGTCGGATTGGTCGGTTCACGATATCGCTTTGGTTGACGCACCTATGTTCCATTTCGTCATTGATGATGGAAGCAATGGGGAGGTTTATAACATGGCTATTCGCGGAGGGAACTCTGGTGGTCTCGATGGAATTGATGTGTCTGGGGATAATATTTGGATTCATGATGTGAGTTATTCTTCGCGGACAGTGGATAAAGTATGAGTGCTGACCCTCTGTCTAGGTCATGGTGACAAACAAGGACGAATGTGTCACGGTCAAGGTATTGCGCCTATTTCTGCTACAGGAACAGGTAAAATGCTAACAGATATAATTCATTCTGATAGACTGGCTCCCACAACTTCCAGATCGAAAACATATACTGCAATTGGAGTGGTGGGTGTGCTATGGGCTCGTTAGGTAGCGGAACGAATGTCAGCAACATTGTCTACCGCAATGTTTATACATGGAACTCGAATCAGATGTACATGATTAAGAGCAATGGCGGCGACGGCGAAGTGTCGAATGTTCTGTTTGAAAACTTCATTGGTTCGTACATCTAGGGTTGCACCAAAAGGCCCTGAATGAGGCTAACGTGACATTCTAGGACACGGAAATGCCTACTCGCTCGACCTTGACAGTGAGTGGAGCAGCATGGATACCATTGACGGTGACGGGATCTTCTATCATAACATAACATTTAAGAACTGGAAGGGTACTGAGTCAGATGGCCAAACACGACCACCAATTCGGGTCATCTGCCCAGACGCCACACCCTGCACAGATATCACCATTGAGGACGTCGACCTCTGGACAGAAGACGGGGACTCTGAGACCTATGTCTGTAAAAATGCATATGGTTCCGGTGCGTGCATCAAGAGTGATTCTTCTTCCACGGCTACATACGCAAGTACAGCTACGGTGACCGCTGCACCTACTGGCTATTCAGCCACGACTATGGCAGCGGACTTGACAAGTGCTTTCGGAACTGATGCCTCTATCCCCATCCCAACTATTCCGACTTCGTTTTACCCTGGAGCAACGCCATACAGTGCCCTCGCGGGTAGTTCGTAAGTGGTATGATAGGCACTCCAAGAGTTGTTAAAGCTTGCTGATTTGCGCATCTAAGTTGAGGAATCAAAGGAGATCGAATTTATTGTTTAATTAGCTACTCTATATTTCAATCAATCACGGGTTCCTGCACAGTAATATCCCGAACGTGAGTAATACTTGTACAAATCCTTCCAAATAGTTGGCAAAGGCTGTCGTTCGGAGCCTGATTACCTCTAGCAAGGGAGCCCCCTGATAAACCTGGACCATGGAATGACCCGTGACCTGTTTGTCAATTTCCGTATTGGATCTAGCGTGACACGTGGATCCCTACGGGCGAAACGCCAATCGGAAGTGATTGAAGGGAACCTCACTTCGTCCTCCACCAATACAGTTGTTTGAACTTTGACAAAAATGGAGTTGAAACACATTCTTATCCTCGCAGCCATCTATATCTGTATGACCACACTTGATATGTTAATTTGAATAAATCTTGCTGACCAGTTTAGTTTTCCGCGTCCTCAAGAGCCGTGCCTCTGACCCCGCTGCCACCATGCCCCACGGAAAAGTTGTCGAGGTTGACAAGTACGGGACGCCCCTCATGCCATGTCCCTTAACTGACCATTACTAACCCCCATCTCTCTAGCCCTGTCATCTTCAAGGCCCTCACCTCCTCCGGTCCCGTCGTCATCGACTTCTTCGCGACCTGGTGCGGTCCCTGCAAGGCCGTCGCCCCCGTCGTCGGAAAGCTCAGCGAAACCTACACCAACGTGCGCTTCCTCCAGGTAAACGTCGATAAGAACCGTCAGGTTGCACAAGAGATGAACGTGAGAGCCATGCCGACATTCGTTGTATTCAAGGATGGCAAGCCCTATGGAGAGCCGATCGTGGGTGCAAACATGAAGGCCCTGGAGGATAGAATCAAGGAGATCGCGGCATAAATGTTGCATTGGGAGATAGATCCATGACAGCGTTGACGGATAAAGCACATTTCGTGCCGGAGGAAATCGCAATTATTACAAATGGTTGATATACCGATGTACCATATACAGTCCAGCGCCATCGAGAATTGCAAAGATACCCCGTTCGGTCATGTTTGGCATGCATGTCACCCCATAATATCTGTATTATATATATATATATTTTTTTTCATAATTGCCGGCGTACCTCTTTGCGCCGTTTCCTCTTTAACTGCACAATATGACCTCATTCCCCAAGACAATCCAGTATATATGACCATATGGTGTGGAGAATAGGGCTTCCTGTCTGCTCAGCCGTACTTAAGCCATATATTATATATGGTTAGTAAGTATAATAACCCTTGGACCTTTACAAAGCTGAAATAACTACCAGGGGTCTAGGTAAGATCATGATTGTATTAGAGTCAGCGAACCGACCTCGTATGTAAATTACTACAGTGGGCGGAATCTACCAATAATATAGAAAGCAGTAACACTATAGCAATCTCTCCTGAACTAGAAAAGTAAAGTACTAAAACTTATCATATAATTTAAATAAAAATAGCATGGTTAAGTATAATTGAAATATTAAAATCGATATTAAATCAAGTAAATAAAATCCTGAAACCTTTATAAACATTTCATTATCAATATATTAATTTCCTTTATAAGCTTAGCTATAGCCTATTAATGGCTAAGAATCGATATCAGAGTATGACTTCCGGGCGGGTCCTAGATTTTGGGCCCGAACCCACCCGATATCAACTCTAACTGTCGGTGATCGATGTGGCTTTAAGTTTATCCTCTATCACACCTTTTTTGTGTAGCGACCTGATGAATCGCTTGTACTGTCCTTAGTTTTTCATATCTATATCCATATGGATGTTTTGGTTATTCCCTCAGTCTTGATGAGTAGTCAGTAGGCGATGGGACTTTGCTGGTGAATGCCAGGGAATTCTTTTCTATGCTGCCTTTTTTATAATCTAGATTCATGGAAGCTTCGCCTGGGTGCCCAGGATATTTCACTAAATGCCTAGTTTATAGGAGCCAAGAACAAGAAGTTAAAGTATTCCCCTCGATCAATCCTCTCCCCTCTAAACGAACCACGATCACCAGAAGCCTGAAAATTCAATCTGAACCAGTGTCATCATGTTGAGTCGACAGCAGTACTGAGCGCAATCTCTCTCATTGCATCCAGATTCTGCTTCACCGAATCGAGTTTCTCTAACATGCGCGGGAAGCAATCAGTGCCCAGTGGCAGGCGAAGAAGATGGCCCTTTTCTGCTCCCATTCCCTGCAGCTGTACCACATCAAGAATCCGCTGGACTGCCTTTATAGGATCCCCAGGCTGCTTTCCTCCAAGAGTATCCCACATTCCCATCGCCGCTGCCAGCGGCGTGCCCTCGTAGTCCTTGTTCATCCCAGCCGCGGGTATATGATGCCCGCCAATGAAGTTAGTCCGGAAGGCTCCGGGCTCAACCAACAAAACACGAATGTTGAATGCGCCGAGCTCAACGAAGAGAGATTCTGAAAGCGCTAGATGCCATAGTTAGCACGGTACCTTGCGAGGAGAAGGGTGCCCCACGGACCTTCAATAGCAAACTTGGACATGGAATATGCCGCAGAAGACGGGCCTGCTCTGAACCCGGCAATGCTACTGATATTGACGATGGTACCACTGCGTCTGGCTCGCATAAACGGGAGCACAGCCTTGATCACTCTCACCGGACCGTAGACGTTGGTCTGAAACTGGGTATCGAGTTCGTCCTCGCTATTTCACGTACTTAGTGTCTCGGCCGCCTTTCTCGAGCGCAGGCTGAGTTCATGACCGTACATACCTGATATCCTCAATGCCACCAAGGAGACCGTATCCCGCATTGTTGATGACGACATCAATCCGGCCCCCGTGGGCTTGGATCACTTCTTCGACTTGTGCTTTTGTCTGCTTGCCTGTCACATCCAACTGGAGCCATGTTCCCCCCAACGAGGCGATTTGCGGGTAATCGCTAGCAGCTTTGGTCGGGTTGCGTGCTGTAGCGATGACGGAATGGCCGGCTTTGAGGGCGCTTTCCGCCAAAAGTGCCCCAAACCCAGAGGATGCCCCGGTGATGAGCCAAGTCTGACGTGCCATTGTATCCTGATTCCTTTGGTATGGCTGAAAAATATGAATAGAGAAAGCAGACACCACTGGCGGACTCGTTACTTTACATAGTGCGCATCGGAAAGATGGAAGCAGCTTTGCGAGAGCTATCGGCGTCATCGACGGAGATAGAAGGGAGTAAACCCCGTCTATTCACAACCAAGCACATTCTACTAACTTCCAGTGGATCCGTATTTACTTTGTTAGCAGGCCAAATTGGAACACTCCTCAGGTGGCGTCTGGGTTTGCACTCTCTCTCCTGTGGTTACCTTACAATAAGTGGTGCTTCAATGGACCCACCCTTGAACTGTCATCCGACTTGACGCTAAGGTTAAAAGCTAAAAAGGCAAGATTCTTCTCTCAGCCGTCTTTGAAGAGCGGGTAGGGGTGCTTACTGAGGAGACAATTGGAGACAGCTCAGGTAAATATGGATAGCAAACACTAGCGTATATTACGTTGTTAGACCCGCACTTGATTACGCTCGCTCACGTAGATAACCAGCAGGCAGATGTCTTTCCGCCAAGGATCAAGCAGTTCCAAGTCTCAAGGCTCGTTCTGTGGAGAATCACTCCCCTGGCTGCTGCGTGAATAGACATGGAGAGAATGCTGAAGCCTGGAGACCAACTCGGCCCTTTATGTCAGCGTCCTGCTCAGGATAAACTATAAAGAAGCTTGCCATCCAGAACTAGTAGCTTCTACGATCGCCCTGCGTCACTTGTCCCCATATCATCACAATCTACTATAGCCCAAGAAGCCATGTACACCTTCAGATACCTCCCTTTGCTCTGTTCGCTTGTGACTGCGCAACTTCGCCCTCAATGGGTCCATTTTGACAGTGATGGCATTTCGATCGCAGCCCACCTCTACATCCCACCCAACAACTCTACCTGGAACACCTCGCGCCCCGCTATTGTGGTTGGCCATCCCCACGGCAGCGTCAAAGAGCAGAGCTCTGGCCTCTACGCCCGTCAGATCGCCGAACGCACCGGGTTCGTGACCCTTGCGTTCGACGCCGCCTATCAAGGCGAGAGTGGCGGTCTGCCGCGATACCTCGAAGATCCGTATCAACGTGCCAACGATGTTCGGAACGCCGTAACCTACCTGGCTACCCTAGACGTAGTGAACGCGACCCGCATCGGCGCACTGGGTGTGTGTGCCTCGGGCGGATATGTGCCCTTCGCCGCGCAGACAGACGAGCGCATCCGCGCCGTCGCCACCGTCAGCGGCATCGACCTAGGTACCTTATACTCCGAGGGATTCGGCAACTACGGCGGATCGGTGCAACCAGGACTCCGTGACGAGCTCCTTGAGGCCGGACGACAGCGGATCCGCGAAGCCGAAGGCGCGCCACCCAACCTCACGCGTATCTTCCCACAAACCGCCGCCGATGTGACCCCCGATCTGCCGGTGTTCTACCAGCAGTCGTACGACTATTACCAAACCCCACGGGGCCATGTGGAAACAGCGCCGAACTGGCATCTCTGGCGCAGCATTGACTTGATTGCGACGTATCGGTCCTACGCCTTCATGGACTTGATCTCGCCGCGACCGCTGTTGATGATTGCCGGGTCCGAGGCTGACACGCTGTACTTTACTCAGGCTGCCATAGATCGGGCACAAGAACCAAAGGAGATGTATGTTATCCCAGGGATGACGCATATCGATCTGTATGACCATACCAATCAGAGCACCCCCAAGCTGGTGGAATTTTTCACGGCGAATTTGTAATGGATTCTTGTGGAGACTGCACAGGCATGCTCCAGCGATCGATGGTACAAAGGGGGGGGGTGAAATTGCTACCAGGAGCTCGGATTCGATATGGGATTATAGAGCGGGTAGTTGCTTTGTAATTCCCTTGGGTAGAGATGGGATCTTCGATAGTGTGGATTGGATATAAAATTTGTTATTTCGAACGGGACTTGTTACAGCCATACCCACTCTTCCTAATTAGGTATATTTACCTATGAGACTGCGTATAGAACTCCGTATATTCTATTCATACATCTATATACGTTCCGCCCATAGAATTGCATGATTCCTGCCTATCAAAATGCCAATGGAAGCTAATGGTTATTTAATTATGATACCTTATACGCTGCCTCTAATTCACTGGATGAGGTGTCGTAGGAGCAAGTCGGGTGGGAAGTCTTTTCCGAATAATCGACCGTATAGGCATCTTGTTAGACTGTTGAACGTAGAACGTATCAATCGATGTACAGTCTACAGCAGGGTAGGGATGAAAATAAAGCATGCCTTGTCGACCCCGAAGAAGATCCGGTTTTGTTACCCCCTGTAGTAGTTCCAGCGGCAAGAAGCTTCCTGTGGACGGTGATTTGATATACAGCTTACGCGCTAGAGGTGGGTCTGATATCGACCCACAAATATAAGCTACTAGTGTGAAACGATCTAGGTCTTTTCATCAACAGGAAAGGTCGGTGGAATGGATGAGCAATATCCGTCTCTTTTTGTTACCAATGCCCAAAAGACAAATAGTCGGATCCTGCCTCCTCTCGTCTCTCACCTTCCCACTCGAAGCAGCCACACCAAGATCTATACTAACTATCTGGAGTCTCACACCCATACTACACACCACATATGTCCCCATCTTCCCCCGTTCCAGGAGCCGTCAATATGGTCCAGACCTCCCTTTTGGCGAGCAGCAGGTCCCAGTCCCCGGCTTCGGCGCCATGGGGCTCAACTATGCCATAGGAACTAACTTCGAACTTCGAACAATCCGAGTCCGTTCTTCTGAAAGCGGCTAACTTTGGCTGCTCGTTCTGGGACACTGCTGTATGTTCTCTTTCGCTTCCAAGCACCTATATACATCCCCACAACGTTCCATCTATAAGGACTTACCATTTTGGTATACACAGGTTACCTACAAGCAGGGCGAAAACGAGAAGCTGCTGGGTGATTTTATCCGAAAGTGTAACATCCGCCTCAAGGTCTTGTGTGAGCTTGAGCCCCGTTTCACTCATTAACTTCTCTAGCTCGCCTAGCCTCGTACCCTATAGTGACCAAGTGTGGATTTGAAGTCTTTAGCCCACAGCGCAAAGCCACGAACTCGCCTGCGCATATCAAATACATCGAGGAACGATTGCCCGGCTGGGCTTCACGCATGATCTCTACTATCTCCATCGAATTGACCCCAGTACGTTTCAGGCCCAGGAAGTTTAGCCAAGGGATACGAATCGAAACTCTAATTTAATATTCTATAGACACTCTTCTCGAGGAATTCATCGTTTCGCGTGATTTTGGCATCAGAGGTGCTATAAGTAGGAGCTTTCTTCTCTCCTGACCATTTCTCATACACATAGAACTCTGTCAGGCCCGCATATTTTCAACAGAACTTGGGTATATATCCACACTATACAAACTTACATACAAACCATGGCCAGTCTATCCCTGGTAACCGGAACTTCAGGATCCAAAGGAAACCCTCCATTTTAACCGCCGCTCCCCCCTCTGCTGGCGCCAATGATTCGACGACCAGATAATCTCCGGACAACTCCTCACCAGAAACCCCCATTTCTCCAGAAATGTCTCCGTCACTTCCCAGTTCATCGGCTCCCACGGATCGCCCCAGACCAGCATGCAGTTGTCACTCACCGTCGGCATGGTCCAGAAGCCCATCAGATCCCGACACAACTGGGAGTCATCCAGAGTATCCTCGTGACGGATGAGTGCATCGCGCAAATGAGCGAACGGGAAGAAGTCCAGCCACGGATGATGGGGCTGACTCTTCTGCAGCGCGGTGGGTTGCAACGCCGCCGGGAGGAGGGAGTCGGAGAGATCGTCCGATTTCCGCGGCCCATCCACGCTGAATCGCGAGATCGCGTCATCTGTCAGCTTTGACCGCGTGTATCCCAGAGCTGTGATGTTGCGCTCGAACGCGCGAAAGACATTGACCTTGACGAGGGTTAACCGGTGGTCGCTGCTGGGGTTTCCCAGGTAACTCTGATACGCTGCTGATTCGAGCAGGGACAGAAGCTGGTATACCTCCGGGTCTGAGATTCGGCACAGGGAGTCCGCCTTGATGAGCGGATTATTACGTTCCTGGATCGATACGATCAGGGAACTCATGTCGAGTCCTGGTACCGGGAGCCAGAGCGGGGGCAGGATGTGCTGGGCTTCGCGTGGCTGTAGATACGATTCAGCCAGCCGGTTTGCTGCCTTTTTCAACCGCTGTCGTTGCCCTGCGCTAATGGGTTAGCAAGGTCCCTCTGCTACTCTGGGATAGTTGGATATGGACTCACGGAAGGCCTGCTGGTTGACTCGATTTTGCCGACGGCGCTTCTCCTCCTTGTTTGGTTCATCAGCACGCCGGGCATGTCTCGCCATGGGCTCGAGAGAGTCCTCATCAGAAGCTTCTGTGGTGTTGCGTCGCATTGTCAGGATGAGGGAGGATATGGGAACATCTTGCTGGGGTTTAGGATGATGACCAGGTTTTGTCAGCCTGGGCTTGGCGGGTTCCACTGGAGAACCGTTAAGGTTCCCGCTTCCAAGTTGGTCATCATAGAAGAATAAGGTAGATATCATACATTCTAGTGACGCCAGTCAGTCGATTGCGCCGGGGTATGATGATCAGTATCGTTCTCTTTTTGGTTAGGTGGTACCTGAACCCCAATGGTGTCGAATCACCCCTTTCCAGATCGAATGGTGATCTTAGTATGCTTTCAGCCACGGGTCGGTCTATCAGTAACTGGTCGGAGCGATGCGAGGACCCACCGTTGATGACGCGCTAAAGGTGGGTCTAGAGTCCTACGGAGTCCGATCATTCATCCGGAATGGCTCCAGTGATGACATGACTTGGGCATCGACCATTTAATTGACTGATCCATTAATCTCTGAGTATCGCACGGTGGTTTCAAAGCTAAAGTTGCCGTCTACCGGGGTATATTCGGACAAATGTTCTAAACTAACATGATAGACAACGATACCGTAAGAAACAGCCCGTGAATTATGCCCCTGGGCATCGCTTGTAACAGTCGCGCTCCGCCAGACGCTGATGTCGATGTTGGAGATGGCGCCGGAAACGAAGTCACTGCATCTGGCAGAACATGACTGCAATCGGTGAGCTGGTTGATGTTGTCGACTCCCAGGAGACTGAGGCGCACATAGGCCGAGGAATACTGCGCATTCCAGACGGTTTGACCGAAGGTCACATCCTGATGCCGTATATTTCTGATTCAGTGGGAGCCTGTCAAGCATGGTGTATGACGGAATACGTACCGTGAATGCTTCGAATCGTGGTGCAGTACCGTCAGCTACGGACAGTGCTGTGTCACTGGGTAGTCGAAATACGCCCCTAATTATTCATGTTCCCGGTCAGCTTTCTTGTAATATCATACGTTCGAGCCGAACCCGACGTGAGAGTCTTACGGAGGTGGATTGGGAAGCGCCATCTCCCGATAGAAGTTCATATCCCATACCCCTGGCGTGGAATCGAGTCCCTGGCCGGCCAATGTGGAATCCACGTAAAATTGCCGAGCAACGGTATGCGCCCCCAAGAGGGCCGCCAAATCTCGCGGCGAGATTGTCTTGTTCTGAAATAGTTCAATCAGATAGCTGGCATCCGTCGCATTGTTCGATGGAATAAGATCCCCCGGGTTCGATTCCTGGCTATCCTTCCGTCCCACTAAGGTCAGCATCCGGGGACCCAACGGGCAGGCCACCGTGGCGACGTTGTGCATGAATTGTACCAAGTCTGCCGCTGAGACCCCGTGGCCGGAATAACGGTCAAGGATTCGTAGAGCTTCAGATCGGATTTCCTGAAGGCCGTCATTCTCGGGGCGCTCGATCTCCTCGGAGCTGAGCAATAAGCTGCCATCGGCGCCGCCTGTGCCACTTGTGGTTGACCAGGATCCTGCGTCGTGGAAGCCCAATCGTACAGCCGCTCGAGCCAGGCTGGTACACGTTCCGTTGTCGTGGCGAAAATGGCTGGTCAGCTCCTGTTGAACAATGTCCCATACGCAGCATGTATCTTCTCGACAGATGGCACTGTCTAGGCTGCCAGGACGTTCGTAATCCTATTTCATATCAGTCATTGTGACGATAACCTCCACGGCGGACTAACCTTCCTGGCCTGAAGTTCACACGAGGTCCCTCCTGTGATACAATCGCGTACCCGTCTTCCAACGGTGGTGGTGGCCCCGTCTACGAGGTCCCCAATCAATTGACTTGTCTCAGAGGTTGATTGGCGTGTTTGGATCTCGTTGATGAGATTATGCATTCCGGAGAACGCGAAGGCAGCGGCGTGAAACCATACGGGAAAAGCCAGGAATCTCATGGTATCTTTCTTGCACCGCAACGCAGTCCAAGGTTGAAGGTTGGCACTACATCCATATAAATACTGATACATTAACCAGGCTCCTGCGGGATTATCGGGGTTACTGGTCATCAGGGGTACATGACTGGGGCTAAGAATCGTGTTAATTGTGGATCACAGTTGCCTGCTATGGACATGGCGTATGGGTGGTGGTGGGCTAAGTGATTATGCGTATTGTGGGTTGAAAATAATATGGCAAACTCTCATATAGATATCTTCCGCACAAGAATCAGAAGAGCAGGGTTCTGTTCCCTTCCTCTTCTCCAGCGTTATATGAGTCTTCATGGGGATATGTTGGGTTGTCAGATGGTCTTCACAGAATAGCATAGACATGGGAGAGCGCACCTGAGGGTTAGTTGAAGATCCCCATCTCCACAGAGGGGAAAGGAAAAAGAACCAACATTTTAGCTTCAATAAGACTCTTAATCCACATATCCCCCGTTATTCCTCCCTGCAATTGGCATTATCGTAGTGGATAAAGTGTGGAGACCCACCGTTAGCGCGTCATCATGGTCACTTATCTATATCAAGAAGCTGCTTTACAAAAGATTCCTCTTCGAAGTCAGTTAATTTATCTCCATTGGCGCGTGCTTTAGCGTGTGATTGTCTTTTTTTCAGGCAAGCTTGTGCAATATTAGTGAAGCTTCACGTACTTTTGATGTTCCCTATTCTACTCTATATGATCTAGAAATACTAAGAAATTTATATTCTAAAAATTAACATTACTATGAAAGGACTCTATATTAAATATATAATAGGTTTTATTGTTAGACATAGAACTACAATTAATTTTAAACATACTGACCCCTAATCTAGAGTTCTAGACACTACGGCCACTAAAGTCTAGGTACTGTAGCCCCTAAACTTTATATACTACGATTCCTAAATTGACCTTGGTAAAAAGGTGGTTACGTTAACAGGAACTATTCTAAGAGTATATTATACATACAGTATATCTATATTACACTTACATTTTTCTATTAAGTATCTTTAATTATAGTTTCCTAGAAATCGTACTTTTATTTATAATTAATATAGAAGAAGATATATAATATTGAATATTGGCAGAGATAGTGATACAGTATAATACTAGGCGGTAAATGGACTTGCTGAGGAGAGCCGTTGTTGCGGAGTGGCCGCTATGACCCTCCATACTCGTCACCGTGTTCTATCCATTGTATGTAGCTGAAGTATGTATGGGCAAGTCGTGTCTACCTCTGGCCAGGGCAAGATTGCCGTTCTCTGGTAAAGTATAATTCTAATGTACCGATCCCAGAACAGCCGGGGGACTGACTCCGTCGTAACTCCAGCGACAAACATGATCATACATCTCACCAGACCCCAAGCTCATCGTCATATTATTAAACCCAATCCGAGCCAAACTGCTCCCCATCTCGGTATACTGCGGCCAAAATGCATCCAGTCCCCGCCGCGGGTCTTTCGCAAAACTCGACCAAACTTCACGCAGGTAATCACCGACAGCGACCTCCGCCGCGGTGCTCTTCAGCAACGTCTGGTTCACCGTGTCAAACAGTGGACCGAGCTCAGAGCCGTGGTAGGCACCGCTCGGCGGGGTCGTCGACAGGACCAAGTTAGGGAAATCGCCAAAATATCGGTACCTCCAGGTTGGATTGCCGTCCGCGATGGACTGCTCAATTCGGACCTTGTCTGCACAGGTATATAGCCGGTCGTTGAAGTCGTTCCAGTACGCCTCCGATTGGGGAGGCTGCAAGAGCTTGAATAGACCGGCCTCGTTCTGCGTGTTACCGATCAGATACCCCCCTTTGGCCGCGCGACGGTCGAGGTAGCTCGAGAAGACCACGTCGTTGTCGACGACGGGTCCGTACGGAGACGGGTTGAGGGGAACCGTGGCCGGGTCGTATCCTGCCAGGATCTCGTCCACGGTCCGGTTGACCATGCAGGTGCTGACAGCTTCTGGGTTAGAGGTCGCGTCTCCGCAACCGACCAAGCGAGTGACATGGAACCACCGGTCGTTGGATTCCTCGGCTGTCAGTGCCGGGAATCCGTATAGAGTTGCACTCATCTCGATAAAACCGGACGCGATGGGATCGTCGGCGTACGCGAAGGAGTAGAAATCAACAATGCCCGCGCCGGCCGACTGTCCGAATATAGTGATGCGCGCGGTATCACCGCCGAACTGCGCAATATTGTCCCGGATCCATTCCAAGGCCAGGCGAACGTCTCGGAGCCCGAGATTGGCGGGGCTGGCTGGGTCACCCGGGAAGCCGAAAATGTTGACACGGTAGCTGCTCCACAGTCAGTACAATGTGGGTGGAGGTATTTGGGTGTTGAGTCTGGGTGGGATGTTACTTCATCGAGACCACAATAACGTCGGTCTGATCGGCGATGAATTGCCCTCGGTAGCCGGGTTGGTTAGAGCTGCCTAGTGATGGTACACATTAGACGAATATCATAGGTTTTACGTCGTCTGTTTCCTAACAATACCTACCGGACACATATGCCCCTCCATAGATCCAGACCAGCACCGCTTTCTTCTTCTCTCCAGTCTGCGGCTTCGTCCAGACGTTCAATGTCAAACAATCCTCACTCTCTGCGTATTCGTCAGTCGTGAAAGCTACAGGAGACATAGGCGGAATACCGAGATTCTGGGGTGGTGCACTGGTGGTGTTGTTGCTTGCTGCGGATGGCGGCTGGATGCAGCTCGGGCCCTGTGACACAGTGGGCGTTAACAGCAGGAACAATGTCAGGGTTATAGCACTAAGACACCTAAGGGTTGAACTGACAAAGGAGGTTGCATTGATAGTTCCGTCCCCATGATATGCCACGGGTGGTTGAAAACGGAGGTTTCCTAGGGGTGGTTGGGCATATGGAATCCCGACATACTCGGAGACCTCGGATGCGTCGGCCGCAGCGTGACCGATGACAAGGCCACTGGTCGTTGGCACGGACTGACCGACAATCCAGTCCGCATTGGAAGTACCGAGTAGCGACCAGGCAGTAGCAAAGAGAGGGAGGACAATCTTCATGGTGGTGGATCGAGACTAGGTGGAAGGGGGGAAGGACATCAAGAGCATGTGGACGAGAAGTGTAGGTTTTATATCGATCCAGGGCCATCCCCTTGAGTAGCAGCTTGAGTTTTCACATGGTGATGGTGACGCGTACTCCTAGATACTACTTATTAAGTTGCCTAGATGGTGCTGTGACTCCATGGTCTAAAGTGGAAGATCATCTACGGCGATACTGGTGCCGAGTATCGTAGATATAGTACTCGATGATGCTTGTTCCCCACTCCATGCAGACCCACCGTTAGAGTGTCATCCTGGTGGGGTTTGGATTACGGCCAAGATCCCTGCGAACCCTTCATTTTTCTTGATCGGTGACTAGTAGTATAGGGCAAGGTGGTAGGAGTAAAAGCAAAACAAAAAACAAGAAAAAAAGAAAAAAAAAGACCCTATCATGTAAAGGCATAGAAAAGAATAGCTCTGGCCGGTAAACAGCTCCGCAGTTCGGGGTGAGAAAGTCTTGGGCTCAGACGCTGATCCCATTTGGTGGACTGTCTGGATTGTACCTCACCCGCATTCTCACACCGATCTAGCTTTCCAACACAGCCACTTTTCTTCTATTTAAAATACTAATTTATTCAGACATTAAATTAATACTAACTAATATTTAGTATACCCGCTCTTTATCTAAATCGCCGTCTCATTGTAATTGTGACGCCTGGGTATCCCTCCAAGGACTCTGTGACCAGTTAGCTATCATGGCTAGATGCGACTTACCTCGATAACTAGAATCCACTAGTAATCGACGACGAACGAGTAACCGAAAAATCCAAGAGGGTAATAAATCAGACAATATTACACTGTAATATTAGTCCAAGGTTAAAAGGCTAGGTCAATTGAATATATTATATATATATACTTATGTGTCAGATAGTGGGAACAAGTTAAGCTGGTACAATTCTTGAATATGGCTATTGACTTTTAAGTAACTGAGTAGATTGATTCTCAAGAACTAGACTAAGTATATAGAGCTCACGAACAAAAAAAAATACCATCTACATCTATGCAGTGATTGTGCACAAAAGCGTGGGATTTCATGGCCGTAGAAGTTATAGTTTAAGTACATCAAGAAAGAAGAATTTTATTTTGCATTTGCAAGGTGTATTTCATCTGATTTGGACAGTTTAGTCCGGGTGATGATGAGTTGGAGAGCGTCGGTAGGTGAGGCAGCCCCCCTGGTGAGGGCTCATCACAAATCCTTTGCAATCGCGGTGGTCTTGACCGTTGCAGTGACCCGAATCGACACGGAGAATAAGGTCACTTGAGACAGCCACGGTGATAGTGTTGCTAGATTAATGATAGGTACTAGGGTTCAGGGCCAAACGACAAGTGCTTGTGTTAGGATGATCCTTGGCTAGACTGACTCAAATGCCCAGGGCAACCTAGGTTAAGCAGCAGTAGAAAGATAGAATTGTGAAGGTAAAGAGTGAGGCGGGTGTTGGAATCTGACCGGTTTGCTCGAGAGCTAGGACTGCGCTCTTATATGTTTGTAATCCTTTGCAAATCTCATGTAGGCAAAGCTATCCATCCTCTATCGATAGCTGCCTCGCGTAGTCATTCCAGAGATTGGGGGATTAAATATTGGGTCCGTGCATATACCAAGTAAGATGCATAAATTTGGTGTGTTGCTGATCCTTGCTCCAACGCTCAGTATAAATGGCTGTCTCGATGTCTTAGCGCTGTGTTCGTGTTCCGACAGGACTTTGACTCCACAATATTGAATCAGCGTTCTCGAATTGTGGTCTTATACCATACCTGTCTTGTAATGAAACCAAGCCTTCATTACTCGTATCGGCCTGGTCGAGGTTTCTTTGGGGCTCTGTTGTAGAGACGGACCTATAGAAGGTGCTAATAGCAGGTTCAACACAATTTCCCGTAAACTAGCTCATTTTCTAAGGCCATGTTGGGGCTAACAAAGCGCAAAATGATGTTACCTCTGTAGTACAAATTGCATTGAACTCTTAGCTACGAGTATCGGTTATAAAGTGCACTCCTACCGGGGCGACTAGTATCCAAACATCATCTTCCCGGATGAGAGAGACACTCGCATAGTTGGCTCGCGGTAATCGACCGCTGGTAAGGGATAGGTAACACGTTGGGCGGCCACTTGCTATATCCCTGCGGTCCAGTGATGTGGGTGCCAAATGGCATGACGTTTTTCAGGTGGAATGAGGTATGAAAAGTTCCTTGTCTTTGATTCGCATTCGCGCCAATACAGTACTTCCATGGCGCACTGCAAGCTTGACGAAGATTGCCACAATGCGAGAGTGACTCTCTAGTCCTAGTTCATTACTCTACTCGTGTTACATTGGTACCAACACGATTGTGGCTATATAAGTTACATAGATGGGGTCTCCTTCGTGAGGTCCAATACTTGTTGTTGCCAAGACCAAAGTTGCAAGGACAGAGACGATGGCGGAGACTTGCATGTTTTCGATCTTTCAAGTAAAGCAATTCCACTATGTTCGTTAAGATGAGTTTCAGTGATAATCCTCAGATCAGGACAGTGTAGTTCATGGTAGTCATGCCATCAATGATGCAAGACATCGACTCTGTGGGGCATTGAAGACAGCCATGGCTCACAACGCATGTACTGCAGCTAGAGATAGATTCAGTACTATCTAACTATGTTACCAGTGCTGTTGAAATAATGTGGAAGAATACAATGTCCATGTGAATCCCGTTCAAGCTGACACAATTGACATAAAAACAAGAGTTGACTTATTCTGACAGTCCAGCAAAAGCCGCATGAGCGATTAATTGTGCAGACCGAGTTGAATACCTACTATTACGGAGGATCCCCCCGTACGGAGGGGGCTGTGTAGTGAATCCTACAAGTATATTGCTCCCAACAGCATTCATATATTTGGAGTTGACTCACACATACATAGCAACCACCCTAACAAGACCCATAATGCCAGTGATCTTCGGCCAACTGACATGCGAATGCCAAAGCTCAATCATAGCGCGCAAAAACAACTTCTTAAAAACCACTCTTGACTCCTACCCCGACTAACACCACGAAAAGAACTCTCTACACTACTTGAAAAGGTGGATGTTAAGAATGAGGTGAGCTTCACGCATCCTTGCAACCACAGGACTTGTCATCACAAGCCCCAGCACAGCCAATGCTGTACGCGCTGTTGAATCCCGGAGCGTCGATGATAGGCTCTCCCTGATGATTAGAGAGGTAGCACTTCTTCGAACGGACATGGTAGTCGACGCTGTGGCAGGGAACCAATTCGGAGCAGGCATCCATGCACTCTTTCAGGGACCCTGTGTCCAGGGTGGTGAGGTACTCTGCGCCATGACGCTTGCCGCAATTCATCTTGAAGACTTCTCCATTGGGACTAGTGTATTGGCGATGATTCGCCCCAGGACATTCGGTTGTGCATTGGGGTACTAGCTCCGTTGTCTGGGGAATAGTGGGCGGAGGTACCGAGTACGCAAAGTCGTGGTTGAGGCAGTGGGTATCTCCAGCCTTGTCTGACTTCATCAGAGAACAACCCTTGGAATTAGCTGAGGCGCCATTATCGGAGTCCCAGTTGATGGCGAGGCATCCATCCGTTGCACTGCAAATGTCGATACATTGTTGATAAGTGTCTGCGGTCGTCGACTGAAGAGTTCCGAACCAGCCATGGGTACTGCATTGTAGTTTGAAGAAGCCACCATCCGGTGCAGGATAAACTTTGTCATTGCCCTCTGGACATTTAGGCGTCGTCACATATTCTTGGTCAGCGGGAGTTGGAACAGGCTGCTGGCTACCACCACCTGGCTGAGGGAAAGCAGGTTGGCCCGATGGCTGAGGAAAGACAGGCTGCGGACTGCTACCATCACCTGGCTGAGGGAAAGCAGGTTGCTGGCTACCACCCGGTTGAGGGAAGACAGGTTGAACACCTGGCTGAGGGAA